ATAAACTTACTCACATCTAATCACCGGCGAAATTGTGAGTTTATTCTTATCTAAAGTTTCCACGCAAACGTACGTTGATTTCCCTGCTACTTCCCCCTTGACCTATCCGATAATTTTAAATCTATTGGCGATAAGGTCGATGATAATATTTTGTGACTCATAGAGTCGCGCACCAGTCCGTACGAATGGCTTGGTCGCCAATCTCTGAAAAATCAACGCAAAAACATCTGATAATAATGATAATTAACATAGTCCAATTCTTAAGTATACCTATTGTTCTTGCGACACGACTTTTCAATGCTCAACGAACACTAGCTACCTAAACAACTGGCGAAACTGGAATCGATGATGTATCATGTCATTCTCCGTCGTTGCAAAAAAAACCTGTGAGGCGATGTTCTTTTTGCTTTGCAGGATTCCAGCTCATTTTCTTTGGCCAACTTGCAAATAACCCTAATAGCTTTTGGCTCTGGGGTTCCTTTGGGTTTCGCTGCTACGAAAGCCATGGCAAGTACATACACGCTCTCGAATTACGTTATCGATAGTTAGATGAGTAACAATTTCTCATGATAATATGTACTTATATAAGGCCATGATGTAAATTCACGGCGGACTCTTTTGCAGATCTTTAGGTTTAAAAATTAAAGTTGCCCTGTGGATCTGGAAAGCCCCTGGAATGGAAGGCTACTTGTTCAACATAAAGTGAAACGAAGCGTCCGGAAACTTCGGACGAAGATCGGCGATCGTATAATCTGTTTCGTGAAAAGTGCGGCCCGTTCGACGAAATAAAGAAGTACGAGCTTTTCAATGGGTTGCTTTTTAGTAGCTGGGATCAATTCACATAATTGTTGTTGCTACTATTACTGTAGTCCATTGATGCTGTCGTCGGCGATTTTATTGACTGCTTCGTGTTCTGATATGATCCGTCTGGGTCCGGTATGATCGCCAGTGACCAGGCAGCGGAGTACAAATATTTGGGTGTGACGTCGCACCAAAACAACACGTTGCATTAACTGTTAAACAGCCATAAATCGGTAGAAGGCGCGACGGAGTCAACAAAATACATCACATAGTGATGCAGCTGGTACTAACGTGGCGGCACCGAGACGAGCTTTCTAAAATACACGCGCGGCGTGTGTGTATGAGGACAAGGAGAAATATACAAATACAGAAACGTATTATACGTTGATCGTACCGAATGATTTATTCGTACTGTTGTGCTTGTCAAGATCAGTCGTATGGCAACGCGCACACGTAGACAGAAACCGGAAGGACAGATTGTGCTAGCGCCGAAATCTTGGTAGCCCTGCGAGAGGCAACAAGATCTGACAAGAGTGGGTGTAGTGACTGCCCAGCACAGTCCACAAGTAGGGCACCGTAAGCGTTTTGATGCAGAATATTAGAAGAACGTAGCTGGTCCTATTAATGCGGATCGCACCACCAAGATGGCCTTGCTTTTTGATTGGCCCGAAAGCGATACTAAGCCATCGATACTGACCTATGTCTAATAAACAGTTACTCCTTCTAAGCAATGTACAAGGGTCGACGCATCGAAGTGTCCGATATAAGTACATACTAAGCGTGGGCCCTTACCCTCCTGGTACTGTGCTGACTTATACAGGGAACCACACAAATTGACAAATGAAAGGTCGAAAAATTGCTGATCATTCTGATGGTAATGTCGATGGATGAGGGAAGAAGAGCAGCGAGTGGTAATGAAGAGAAAAGGCTCTAAGCAGGCCGCTGAAAACAGAAAAACCAGTGACAGTAGATGGAAAATGGAAGATCGGGGTTCATAGTCAAACCTATTTTTCTCATGATAAGTACTGAATAGATAACAATAATGATGGTTATTAAAACTTCCGTTAGTGTTTTTTAGAAGCGGTATCAGACAACTTCGGCCCTTGTATTTGGCAACTCGTAGCCGAATATTAAATATATGCAGATGCACCCCGGCTGTTTCAGCGCATATGGATGTAGGCGTGCCAGCATTCTGAACGAAGTATTTGAAAATTATGTCTAAAACGGCCAGTAAACTGAATAGTAAACTTATTCTCACAAGAGATTAAGGTTCCACCATTTTTATCGTTCCGTTATTGGTGGTATACATCATCGTTTGATGGGCATAGAATCAAGGTAATTACTTAACAAAAAAAAATTATTACTGTGAAGTATCTACTTTATTTATGGTTATATGGATTGCTTTCATGCAGCTCGTTGCGGAGAAGGGCAGAAATTATACCACTTTTGACTCGAACTATCTTTCAGATCTACTCGTGCTGTGTATGAATGAAGATTTTAAACAAGGTAAAAGCTAATTAAAAATTCTGAGAACCAGGTTAGCTGCTTAATACTGATTTTAGAAGTACTGTACGTGGTAACAACTAATTTGTTGGTTGACCAAGACCAGGGTTGCTGCCCGGGGGCGGTGCAGGTTCGAATCCAAAAATAGACGCGCACCTTTTCATGCTGGGAACCAACCAAGGAGTGACACTTAGTGGTCGTTCAGGATGCAAAGGCTCGAGACACGTTTACGGATCCCAGCTACTTCACAAGCACATTATTAGATATAAACCTTTCGCAAAAAACGTGTAGTTACAAGTTTACTGGGTAATAAGATAGCCCAACGTTTTGAGCGTTAAACTCAGGAGAGAAAGCCTATAATCGGGTGCTGATACAGGCTGCCTCTTTTGATGGTACGTAAAAGCGTCCTTTCTGCAACGTTTGGGGACAGAGAAAGTCGAAAAGAGTGATCGCTGTTGGGCTTCAACAGAATTACCCTATAAAATATGCATCCATTTGCAAACCATTGTTTCTACTATACCCCAGTGACCATTTCGAGTGCATCGCTCTATTCGGTAAGCTTCAGTTGCTCGTATTCTATATAACAAAGGTAGATCATTCATCAAATCGACAAGAAGCCAAGTCGCATTCGATAACCTACTTGAGTTATCTATTCGCATAGACAGCTTATCCGAAAGCCAATGCGGACACTAAATAACAAAGCTGAGTTTTACATTCATGTAAGTAAATAGTATATACACTAATTAGGACATCACTAATTACGACATTTTATGTTAGTATTTTGAATTTTCGCGCGTAGTAGTACTGCTTTACTTAACCATCGCTTCAATTTATCTACGCGTGGTTTTGAAACATGGACCAGAGGCGTTCTTCTGTTTAGTTGATAAACTCATTACCGCTATAGCAGCACGAGAACGTGTCTGACATTTTACGAATGATTCAATGGCAGTGTGAAAAAAGTCTATTGACAGTTACGGAGTTATAGAGCATCAAATATATCGGTTTATTAGCTATCCCTGCTACCCTAACAGATCCTACGTAAGGATTCTCCAACTGTTAACGGACTTCTGCCCCATTTCGTACATTACGTGAAACGTCCTTGTTGTAGTATTAGGTTTGGGCACGGTTTTGCGGAACGGACGCGGCGATCGTTCGGTGGCCAACCACAAAATTAGTTCGAGTCTTTTTAGCATTCTTCCTCAGCGAAGCCACATGGTCTCTTTATATGTTAAAGAAATAACGCCGTTTAAACTTCGGATATAGCCACTCTTGGCACTGCTTTTCCTGTTTAAAAACCTTGAGTTTCTGTAAACGTACTTTAAACGCATCCGCCTCGTTGACAATCGTACAACACGCGCATTGTAAACCGTCAAGAGATACTGCAAATGCGAAGCGACAAAGGCTGCAATCTAGCGAAAGCTAAACAATATTAGTTACTAAGAGTACTTTGCGAATTTTGTGCTTATAGCCAATGAACAGTCCAAGGGTCTATTCTTCGCTGATAACTGCACGTAGTAATGAAATTCAGGGATGCTTTAATATAATAAAAATTAATTCTATATCTACTCAGAACAACTCGACGGCTAGATGGCGAGAAGAGGTAGATCCCGTTTTAGACAAATTGTGAATGGTGGGCCGCAGGACTAAGCTTGTGTTTCGAAAGGCCATAACGTGTTTCACCATTCTGCAGGATGTTACAAATGGAATGTGTTTTACACCTTGCAATAATAAAGACAAACTGGAAAAAAGCTCAGAGGTATAATAATGATAACAATAATATACACCGAGTTCCCAACACTAACAATGCGGTACGCTGATCTTGGACGGCAACAACTAGATTACTTTAAAATATTATTATACTATGAAATGATAATCTACGACCCTATGGTATTGTTCAATATATATATAAACTATATATAACTCATTGAAAAATATCTAATACTAGTGTTGCAGTAATAATCACTAGGTTTATTTTAAATTTAATCCGCTCTTTATTTGAGCCTCGCAAAAGAGTTGTGTAGATAAAAACGCAATGTATGTGTTTTTACACACCACCATCTAGATTACCTGAGGAACAGGGGGGGTTAAATACTTCCCCTGAAGGTTCCTCGATAAAGTATGAGAGCACGATCGCCATGGCAACTCGTCCTATCGGTAACGTAGCGACATTCATGACCGCTAATACCTAATCAGACAGCTTGCCAACTGCAGAAATTCGACATAAAACAAGCCTCGATATAACCATCGCTAACGGTCCGTTTAGGTAATGGAACGTACGGACCATATACAATAGATTAAATAGACCTCACTGGTTTTCATTACTACGGGTCGTTTGGATACCAATTAAATCAGCAATTATAATTGATAATAACGCTATAAGCACATTGTCACCAGACTTATTTTCCCTGTTGACATTTGAAATCTCCAATTTTTCGGTTTATGTTACATCAGATTGACAATCCGTAATAATTACTACCGGTACTTCTTATATCGCATATACTATCGTCGTAAACGATACAATATCAATGATATAAACACAATTCAGCAGCACTGTACTGCTCCGCTGTGCCAAAATGTCCGCCCATTATTTATAGTCCACCTTTCCTTTCTGAAAGCTGTTGGCTAGGCGCACTCTGCTACCTCTCTCCCAAGTATACATTGTATATAAGAGAGCCATAGTAAAGCGTTTAGACATCGCAACGGCAAGCGGCATCCAACCATCGACGTACCACCAACACTAACGACCCAACACACCCCACATCAACCATGCTTGCTGTCAAGATCGTCGCTGTTGTAGCTCTAGCCTACATTGCCCAGGCTGGAAGACTTACCCCTGCTTTGGCTGCTCCTGCTCTTTCGTACACTGGCCCTGCTTTGGCCGCCCCGACGCTTTCGTACGCCGTTCCGGCCCTGGCTACCCCTGCTTTTTCATACGCTGCTCCTGTTGTGGCTGCCCCCGCCGTGTCATACGCTGCTCCCATCACTAAGCCTGCGATCGCCGCTCCTGCCCTAGCTGCTCCTGCTCTAGCTGTTCCTGCTCTAGCTGCCCCTGCTCTAGCTGCCCCTGCACTAGCTGCCCCTGCTCTAGCTGCCCCTGCACTAGTTGCCCCTGCACTAGCTGCCCCTGCACTAGCTGCCCCTGCCCTGGCTGCCCCTCTGGCCAAAGCTTGGTAAATTTTAAACAAGACAGGATGAACGATGCGATAAATTGGATGTCGATGTGATGAGGATGACAGTGATGCTGAAGAAGCGAATAAAATGAAGTTGACACGTGGAATAGAAATTCACGGAAAAAATTGTCGGCTTTTTGTTATCGATGAAGGATTGATGGTTACGATCGCTAGCAATGGATTGATTGCCAATGAATCAGCTTATCCAACAGCTTTTTTTTTGCTATGCGTAGTTCATATCTCAGAAATTCCGTATAGCAAAAAAAAGCGTTTTTTTGGTTTAAGAAAATGTGATACCGCTATGTTTTAGTAATAAATCGTGCATTGTTGAAATGGCTAACGAATAGCTAGATCTATGGATACTTTATATATATAAAACAAACATTTAAAATGTTCTGTTCGGTCAAGTATAACTATGAGCAATTCTTGTGTAATACATATTGATTCACTGGATCAAATCGTTTTTGATCAGTTTTTTTTTGCAATGCGGATTTATGAAGACGAAGCTGAGTCTCCACAGAGATCAAGGGAATTATTTTTGCTAACTGCTAGGTTGAAACAGGCCTTCAGGCCACTCTATACGGTATCATATCAACACATCAAATAACATATTTTATTGGTGGTTAAAATTAATGTAAATGGTGCAAAAAATTGTTTTTGAGGATCTTGGATTTTTTAGCCAGAAACTAGGGGCTTTCTCTCGAAAGGAAGGTGTTTTACATCGCCCTAGATTATCCAAATGGACTCTAACTGTTGATCCTTTTAAATCTTTTTGCCCCTTTTGTATTTTTTTGGGCTTATTAAATCCCAGCACTTTTGGGTCTTTTGACCTGCTGTCAACTCAAAATCCAACTCTGCCGGATTTTTTTTTGAATGGCGCATATTTACACCACATTCTATCGAGTCTACGCTGGCCAACATCGTTTGGCGCACAACCATATGTAAAAAGATCTTTGCGGATTAGAGAAGGAATACTTAAAAATGATTAGTAAGTGGATTATGCCTTAAATTGAAGCTATCGATGTGAACGAAGGTTACATCAAATAAACTTGATCATCAGGGTAGACATTTTAAAATTCATACAACAAAAAAAGGTAAAATATCTGTGTTTGCTTAAATACAGTCTTAAAAATAAATCATAAGGAAAATCTCAAATTTATGCGTACCATTTTGTATATATATATATCTTTTTATTCTAATATATTGTGAATCACACTTTAGAGGAAAATAGCACTCAAAAACATTTTCGACCACATCAAGACAATAGGCGGTTTTCAAACGCTGTTTTTGCCACTTACATTATTATCGAACCTTAACTGAGTTCAGGCGTCTTCCACGAGGTGTGGATGTTGTCATGACACAACTAAAATTTGAGGCCTCGGACGTTACCGGTATACGGTTATATGGTACACAAAGTTGGAATAGTTAACAAGAAAAGAAATTTCGTAATATTAAAATAAGAATTTATTTGCCAGCTATTAAAAAACGTATGTATTATTGCTTATTACTCCCAGTCAAATATACACAATACAAACTCTTACCAAAGTTTTTGGACCACGCTTTATAACACGTAGTATACTATCATCTTCACAACATTTAGTTTGTGGTAGTGAGACAAACATGGAAATGATCTAAACCATTTTCATTTCCAGCACGCAGACCCAATAGAAGGGCATCACGACGCCATTTTCATATCTTCTTTACAAAAACGTCTGAGAAAGCATTTTTTTTGTACTAAACATTGTAACGCATCGCTGACCTGGTTAAATTGCCTGATCTTCGTGATCTTAAGGGATTAGCCTTCCTAGGTTACCAGTACAAAACTCGGAACTTCGGTGTAAAAGCTAAAGGTTACTTTGGCCAATTTAGTGGACGTATTCAGATATCGGGCTATGCGGAATAAATTGGAACCAACTCTTGGCCGGCTGTTTACTGTAGAAGGCTTGAGTTAATTTGCCATTCTCAGCGAAGACAGGAGGTTTGTTTTAGGAATATAGGCAAGGAACAACTACTATCCAGTGCCTTCGCACAGGATGATTTTCCGCAGCGATTATCAGTTTTCCTGGTTATCGGAGATCGAAAGCATACTCTTCGGATCAAGATTAGTCTCAGGAAAGACTGCTGTCTACTATATATAGCATACGTATGTAGATCTCTACTAAGTTAAACTAGGTTTCTAATCTGATGCCAAGATTATACAGGATGTCCAAGGTGCCAGTCTACGACTATGCGTCCAGCCATACCTTATAAATGCGCCATGTTACAGCTTTTATATATATGTATATATTACATAGAATGACCGTGCTAAATTTGCTTCTATCACAAATCAGTATCCACTCATAAGGCGGTCGATAAGATATTTTCATAATCTTTCAGTCAGGTCAGTTTCGCTTTCATTGTTTGCTGGACGTCATTGGCCGTCCCAAAACTTTTGTTTTCCAACGTTCATAAAGCTTTTCCAAAAGACAAATGGATGGTGAGGTTTGGCAAATATGGCGGTTGAGGTAAGATGGACATCCATTTTTTCTGCGAAGAACGCGATACAACTAACTAATGATATTGGTCTTCACCTCCGTGCCGTGTTTTTTGTTGCGCTAGCTTAGCTGCTCTTTGGTTCCACCTTTCACTAGTTTAACTGTTCTTAAGAAGCAGACTTACTTAGTAAAAACCTTGGGGACAAGAAGCACCTTTGTCTCTTAGTGACTAGCCCCTGTAGCTCGTTAGCAATGGATAGCAATTGCTACTGAAGAGCGAGTCTCCTAGCCCAGCAACGAATGGTTATAGACGACAACACTCATAACAGAGCTGCATTCATCCGATGCAATCCAAATACTCACGCTTTCAAACCGTTGCAGACAAATGGTGTTTTCCCCTGTATTGAAGCAGGTTATGGGTGTGAAACGTAGATTTTAAGGCGTTTTGTCGATAATTACAAATGAACCCACTCGATTCACGATGCGAGGGTAAGGATGCTTTTTAGACATTTTTATTCTGAATATGTTTATTTTCTCTGCTTTATGAAATTATACATATTTTGTAATACGACGTAGACGACTTCTTCATAAGAGAGTCAAGGTCGCACAAGTTTGTTTCTTCCATTGCTCCTAAGCGCTCTGGGTCTGATTTGAAGTCTAACAAACAATTTTTATGCTTGAAACTGTAAAAATCGGCTAAAACAAAAAGAAAGCCTCTTCTTGGAGCTTTCCTTTTTGAGCGATCTTTTTCTAAGTAATATTCACTTAATATTGAAGTCCTCAGTTCATTGTGTATTTTGTTAGGTATAAAGTTCCTTCGTGTGTTTTTTGGCCATCTTTTCTGAGGCGCCTTTAATTTAAATTATCTTCAATAATCGATTTTTGGTGAGCTACGTATGTATATAGAACAACTGCTAGTCAGATGATAAAAGTTTAAGTTTATTCTTAATGATTTCGATTCCTGCAATACTCTGCGCAAAATTCAGCTTAACTCGTTATTTATCTAGATGGTAGGTGCAAGCACCGAATTTCCGCGTACGTGAGAAAACGCCGCACGAACAGTGCGTGCATAAACTGACGTTTTGCACTGTCGTAAAACGACCAGACACACTCAGATGGATGTTGGATTCATAATGTATACTAAGTCTTTTGAGTTTTTCGTGCGGTACTACTGTTAAGTGTTACTTCAAATGGTCAGTTCTTTTCCGCATGAAATGAAGAGTGCTGACGTCAAAAAAAATACAGGTTTCTCACTTGACCGGATAGCCGACCGCTCGAGCCTCGCATTTAGGTTTCGAGAACTTGTATCAAGAAGTATAAAAAGAACACTCAGGCCGAAATGCATAATTTTCTCAAATAAATCAACAGTAAAACGCAATATGGTAATAGGTAATCATGAATGCTATACAAACGGTCTTACATATGTTTAGCGTATTCCGTACGCTGCAGGCCTTTAGGTAACCGGAAACGTGGTTCATACGAGTTCCTGATTAAAATGCCCAGGCAGAGCTTTCGGATGTAATAGGGATTAGGGATCTTTTATACACTCTAACCAAGGGGCCCCCACTCACAGTCTTTATGTCTAGCTTTACATCAAACTTTCACCTAAATGTCGTTTAATAGCTTAAAGTTTAATGGACGGATTTCCGAATGGCAGTTCTATGCTTTGGTATTTGTTAATTTCTATTGACTAGAAACGATAGTGTCAGTTAAGCTTCGTGGAATTGTCTGCTTAATCCGGTTGATAAGATAATCTGGAAGATAAGGTTATTAGATATATGCCACCGGTATATGGAGACATACTCTAGATGCGCTTCCGAGTTTCCGAAATAGAGCTACTACACTCATTTACTGGACGGCATATATAACTAGCCTTATCTTTAACATTTTTTTAAAACTGTATATCATAATCAATACATTATACGCGTCCGAGTTTGAAACGATAGAAAACTTTCTACCTAGTACATATGTCACTATAGAAAAAATACCAAGAAAAATTATGCTAACCCGTTTGATTTTTTGATATGGCATACATAGTGGCTTCAAGTTGGATGCTTTTTCTACAGCTGGCAATAGAGCAATTTCACACTTTTTAGCAGCATGTTCTGCCTTAGCGAATAGCAACTATCTGTATAATATTACTCGTGCATAAATTTAAATTGACATATTGGCGTACTGAGGTTTTTTTCATTTTGGCATGTTTGATCTAATTTAAATTGCGCTTGAAACAGGGCGAAAAATAATACCAGCTGCCTATTGTTTTTAAAGACTAAATACCGCGATGAAGTACGCTGTATAGAGAAGATACGAGGTTTTTTCGATAGTCTCTATTAAAAGTACACATTTGAGAGTGATAATGTAATTTTTTTAAACATAAAAACGGTTATTACTACTGACTGCCATGTGTGAACATGGTACACCATTGCGTACCAAATCTTTAATCTCCTATCTTCTACCCAAGTAACATAGGTCTTGGCAAATTTAGACGTTGTGACTCACGGAAAGTGACAATGTTACTCCGTAACTCTTGATTCTATCACACTTATGCAAAACCCTGGACAACTTTCGGCCTAGTCAAAGTTTGGTGTAGTAGATCACTCGGAATGGTTTTTGCATGCGAGGGTAGAACAGACCCTCGCATGCAAAAACCATTCTTAATCACGGCTCAGTGCTACCATTTTGCGTACGACAGGGAAATAGTTTTGTCAGCCAGCCATTAAAACGGATGATCAGCTTCGTCGGAACCTTTATTCACATGGAACAACAACGGGAACTCTAGTCAGCAACGTTGGCCTGAACTGCCCCGCGCTCTTTCCGCCTCAAGTGTAGATACTCCTATGGACTAGCTTCGTCTGATCTCTTAGCGAGGCACAGACAACCCCACACAACTCGTTGCCTGACTAGCGGCGTTAATGGGACAGAGATAGGCCTCGAGAAGGAACAGCAACAGCTCGAAAAATACAGGGCAGTTTATTTGTTTCGTATATAAATACCGCATTGAGAACTACGAAATACAAAGCTCAGTCAACTGCACGCTCTTGCAGCGGTTTCAAGCGTCTTCTTATCTACTCGTTAGGCTAACGAGCTAAGAAGCTAGAAATGATGTCTCTCTGCACTGCTATCTTATTACCGGCCGTCGCTCTGGTGGTGCCTCCTTCGACTGTAGCCCCGACCTTGAAGAAGGCCATAGCTACAATAATGGCTTTGCCAGAGGCTACCTTCCTCGGCGTGTCGACCTCTGCAGATCAGATAATTGGATAGAAAACCATCAAGTGGGGGGTTCTCTCGCGCCAATTGTGGGCGCTACTAGTGCGCTGATGTCGAAAACGACTGCCGGGTTAACTACGTATACAATCCAACTAGATTATCCGACAATCAGAACGTAGTTACCCATTATTCATTTTTCTGCCCAGCTGAATCCTTTTCTGACCAACAGTCTGTGACCTATGCTTCCAGCCTGGCATCCCCACCTTGCCATCTTACCGCAAAATACCACCACCTGAACGAAGTTGCTTTCAGCATTGCCCTACAGGTTTCGGGTGAACAGACGCCGACATCATGAAAGACGTACTTCTGACTGGGGAGAAGCTAAAAGTTTGTAAGGTATCAGCGATGGCGGCTCAGCAGTTCGTCAAGGCAGGATGCCAACGCACTCGTTATCCATAAGCAAAAGACATTCCCCCAACTGGGTAAGTAAGACACGTATTAAACATTCCTAAACTTGTTACTGGCTAGGAACAACGGGCATTTTTTTCTTCAGTGTTCCGATACCGTAGGCGAAATCACGAGTTCAGCTAAAGGAGATAACTAATGCTATTTAGGGAGAAAATGCTTGAATGACTGCAGGATTGTACTATACGTCCGTGTTAGTGGCCGAGTTGTCTGATTCTGTTTAGTTAATATCGCCCACAAATGTTGACAAATAAAAGATTACACTTACGCACTATTACAGACATTTCAGTAGACATCGTTGAAGCATGATAAGTGACATCGTTGGTATCCTACAGGCGCCCTATTAATGAGGAAATTGAGTTCAAAAAAGACATCACTTAAATATATGATAATGAAAAAAAAACTATCAATCAATTTTTTCTGTTATTAGAGAGGCAAGCAGAAAAAGATGGCATGGTGCAGCCATGTTCGACAGGTTAATCTAGCCAATAAGAAGCGTAATAGAATAAACCTGACGTCAATCGATGTACGAGATTAAAGAGAGTTATTAGAGCTACCTAATAATTACCGAATATAATGACTATATTTGATAGATCAGTTTATGTTTAAAACAGAATATGCTCTTATATCTATTTCTCTAAAAAAGGTTTCTTTAGATCAAGTATTTACTTCATTTTCTTCAAACGTATAGTTCTCTCATCCAAGGCTTGATCAAAGCGACCTCAGAATATACTTACCTTGAAACTTCTATCTTGGTTTCATTCGATAGTTTCTCCCATACCGACTCAAAACATTATCATTGAATCTCGCAATGTTTATTGACTTTTTCTATTTCCTTTACTTGACAAACATCGTTTGCTTGCCGTAATTCCCTTATCGGCCTTCGTTGACGTATCTACCAACTCAATTAATATAAGTTCTGCTAAATTTGCGGCACATTCTCCACAAATCCAGAAAGATAAACAATTCTAGTGCAAAAAAACCTCAAACTTTCCGTTTGCTATTTCTGGGATTTTAAAAGATTTTATGAAAGTTATTAGAGTTAAAAAGACATTTTCCCACCCAAGGAGGTGACCTGAAGCAGGCGAGCATTTTAAGATGACTTATTTTTTTGTTCTTGGCTAGTAGCCTGTAGAACGATCGAGTGCAGCTATAATAAGGCTGAATAGAGTTGAAAATAATTGTGGTCAAATATTTGGCCAAAATTAAAAAATAATTTCAATATATCGAATCTCAGTAACATTCTGAACAGAAAAAAGGGTGGCAGTCCCTGTTACATAGTATTTCCTTTGAAGGATCTTGATTTCGGGCAACATTGTTTCAAATAACACAGGATTTAGTATCGATATAGGATATCGCATTAGCAAGTTGCCGACGAATTGTATCGTCATATTTCCTTCTGAGAATTCTAGCATTTTCTTAATAAATACGAAACCCGATTCGGTAAATTGGTGTTCGCATCAATTCATGTAAAAAGGTGCAAAAACATAAGAACATGTTGGCATAACTACATCCCTTGTTTATTGTTGGTATACGTTCCGCCGGCTATTGTTCTATAAATATTTTCTTTTCTATCCTAACCTAAAACACTTAATTGCATCCTGTGAATACCCTGCTATATTTAAAGTGGATCTTCTAATACTATTTCGAAATTTTCGAAGAACCGTATTAGCCATCAACTTCCATGATGGCTGCACATGATACGCTTATGAACTATATCGAAACATGTTACATATGGAAATGTTAATTTTTTATTTACTTCAAATTTAATTAATTCGTTTACTTCAAACTACACCTTAGAAGATAGTATGTTTTAAGTTACTCTTCACAATTTGAATAGTTATGTTTCTGTTAAGCTTTTCTTAACTTCAACACAACGTTGGAGATCCTAGAAATTATCTCAGACTTTCAAGGTTTTTTATATTTGGAAATATTTGACATATAATTAGTAGACACAGAGTGTGCTATTATTCCCGCCAAAGACCTAACCAAAAGTAAGTTGCTAAAAAAATTTGATCAATATCAGCTGTTACTTGTTATGAATAAAATGCTACCTTATAATCATGATTAAACGTTAGACAATGGAAGTAAAAACCCTGCTCTTTGTAATCTTCTCACCTGCATGAAACCCAACCAAGTTGTGGATATTTATAACTATTCCTCCCTGTATATTAGGTAATTTTTTTCTACAATTGGGATCAATATAACTATTTTCCCTTGTATATTAGATTGTCATGGAAACATGTGTATAGCTTGCCAGATTTATTTCAGTTAAGTTTATTTTAAAAGATAAATTTAAAAATAGTTATGGTAATTGTAACAATATTTAAAAGCATTATAATTAGCTAAACAAAAAATTAAAAGATTAATATTTGTCGTAAAAAATGACAATATTTAGTTAGAAATACCCTAGATTTGTGACAGCAACTGCAATTAAACAGCTAAGATGGAAATAAACATTATATAAAAATATTCATTAAAAAATTTAAATACTTAAGAGAATAGAAAAAAAAAACAACTATTCACATTTGAATAAAAGATTGGCGGTAAAAGCAGGCGGTAGCGCCGGGAACAGAAAGTCAGGAAATTTTCGGTTTTAATCTAGTTCAACACACACAAATTAAAGCGGTTTTGTACTTACACATTTTGCACGTTATTCGGGGACGTCAAAAATGATAGTTTTTAGCTGCAGCCTAAAATAGTGGACAGTTTTTTGCGTCACTCTTATTCTACATTATATTACTTACCTTAAATATTATATACCCTTAAAATGTGGATTTCCTTCTTTGTCGAAAGGACTAGCAATTCAGCGTTGGCTACTATGCCATCCTTCTAAGCTTTTTCTGAACTTTACTCAAATTACCAATATTTTATTAAATTTTATTACATTTATCATCATATTTGCATGTTTACGTATACGTAGACGCGATGTCATTGTCACCCACAAGCAGAAATTAATTTTCCACCGTGTGTTTATACGCTGAGATTACTGCTACAAAAAGGGATTTTATGGCATAATGAACACGATTTGATAATTAACCGTTTTTTTTTTTATTAGAAATTTTAAATAAATAAAGATAGGTATGAGTGATCCAAAAGAGCAGAGCTGCCTTCTGCAACGCTGAACGTTGATAGACATATTATTGATATCTGCGCTATCATCTACTTGATTGTAGGCGAATAAAGGCTTAGAATATACGTAGCAAGTCTCTGAACAGTGAAAACACTTGATACATGGGGCGACATTTCAGGTTAAGTGAGGTGATTTTTTAACGAAGTTGTGAAGTGCGGAGAGGTTAAAATCGTCCGCTGAAGTCTATTTATTACTATTATATATTTGTAATATGTGTACGGCATAGCGCATTTCGACACCGAATCAATGAGGATCATTGACTGTGAAAACCAGTTCTAAATGCTTTACGTTAAAGGAGGTCGTCTGTACTTGCCGTTCAAACGTAGACACACAGTAAATTAACATCCAAGACTCTGATTAAGTTTAAAACATTAGTGATTCAGATGATCGAACCTAAAAGCTCGAATCGGCGCCCTAATAATCTACGTTTCTTTGTTAATACTATCCACTACAGCCACTACAAATGTCAAACCGATCTAAATTTTTTTTACAAAGTCTGTACAACTTCAGTCAAATTTGTCTGCGTTCGGCACGATTTTGTAAAATCTGTTTATTTCTGTCACCGATTCTACAAATAATGTTACACATGAACGGGTATACACATGCTGTTATTTCGCTGACATCAAAATTAATCATTACAATGACGCTATAGGCAATGGTAACAGTATGAATTCAACGGGATAGGGACCCGTTAGAGTTTTTGCAATTATTCAATTACTAACAAATTCGCCAATAGCCACGACCCACACAACAGTTTTTTCAGTACTACGATGAGTCGAATCACCGACCTGTCTTAATCGACTCTTTTCAAGGGCATACGTCGATTCGAAAGATACCTTAAGACCGATCGAGCAAGAAATCTTGCGATTCAACCGAGATCGAGAGAGTTACTTTCGGCCACCAGCTCGCTATTTGAGAGAAGGCTGTGAAAAGGGGAGGATACATGCGCCCGGCTCTATATAAGGATCCACACATCTCGCGTCGGTACGTGTAACCAGCGTCGTGCTCTCAAGGCCGTCGCTATTCTCTAGTTCCATTCCTCTAAGTTGTAACTTGTAAGATAGTGTCAATATGTTTCTATTCGTTGTTACTTTTCTTCCAGTGCTGATCTCGGCCGCTCATACGGGCCAGTCTCTAGGAACAACTACAACTCCGTCGGCCGAATCAGTTCTCCTCAATCTAGCTGCTTCCGCTGACGAAACCATAGGACAACCAAAGATCGACACTAAATTCTCTTGCGCGAATCGTCAATTCGGCTACTATGCTGATATAGGAAATGACTGCAAAATCTACCACATCTGCAACCCATCAATCGTTAACGAGACCGAGCATGTCGTCATCCAATACTCATTTTTCTGCCCGGTTAACCAGGTTTTCGATCAGCAGGCTCATGCCTGCGCCCTTACCTCTACCACGCCGTGTCACCTATCCGAGCAGTACTACAACATAAGAATTTTCACTGGCAGCGCCCACATCCCTGTAAACACTAAACCCGTTGCGACCACTCATGTGCCCGTTGAAACCACCGTCGCTCGCGAAACGATACCTCCAGTCGTTGGCGAGACGGTTGCCCCAGTCACTAGCGAGACGATCGCTCCAGCCGTTCACAAAACGACTGATCCTGTCGTTCACGAAACAAGTGCGAAAAAATCTGCGCCTGTTTACAAGGTCACAGTACCCATCGCTAATACAGGGGTTGAACCTGAGGCAACTCTGACCTACCGGACGTCACAACCTACTCAAACTTCTCAACCCGTTCAGATGATTCAGTATGTGCAACAGCCTACTCTGAAAATTCACCGTTCCCAGCAGCCACAGCCGCAGGAACAGGCCAGTCAACAGCTTTACTACACTACCGACCCGGGCAGTCAGCAAGCGCTGTACATCAAGCACTTCCCCGAGCCGAACTACCATATGCTTCCTGACGCCACTTTTCATAAGGTTCTCCGATTTGGTTAAAAATCATCGTAGTTGTAGAAATATCTAAATATCTAAAAGAGTCTCATGTGGCGGAGGAGTTGGATCGACGTAACTTAGCATAAATCCTTATTGATACAAGTCGCTTCAGCGTTCAGAAGCATATTACTGTCGCCGGAAAATATCTTTCGTAGCTGCTTTTCTGGTAGTCACTTCGCGAACTCCGTGTTGATGTTCATTTTGATTACATGACATAAAAAAACCTGTTGAAAATTGTTGTGAAATTTAAATAGAAATTCAGTTTTGCAAACGCGCATAGGAAGATAGCTGAATGAACATTAGTATTTAAAAAAACTAAATAAAAAATCTAATTAACAAGCTTATGAGAATTTTCTTTTTCTGATAGATAATATACGTCAGTACTCGGCGAAAGTGAGCAATAGCAGAAGTGGGCAAAACGAATAATACGTTCAAATTTGCGCTACGACTGATAAAGTATGCTTCTCTCTGTAACAACTAAGCAAAAACGACAAAGAAATAGAAAATGAACGACGTAGTAATCGAATTCATTTTCGATTTAAGCTTTTTCTATTGAGTTTAGATCCGATATTTCCGCTCAGCATTGCCTCTTAAAAGTGGCTTTAGTTACAAAACGAGGTGTGCCTATGTCCGGCTTTGAACATTGACCATTTTGCAGGTCTCAATATCGTGAACAGACACGTTGCCACATTATCATCATAATGGAGCTACTTAGTTGCCCGTGGTTGTATTGTGAGTAGATTATGGTTTTAATCTTACCATATCACACGTTCTTTGTGCGGTTCACCATCATATATGGAACGTTCGAGCTGTCTACTTAGCGGTACTTTGAGCGGAAACTCAAACACCCTTTAAATTTACCCATATTCTTCCTATTAATTTATGAACTCTATATAAGCAATCCGATAAGGACCACTTTGACATCGGCTAGCACGCGGGTCCGTAGCGGTTTGAAAAAGGACGAATGTGTTAAGCATTCTTTGCAGAGATATTACCCTGACAGTTTAACAACTGATTTATCTTAATATAATTTTTTTTTTTTTTTTTCACAAAATCTACCGTTTTCAGTTTGGCAGGGAAAAAAATTACAAGATACGTCCATATATTTAGTGCTAACACGCTAATAGATCATATGCATACTTTGAATGCAGAAGTGTTAATGGGTGAAGTCAGCCGCCTCTGCTTTTACGTGATCCGTTGTTTCTACCTTTTAGGCTCTAAGTGTCACCGCCATGACCGTATTCTGGTTCGAGAAATAGATGGAACTTTTATATATTATACATGTAAAGCTTCGGCGTTTCTAACACGAAACACAATGAAACTGCGTTATTTGGTTGATGTATTGATCTAAAATCCAACCGCAGTGTGGCCATACTTCTTTCTGTAGATGAGTTAACAATTGGAGTAGACTTGTTATTGTTATTGCTGTTATTATTGGTACACGCATGAGGTTTTTTTTACACACTCGCATTCCGCTTCGTATTAAAAACGAGTCACAAAGATGTTTTTAGTTTCATTTTTACCATTTGAGAAATCTCGTCTGACACCCGTCAGGTGATGCAGTCATCACTAGCGTTGATTCTCATCACAGAACTATTATGTTACTCATTTTGGTGATTATTATTGTTATTATTATTGAGTGTCCATCAAACTGTCTTTCAAGTAATAACTGGCCGAACTCTGACGGACGTTTGCAACGCCAGCATGATTGTTTGTTCTATATTATATACTATACCATCTGCTAATTGTAATAAACACTTCAATTCTAATAGTCCTTAAAAAAGTGTAGCTTAATATAACTAATGTCAGCCTTCTACTTCCCGAATTTTACGTCCGGTATTGTCTTTGGCCATTCCATCAGACAGAACGAACTCTGTCTGTTTATGCCTAGGTTCGAACCTCGATCGCAACGTGTCTTTAAGCTTAGCACGCAAATACGCAAATTGTTGTTATTATTATTATTGCTTCTTATACATGATAGCTGGCATTCGATTTCGCGATTGGTCCAGAGGATATGGATACCGGATTTTCGGTTTGTGTAGCTTCGCCGTAGACAAATCACAAAAAAAAATAGTATGCATGACTACTTAACCCTAAAGCCTAAAGAAACTTGACCTACTACTAGGTTTTGTAAAGAAAGAAGCTCCATATAAGTAGAATGTGTCTCGCGAATAAATAGTTATGAAAGCAGGGGCACCTCGTAAAAATCATGCTTTAGGTAGAATCATACAGTTTTGGTTTAAAGAGAATTCGAAATCAGCCGAAGTCTATCCTAAGCCAGTATCCCGCCGTCTTCGACGGGGTACTGACAGATGTTGAAGCAGTGCGTTTCGAGGAGCGTATCTGACATGCTCAAGAAGCGCAGGTTTTCACGGCGACAAGCATCCTACATTGTGAACTTAAATTGCTAAAACGAATAATAATAATAATAATAAATCGCTGACTTATAATGCTTGCAATTTAGGCAATACTATTTAAAAACTGAAACATATATAGCAAACAGATGCACTCGTACGCAATGAGAAATACACTTTTTCAACTATTCAAGTATTCAACTAGGCAGACATATACAGTGCTTTGCAGTGAGAGAAGAACCATTCCTTATCCCCCCTTCTCAAGGAACTGTTTGTCAAAACTTTCAGTCGTTCCTCTTTATTACACCCCATCTGTGCGTATGTTTATCCGACGGATACTATTTTTTTCTAGAATCATGCGTCCCAGTGACGGCCCATCGGCCAGTTCACTGCTTCATGGTTATGATGAAGGAATCTTGAGACCAACCGGATATTTTCAGGAACACCATATTGGAACGTTGAATTTTCAATTATTTTCACCGGGTGCAGCTACAGCAACAATACGAGTAAACGTCTTAAAGTTATCTGCTGTAAAAACTCTGTATGATACGTAACAATCCTATTATGAAATGTACAATACCTGTGCCCCAAGTGTGTGGGTCAAGCTAAATTTTAATGATGAGGCATGGGGGAATAGCATTTATTTATATATATATATATATGTATATTATAGTGTAGTGTCGGTCGCTTCAAACGATTCGTTTTGCAGGATTCGAGTCCCAGCGCATTGCTGGGGGGTGATCAGGAAATAGCTATAAGATTAGGGAACCCCCCTGTTGACATACATTACATGGCAGGTGGGGTGAAAGCGAATAACATATTATGTTTTGTACTGCCAATTTACACATTCAGTTTTCCAATTGTACCGATATCCGTCGCGTTACGATTTTCTGATTAGCTATAGGTACAAATTTTAGCGGTAAAAAATAAAAAGATACGCAACAGCGTTCTGGTCTATTTGTATATAGTACTGTAAACGTGTTGTAGCAGCAGCGTCTATAGAAGCAAAGACATCAAAATGTCTTTCTTTCTAGCTGCTAAACTATTTTCTAACCAAAGATACTTTTTCTTCTCTATCTTCTATCATTTTCAGCAATGATAATCTGAGAAAACACATGAGTGGCATCGTAATATTGCCTTGTATAAGGGCATGTATCTTATTTTATTATGCACGAATAATTCATTTGGATTTATAAAGACTGACTTGACGGTTTGCTCCTGCTAAAACTATATATATATATATATATATATATATATATATATATATATATAGGAGGTTAATCAGCAGCTGATCAAAGAATATGCGCACTAGCTATAGCTTTGTGAAGTTATACAGGAGTGATTAGACGCTTTACAACAAATAGATAAACTTGCGCCAAAAGTTTGCTGGTGGTGGTATGTATAAATATCGTAACGTGCATTAGCATCGCTGCATAGCAATACGTTATACTTGCTCTCGACGATTTTTTCAGATTTTTGGCTCCGAAAAGTCGGTCAATACTGATATCCCAATGATGACTTCATTTTAAGAATCGCGTAAAGTCGACTTTAGGTGTAGGATAAAGACTTGCGCTCTGTATGATGAAGCTACCAAGTCTCAGGTCAACACATTCGTTTCAGCGCACAAAAGCTCGTAGAGAATTCAAGAAAACTTATGGCATCGAAACGCGTGTAGTTATTTCGCTAGGCAGCTATTTGCTGCATACACTACCTATGCTCGAATCTCTCAGCTATTGTCGGCACTTTCAGAACCCCACCACGCTTAATTCAGCCTGTACATTGCATCCGCACGGCTACATGGAGCAACCCAACAGTCTTTCGGCGGCTTCTATATGTCGACAGTATCCATCAGTATGTTCTATTCCAAAACCACACCACCACTGCTTCTCAGCTCTCTGTGTTCTATGTTTAATTAGCAAATGCTCTAAGAATTGCATTCTGATGAACGACCTAAACGAATCATCAGATATTGCACGTGCTTCCCATCCCAACACCCCCGCTGGTTTTCCCCCAGGGCGCCGTTGTGAGTACAACACCAAACGAAACCTATGGTACGCGAACTTCTGTCATCCATAGATATTAGATACGATACGGTTTCGATCGCCAGGGTATCAACGACAAGTTCGGAGCGAACGGCGACCAAAACTTAGGGATTTGCCACGAGGGAAGATTAAAATAAAGCAGTGATACCTGGCGCATTGAAAAAAAGGAGCATTAGTATCGGTCTTGAACACCAAATTTGCTTTGAACGTATTGTTTTAGGTCATCGTCCCACCGCTAATAGAAGTACATCCCATTTTCTTTCTTTCTTTCTCATCGTGCAGCCGAGCTCTTTTGAGGGTGAAGAGCCGCAGGCTATCATTGTAGAGCTCCTGTGAGCAAAGCCGAACCCCGCTGTATAAAAGCGGTGTTTGCACGTTGAAACTTTACAGTTCACCAGTCACTCGAGTAGTCTTCGGGGTAGCCTTCCTTCCTCATCTTCTTGAACAGGCGTGAAACTCAACAAGATGGCTTTCATCTTCGTCGGACTGGCGATACTTGCCGCTGCGCAGGCTCGCCCTCATGAATCGGGCGGAAGCTCGACAACTCAATCGCCGGAGGCGTCGTTCCTCGGCTTGCCCGCTTCAGCCGATGCCGCTATTGAGAAAACCATTGACGTCAAGTTCACTTGTGCTCACCGTCGTCTCGGCTATTACGCCGACATCAGTAACGATTGCAAGGTCTTCCATATCTGCAACCCGATGGAGCTCCCCGATGGCCAGAAAGCTGTGATGCAGTACTCATTTTTCTGTCCGGTTAACACGACGTTCGATCAGCAGTCACTTACCTGTGCTCCACACCCGAGCCCCATACCGTGCCACCTTGCCGAGAAGTACTACTACGTCAACGACCAGATTGGCGTTGTCGGTGATCTGGTCAATGTCGATAATGAACAAACTCAGATTCAGCACGACGCTCACACTGCTCCGGTGACCCAGACCGTTGCTTCTGTACCTCCTGCAATTCCAACATTCCACGCTGTTCAGACCCGCCCTGCTTCAACAATTCAGCACCGTGGTCCTATTCATGCTGTTCAGCATCATGTACCTGCTCAAACTGTCCAGATTGTCCAACAGCGGGCCCCGGTTCAGGCCGTTCAACACAACGGCCCTGTGCAAACGGTTCAGACCCATATTCCAGCTCAAGTCCAGCAGACAATTTTCCGTCAGCCACAGCAGACTAGCGCCCATTTCCAAGCTCAACCTCTCGTGGAACATCACCTTCAGCTCGTACCTACCACTGATAAAGTTCTCCGTCTTGGTTAAACGTTGTTTCTTTAGAAAAGTAGAAGACGATACATTGATATGCGCTTGGCTAAAAAATACGAATATGACTACTATATAATAATAATAAGTAAGTATTGTTATTGTTCTACATTGTTTTCTGGCTCGAATGATAGTTTATTACGATTTATCGGTAAGCGCAGGCAATCGAATCTCTGTCTTCAACGTAGCTTTTTGTATTATCGCCTGTATAGAATAATGAGAGACATAACTGGTGCCGACGAAGTAGTACCTGAGATGAACTGAATTCTATTACGTAGTAAGTAAAAAAGTGAAACGTGTCCGTTCAGTAATAGCAAATAAATGCTTCTTTTTTAAAGTGTTGTTTGTTAATTGGTAAAAATATTATTGGTAGTAGCGAAAATGTTTGCGAGTGGCAGATAGAGCTGTATGTTAAAGTGTAACCCCCTTAAAATAGACGATGGAACGAATAAGGGTCACTAGAAATTCTAATACATTCTAGCTTATCTTGCAAAAATTATTTCTCGAGGTAGCTAAGTCGAGGCTGAATTATAAAGATGACATTCTAAAGAAAACATTTGTTGCGAATGCCGCGGCGGCCATGCGGGTAAGACTGTGCGTTCAGTTTACGAGATATTTGGCTAAATCCTCAAAAGAAGTTCGTTGATTTTGTCAAGATATTTAACTTACCAGTATTAACTAGTCACACACTTATAGTAAATTAGAGTACATGTACAAGGTTGTTTTCGATAGGTAATATATGTGCAAAAGGTCTAAGGCAAATTGGGGGGCGCAGGCCCTCACGGCTATTTTCATTTTTTTTTTCGATATTTTTCAACTACTAGGGCAGTGTTACAATAATGGAAAAAGACAAAAAAGTTTATTTGTCACTACAGGTATTGTAACTTTTGTTTTGTCTGAATCCGCTATATTAAACATAAACAATTAGGATCGCGCATTGCTCGAACCAAAAAGAACATAGAGTTAAAAGTTTAATTAAATTTGTGAGAATGATTTTTACTAATGCGTCTAAAACGTTGTTCGTATAAAAATTTACTTATGATTTTATTTTACCATAATAATACTTTTAATATAAATTACGCTCAAATAACGCCTCAGCCATCAGCGTAATTGTATGTCAGTACCATTTTCATACCTTTGACGCATATTTAATATGTCCAGTCAACCTGTGTAATTTTTAATTCGTTTATGTCAATCAAAGGTGATTTATTGTCGACATATTGGTATTTTCATGAAAATAAAAATGTCGCTATAAAAATCACACCCACAAATCGCAGACCTCCAATACATTGCATTCCATTCTAGAAATCCGCCTGTTCCAAAACGGCCAACGGAAATTTGGCAGAAGCTATGAACCTCTGCCGATACTCACACTTCTATCAAAGCTTCTCTTGTTTGCGTGTGCCCCGCCTATACGGTGGTGCACTGGTGCCTATCCATGTAGTTATATAAAGCGGCGGAAAGAAAATAAATTCGTCTATTCTGTATCGTTGTGATTTGTGTGCCTTTCTGTAGGCGACTCTGGCAGGGTACACCGGTGGCGCTGCTGCTCCAGAAAAACACGACATGGGAAAGGGCTACGAGCTCCTCTGATGTTTGGAATGTTGTCGTGCGTTCTGCGGCGCGACCGAGTATTCGTCGGCCTAGAGGTGATGTTCAAGATGGCTGCGCGTATCATACGCCAGTGAGAGGGAGACTGAAGGATTTTAAATGTATCGAAAACACAAAACGGTACGGAGAATTCGGAATTTTCTAACCAGCGAATGCATGAAGTGGTATGGATGGAAAGTGGAACAGAAGCGGATTAATGCCGGGGGTTGGCTTGTCGTGGTTTTCCGGTGAAACTTGATTTCTTAAATAGACATAATTTAAAAGAAATCAGGACGAGTGGTCCTAGACGGCACTTAGCCTAAGCTTTTCTGAGAAAAGGAACACAAACTGGAATAGAGTTATGGATACAGAAGTGTGTTAGCTTTATAGGGCTCTTATGCTGCTAGGAAAACAGTCAGCTCAGTTCTGGCTTTCTTTTTTGTGATTTTGTGAACGTACGGAATGATTGGATATTTGAAAAAGATCACAGAGAAGAATAAGCGATAGTATCGATGGAGTAAATGCGAATGTGACTATGATAAAGGGAAATGGATTACGTTGCGTTGCGATGGATGGCCTATACTGGGTAGCCTATACATGACACAGTGGATATGGGGATGTACCTCCAGTCATTTATTTCGAAGGATGATATATGACTGGTAGGACAGCTTTTTTGCAGTAAAAGGTTACTATCAGTAGAAGCTACATAAGCCGCCGATGAAGCGGTGCACTAACAGAATTGTCTCATAAATAATCGGTATCGTATTCCGCAATGTGTATCATATACACAATATTAAATTTTCTAAGAGAACTCTGAAGTGCATGATAGCCTCTGCTTGTAGAGAGGAAATAAGCTGGCTTACCGAGTACCTTTGTACCAGCCACATAAACCCAGCTTGTGCACAGCATTAGATCGGTTGGAATTGAATTTGCAACTGCATTTCATGCACGTATTTTTGTTTAAAAGTAGCTTAGGAGAATTAAAAATCAGGCGCCGTTTATCGCTTGTGGAAAGATTCGATCGGCAGAGTTTGTGAGTCGTATCACATCATACATGATGTGTACGAACAAGCTTGTGATTGACCTAGTTAATCAGAATAGTTAAAATTGGCGCTGGCTGGAAAGAGGACAATGCACTCGACGTTAGGGCTTCGAATTATCAATCATCTTTAAAGGCAATGTGTGTGCCCGTCGCGGAGTAACTTTACGTCCAAGTCTGTACAGGGAATGTGTGACTATATATGAAGTGGTTTATGTTTCTTTTAGATAAATTATAGATGACTCACTAAGTTGAGTGGAGTTCCACAGTGAAGGAAGTGACAAAGTTGTGAATCAGTCATCTTTATAACATTACAATAGATTCATGGTCATTTCAGCAACCTTCATTACTCTACGTGCCTTTATGGACAGCAGATTATATAATTATTAAATATGATTTAGGGGATCCGAATTTCTTCAAAAGATACAAATTATATAACTGAAACTTTCTACATTTTCGTTTGTATTTATTGAATATAACGAAGATACAGAACACTGGTAAAATGCATTTCGTAGTATTTATTTTTGAACGTTTTTGGGATAAGAAATGGAGGGTATCTTCGTTGATGATTTTTTTCTTAATTTTTCTTTGTATTGTCTAAATATACATTTTGTTTATATTTAACATATTTCGTTCTTGTCATTGCCTTTTATTAATATTACCTACTTCTGATCCCTATGATACCTAGGAATATGTTAATTTGATTGTCTATCTTTAATTTAATAGCACTTCGATCTTAAACAACACGGAACTAGCTAAATATATTCCAAAAGTTCGACCGCTCCCTAAATACTTTGTTGTGCTTAAATTAAAGTGATAGATTTAGCTAGAACAAATGGTTTCTAGTGAATGTAACTATCTAGCACTGCCGCTCCGAAGAGTATTACGGCGTACTCTTAACTGTTGACCTAGTCTACCTAGAAAAACAGTCAAAACAAAATGTTTAGTAAAGTTTTCTGCTACTAACGAACTTCATTACCTTTACTGTATATAGCTAATAATTATTGCTTTGCACTCGACAAGCCTTTGACGCGTTAAACGTTATGAATTTGACACCTGGTGTAAATTAAACATTGCCAGATACTGCTGGTTTTTATTTCAGCTCTAAACTAAGTGTGTGCCTATATTTGCTTTCGGTTTTGCCTTCTTGGAGGGTCCTTGTGAACTAATCGATCGTTCATTACAATGCATTATTCCACATGGTTAGCTACGAATTGACTCTTCTAATTAATAATCTCAACCATTATTCTCCTCGTCTCATCTTTTCATTAATTAGTTGGTACGAGGTGTAACTTCCCCGTAGAGGGAATGCTAAAGGCGGGTAGACAGACGGAACTCAGTGCAGGTGACAGTGGTACTCCGAGGACAGGCAAAGACAAAGAACACATCACTCCCATAGTAGAAGTTCCGTCGGGTCCAAATTCAAATTTCTTACTGAAATCCATCCTGAAGAGAAGCTGAACCTGCATCGACCTGATATTCTGATCGTAAACTTACTTCATACTTCATACTGATACCTGGAAGAACTCTGAAATAAATTGTAACAAAGGTGTACATTGTAAACGCTTTTCCCTTGCGTCCCTACGGAGGATAAAAGTATATCTATATAAATATATATAAAGCTCGAGAGAGCGCTGTGACATCCGTTCTACCCGCAATCGACGAAATTAGTAGGATGTGAAAGTTTGGCCGGATCGAAAGCCCGTGCACTCCTCGCGCTGCCCGTTCACCTCCTTCTTAAGAATACGGCTGCAAACAATAACTTCTATCAACTACCGTCTATCAGCCATATCGTTAACGTCCATGCTACCGTTATCTTCATCGTGCGTCGTCAACGTGCGCTAAACACGCCATTACGAGTAGTTATCGGCTGCGTTATCGGCTTTTCCTGTAATGTGAGGATTGCCTACCACAATCCGTTTGCACGGTGATCACCGATTTAAAGTACGGCTTTACCGCTCGAGCAAGCGCTGGAGTGTAGGAGTCCGAGCGGGAGTGCCAGAGCACGGTGAATGCTGTTAACAATTAGTGCTTCGTTAGTTGGCAATTACCAAATTGAATTGGAAGAAGCGGAACGATTGAGTGAAACGCAGACGAATTGAATAGGTGTACCTGACTGCGCATGTCCTGGTGTCAGTTCCCGGCGCGTAATTGATGGGCAACGTTTGCTGCATCAACGGCGGAGGCGGTGGGGGCGACAGCAGCTCGAAAAGAGCTGCGCCAACGTCACCCGCAACTGGAAGTTGTTGCAGAGCGACGCAAGACGTAGAAGATCAACTGAGGGAGACGGCGCACACTTTGCTCGAGCAACAGCCACAGGTAAAAAAATACATAACTTCAAAATGTTTAGTGTATTTACTTATCAATAATAGGTATCGGGTAATGATTTATGAAGCTGAAACTAGAAACATCTAAAGGCACATTGTAGAGGGAAGGATCTTTCGACATCTCTGTGGACGTCTCAGAACGTCTGTATATAGAATGAAACACTCCACAGAAAGGGTTGTGCTTTCTCAATCTAACATTTGCTTAAACCCCAAGTTTCTTACGTGTATGAACAGTTACTCTTTCAGCTTGATAAGTCCAAGGTACCTCATGCTGCCGACAGTAAAACTTTTGTCGCAGAATCATATCACTGCCATCTTTACTGAATGGGGCGGATTGCCTTTTTTGTTTACATCATCTGTACAATTTATTCAGTGCTATGTATGTTGAGCCGCTCCTTGCCCGCAAACTCTTAATAAACGTAAACGAATTAAATGCTCATGTTACACCATATGCCATACCGTACTCGTTGCTATTACACTGCTCATCATTCAATATAGTTAGTTTCGCCGTTGAATAGTCACCCTCTAAAAACAGACTGCCGCTATTCCCTTTCAGCCTATGGACTATCGAGAAGAACCCTGTGACGGAAGTCTAGGCCATTGTCGACGCGCACTGCCTCCTACAAAACTGTTTAAGGGAACTGCCTCATCAAATGATAATCATCCTGCCGCTGTAACGTCCAGTAGTCACATAGCCAAAAGGTATTTATTGTTTGCTCTGTTTCATTGCTCGATTGTGGCTTTTTAGATGTTCCAGTGTCGTCGCTTCTGTAACGTAGAGTTTATCTTAAGGTATCCCTATGAAAAAGGCAGGTAATATCAGGTCTGGGAAACGGATAGGGTCTTTTATGGGAAACCTTTGACCAACCCATCTATTATAGGAAATCTTTGTCGAACCCAACATATGAGGTTATCATCAAGATATATCCCAAGTATCACCAAGAATTTCCCATTGTCACTAAAGTGCTATCAAATCTACGCTAAGAGATCCTTGCAGTAAATTCAAGTAATTGGTACTAGTCATTATACTATCAAAAAACAATGGCTCGTTTGCTTGAAATGTCGCATCAGACTGAAATTCCTGGTAAATTAACATGCAGTTCTTGCGTAGGACGCCGATTTACGGTTGTCCATTAAGCGTAGTTATGTCGCTAAATTGTGCCATTTCACTTGGAGGTGACCATATAGCTTCAAATGATCTTTCCGAAAACTGGATCTTGCTTGCATTTTCTTTGGAGTACATATCGCGAAATTATTATCTACGGTCCAGATCTCTGCATTGACAGCCTGTACCATCGTGGTTATCTAACTTCTCTTTTACAATGTCTTAAATTACGATGAACACGTGATTTGTTAACGGCAAGCTCAGGTTATTTGATTCTCTCACAGATTTTTAGAATTAGCTCATTTTAATTTTTAAGTGCATTTTTTAGCTGATGAATTTTTTCGAAATTTCTCTTCTTCCGCTACGTTGTCTTTGAACTTTCTTACAGTTTAATGCGCCTTAAACTTATCTTGTACCCAATTAATTGTACACTGCGTAGGTTGTTGCCTTTGTACTTTTGCTAGGTTTTTATACTTTTAATAGCATTTTAAAATATCGTTTTTCAAATAATAATTATACGAAGATTATTATATTCGTTATTACCAATTAATCACATTCTGGAAGAGAGTAGCAATCAACGTTATGACCTGTTACTTTATATATACTATATATACATATATATTTACAAACTTTTTTAAGAGAAATAAGCTGCACACTCTTTCGATCGTAAACAATAAGCTTCGTTAGCATTATCAGACAGATCATACTGTTGCATCTATTCAGTCCAACTGCTATATGAAGGACCTTTAGGATACTATTTTCTAATCCATTGACTATTAGTTCGATGCTGAGTAAGATTATTGTGTTGAACAATCCATGTAAAAAGTATATGTGTAGAAAATTTGGTTAGTTAATATCATGAAAACAACATTATTTCAGATATTCGTACAATATGGATAAAATTGCCTTATTATTTGAAAAGTACAAGGAGCCTGACAGTGATATAATGGACGCAAACGGTAAGATTATGCAGATATATGTCACAGTACTTAAGTATTTAAAATAAAAAATTGGCAATTCTCTAGTAAATAACTGTTCTTACGAATTTATGAGCGTGTACAGAAGTAGAGATTCCTGGTCACTTTAAATTAAAGACTTTGCCCCTCAAACCGATACATTAGTTAGTACTTAAAGGTATCTCTGCTTGATTTGTTGTACAATGCCTGATTTAAGTTTAGATTAAATGATCTACTTAGCTGCCATACTCAATTTATGTTGAGTAATATTTTAGCTGACTACCGTAGAATGTTTCAGTAATGTCTACTTTGGTATTTTCTGAAGAAGTGAGCAAACTTGGTGTATAGTCTTAACAGTCTTGCCTTTATCATAAAAGAAAGATATACATATTTTTTCCGGTATTGCTGGGTGATCTCAAAGGTAGTAGTATTCAAAATTACTTATGAAATGGCCAGGGAAGGCGAGTTGTTTGGGGGAAAAGTTGTAACGCTTTGCGATTTGATCTAGTATCTTGATGCCAATAAATACAAAAAGATAAATCCGTTTGTTGGAGAAGGCTACTTTACAAGTACAATTAACCGCAAGTTAATGTTGTCATGGCTGCGCATAGGCGCCGCAAACTAGAAAAGGTTGTGCTGAGACTACGTATTTACCTTTATCCGCGTCTGCACAAACAAGTCTCTCTTGTCTTATCTTTATCATAGTTCTTAACAACACTGGTTTAATTGTTAATCGTGATATATTAATACTACACATAGCATCGGGTCTGTTGCATTGCAAATACACAAAATAATCGATCTCTTTGTATGACTTTCTTAACGTGTAAACCTAAACATATTTGTCCGTCGTATGCTCAGGAATCAGCCAATTTTGTAAAGATCTCGACATCTCAGCTGAGGACTTCCGGATTTTGGTATTCGCATGGAAATGTAAAGCTGAGGTGATGTGCCAGTTCACGAAGAGCGAATTTATTGAAGGTACGGAAACAACGGTGCATCTATTGAAAATACGATAATATTTATGATATTAACACTTAATTGTATAATGACTGAATTAAATTTATCGTGTTGTTAAACTTGAGCAAGAAGTTACTCTGTTTAAAATAGGAAAGTTAATGTTTGACTTAGTATTTGGGACGGATTCGCGACATAGTCGATATAGAAACAGGTGTAATGTGTGAAACCATAGTGCATTCTCTAAACAAAGGAAAACCTTGATTGCTACATACAAGAAAAAAATGTACAGTTCGCAACGAAGAAAAAATTTGCGCGATTTTTGGGAAATCATAGTTTCAATAATGGGACGGGATAATGACTCTAAACTTGAAAATAAGTTAACGATTTTTACTGTGCAACCTGTCAACGGCTTTTTTAAACTAGTTAAAAAGATGTTGTTCAGAATCGTAATTTTTTAACCTAAATATTTCTTGTTCTGTCATCTGCATTTCATTTATGCAGGGTTGTCTTCCTTATGCGTCGATTCCATTCCGTCACTGGTACCGGCCCTTAACCGAGTGGTCAGCGAATTCCAGCCATTGAACGATGATGAACACTTTGCTAGTTTGTATAAATGGGTCTTCTCGTTCGCGCCCAGTGAAGATACTGCAGCGATATGCAACGCCCAACAAGCACAGCAAGCCCAAAACAAGAACCAGCTATCACTCGATATGGCCAAACAGCTGTGGAGTATTGTGTTTCAGCAGCCCCATATGCCGGCTTTGGTGTACAAGTGGCTAGAATTTTTAGAATTGCATTCGGATCAAATCGATTTGATTTCGCGCGATACTTGGAACCTGTTCCTCATTCTGCTCCGACGATTCGCCTATGATCTGTCGACGTACGATGAGTCGGAGGCGTGGCCCTCGATATTTGACGATTTCGTCCACTTCCATAACGATCAGACAAATCAAAACTGCGCAAAAAATAACTCACCCTGGGACGAACAGGGAAATGGTAACCTTATCAGCTCCCCTTAGCTGATACCGTTCCAGTGAAACCGTCGCTAAAACTGTCATTGACCTTCATGCAATTTTTCCTATGCTAGTCCCTTGAGCCGCTAGGTGAAAGAGGGAATAAATGAGTGAACCGTTATTCAATAGAATAAACCATAAAGCAGTTAAAACTAAACGAACCATGGAAGAAAGCTACAAAGCTAGGAATCGCGGAACTCATCATTTATGTCTACACACGGACGCATCACGTAGAAGTTTTAATTGGTCGACATGTAATTGCTCGACAAACATCCGTTTAGACCATGATGGGGCTAACGATATGTAGGTAATCGCGTTTTTCGTGCGCGCATTCGAGTGCAATTTGCATGCCTCCCCTGAACGGCGCAACGTCAAATGACAAATCATAGTTTCAAAATCGGTGTCCTCTACCCCGGCCGCCCACAATGCGTTGTGGAATTTGTGTCGATATTTATGGTACTGCATGTGCGTTGCAAATTCAACTATTCTAAATAGGAATCTATCGCTAGTTGGCTAAACTAATTCAATGCAAATATCATGAATGTGAATAATTTTGAACAACGGGGCTCGGCGTCAATTTACCTGCCAATTCATCTCAAACAAACAAAGCAGACGCTCCGCTCTTTTCAAATTGTTTCGAATGCTAGAAGACACTTGACAAAAAAAAAGCTCGATTTTGCAGTAATAACTGGTCGAAAAAAATATCACTGACTTTATTCGAACTCGAAGGACAGCTGCGTGAGCGTGAGTGTCATTTCGGGCAGGTTTTACCCGGAATTGTTGTTCGTGAGGATGTAAGTTTGTACGCCAAAATGCACTGCTCGTTGTTATAGAGCAACATACTTTAAAATTTGTCTTTGAATTAAATAATTGTAACATGCCCTCTTCTATTTGGTTCAGAAACATTTTTGTTATATGTATACATATATATACATCAATCGGAATTATACCCAATATTTAGCTACATTCAATCAAGAATTCAAAAATACATTCATACAGTAACTGTTTCTATGATCCGAATACCTAGAAAATATGGCGATGAGTCTTGCGTGGCTTTGTATTTTTTACATGTGTATAAACACTTTTAGCTATATTTATTATAGTTCTAGCAAAAGTGCTGCGCATGTTTCTACTTGATAATGCAAAATGTGTGCGGTCCTTTGCATGTGGTTTTACTTTTTTACACTGCGAATTCAACAAAGCTGGTATGATTAACTAACGGATACCAATCCAATTAGAGGTTGGTTCTACTGTCCTTCAAGAAATTATTCACTACATTTCCTCTTGTGTTTGGACCACATTTAAAGTGTTTTTTGACTGAAACTCTTAATCACTTTTTTTTTTAAGTTTGTTGTGATCTTGTGACCCCGCTCTCTGTCGAACAATATAGCGATGAAAAGAATGGCTCGCACGTTGATTCTGTTGTTTCCCATTATGAGTAGCTCTTGTGCATTCGTTTCACAGAACAGGTTAAATAGAGACAAACTGAACAACAGCATTTCAATAGGTAGTGTAGTGCTCTAATCAAATTTGACAACAGTATCACCTTAATCTTACCATAATTTGGCAATATCTTACTATAGTTACACAACTTCACTTAATGTATTTGTTGTCTTTTCTGCAATGATGCAATGGAGCCGGTGCACCCTCAATAGCAGTCGGAACAATAGACGACAAACAATCAAACAAATGGTTTTATTGGGGGTGGAGCAGGTTTTAGCATTAAAACTAACTTCCACCTAGTAAAATAAATGTTTATGAGAATTCTGCATATTTGTGTGCTACGCCAATAGGTTTATATACATGTACAGTTACGGGTGAAGAAAAAGCGTTGTAATAATTATCCTATTGCTACAACGAGATTTGCGTTGCAACAGGACTGAGTGCTGGAACAGCTGTCTGCCCCGCGACAATTTTTACTAATTTTGCTACGTGTATTATATACCTTTGAGCACGAAAATTTTTGATGGGTGAGCGATTGCAGCTTGTTGATACCGGTGCTTTTGTAGCCGAAATTTTCATATAAATATAAGTTCTGAAAATCAGAAGCAAAACAACATGAACGACTCACTGAATCTAAGATGGTGGACCAATCGAGTGAACCTTTTAGCGTAGTCATACGATAGGTATGCTGTACGATTGAACGCCATTAACTGTACGAAAAAAACTAAAACCTAAAATTCAAATGCGCAGGATGTATGCTATATAGGGATTGTCTATATTTCTTTTATGGATTATATTTCACCTAATGTTTTCTGAAGTTCGATCTGTTGCAAAGTTTTATCGCGTAGTTTACCGTATAAAATGTTGTGATAAACTGTTCATACATCATTATGAATTCTGTATCTATTGATATCGGGATCGGATAACCGTTACTATAAAATAAACTCTGGGGCTAAAACCTTCGCGACCGCGAGCCACAAAATACTAGAAGCTTTTGTTTTATAAATAACATTTTCAGGAACTAGAAAAATTTTAAAACTAGAAACCAAAAATATACCGATCTGGTCACCTATGTTACAGGACAAGTAATATATAACAAAACAACATTGATTTTTTAATTTGACAGTCTGCATTTTATGAAATGGAGGAGTTCTGAACAAGTGACGTGAGGCAGCTTAGTTCGTACAAATCTTCTCTAAATAGCTGAATTTTATTCAAAATGAACTTAATTTTCCTTTCCACCCATAGCGTATTTTTTTTAAAAACACGAAAATATCGAGAGAACTAGGAAGGCAGTAATTGAATAAATGAAGAAGTAAATGAGGTATACAACGAGGAATGAGTGACCACAGTATGAGCGCTGAGTCTGAAAAATTAAACATAGAGCATGACACGGAAACAATTAAATTATGCATTTCGGTGTCGGAGAAGGAAGTTGTCGCCACCGATTGTCTGAGAATTGTCCTTAGAGCAAAATAGTATCGATGCAAAAGCACAGGTTACTTAGATTATCAAAGGCCAGTTTCCCTCAAAACTGTATTAATACATTATCAGTATTTCCTTAGAAGGCGTGCTAACCACGACGCATTATCAAATTTTGAATGTTATGATTGTATCTCCTTCAGTCGTAGAAAAAGGGCAACTATACACTCGTATTTTTTGCTCTATGTTTTACGTTTGTATATAAACTGTGAATATAGCAGATAGTATGAGCTACTGTACAATGATAAAGCTAAAAGTAAAAGAGAAGAAACATCAAATCTCTAAGGAAGCCCCCACCAGTCGCCGAGGGCAAATTTAATCTTTCGAAAAATAACGAAAGTGTATCTAAAAGGAAAGAGTTCGAACGACAAAAAGGCGAGAGTTAAATAAAGTCGTGCTCTTAGTACAAATAGATGTTTTTTAATTTTGCCTTTACTGTGCTAGATTACTGCACTATTTTATTGTATTATATACTAATATTCGTATATTGGTAAGAACAGGCCGAGCATTTATCGGATGCTGTGTTGAGACGGTTAAAAATGTCCTGCTGAACACAAGTTGGTTTGAACTAGTTATGACAGAAGTAAAAAGGAAAAAACATTTTGTAACTCTACGTTCATGTACGTATAGCTAACACTAACGTAACACATATCTAAACATTGGAATAGAGAACAAGCCAAGCGCTGATGATGGAATAAAAAATAACGATTTACCTACTTTTCAACAATGTTCGATACGCTACTACTTTAAATATAATTAGGACTTCAGCAATTGCCCTTATTAGCCCTAGGCTATTTATATGAATCAGATTTTATCATCCGTCAACTATCTGATTCAGTACTAGGTTAGATATCGCTAGTTACTTTTTCCTCACTAAAGCGCGTTACTCTCCTCAAGCAAAAAGGCTAGGCGGTGGCGGTATGCAGAGTTCGCGTCGCAAATCCTCAATATCTTGGGTCCATCGTTCCTCAAAGTAAACTGGCATAAACGGCTTTGACTCGAAGCCCGTCTGCAAAGCCCACGGCAGATATTTGGTGATATATAGCTGACGATGCCTGCGTGCAACATTATAATAGTAAATTAGATGCAATAATTGATTCTTACGTTTGTTATCGAGAGTGTCGTAGGAGAACAAATGAAAAACCTACTGGCGAGTTGTCATCTCTTGCTGGTTATTCTATACAAGTAATTACCTGCCGCCAGATGACACGCTCTGACATATTTATCATGTCTGGTGTAAAAATGGTACCTCCTTCCAGGCATATTGGTCTTCCAAGCTATATTGTGTATTCCGTATTACATCGATATGAAATTTGATTTAGACGGCTGGTTATCAACGCGAGACGAAATGTATCTATGCCAACTTACGAAGGCTCAATTCGACGGGTCGGTAGATACTTCTTGGAGAAAATATTCGTAATCGAGATGCCAAAATAGGTAATTTTTATAAAAGTTTAGTAAAATTATTTCTATCACAGTAATGGCTAAGTAGTAAGTAAGTTCTCTACACAATTAAGCACTGTTTTGCTTTACTCTTTCGATTTCTTCTTTAAAGTGTGTCTTATTCTGTGCATCTTTTTCAGTTGTGCTTGTCTTTTAAAATAGAATAAATGCTTCTTACTTTGGCTTTAGGCGGATGGCCCCGAACAGGCCAGCGGTGCCAGCCATGGGTAATCTTGTTTGGAAGGCTTCAACCCACTTCACAGTAACCTTGTAAATGAGTAAGATTAAAAAACATTATGCGTCTCTTAGTTAGTAAACTGCACAAATCTTTTGACTCTTCCATCCCCTAATGTTAGTGAAGATACTTCTCTCTATTCCATCAAGATCTCCCCTATTTACAACTCACAAGACTATAACATTATCTCGTTTATCAACTTCAGCAAACATTAGAGAAGCTCATATTAGCACTCAGTGTCATTTGCCGTATTATGAAGTAGATTATTTATTTGAGAAGAAGTAATTTATTGTATTACCTCTCCAAGCATTGTTGTCGGCATCGCCATCATGGCATGGAAAAGATCGTGAACTTCTCGGTAGCGTTGTGCTACGTACGCTAGTTGTGGGTCATCAACGAAATGTACCGGGGAGCGATCGTCGGCACTGATTTTCTGCAACACACAGTAGTACGCAATGATTGTACATAAAGAAAATTACATCAGAAAACACAAGACATCTTTCACCATCCTCAAACAGTTCGCGACTAAAATATTACCAAAAGTTTCAGTCGAAAGCGTCACTTGTTTTATTCTATCGTTTATTTATGAATATGTTCATTCATAGAATCATAGAAAAATTTAGTGAAATGAGATGAATTTAGAGAAAAATGCCTCCTCCGTTCGTATCTATTATGTTGCGGTACAAATTACATGTAGACTCCAGCAAAATTATATAAACAGTTCAGCTGGCAACTAAACAGAAAGAGACACGCTTGTTTCATTCACTCTTTTTCCCTTCTTGAAATGGGGCCCTAACTAGCCCTAATCTTCAAGTGCGCCGTTTCTCTACTAAACCGCATTAATGAACTCAACAGTGTCCATTTCTCTCTCTTTTCCTCTACTTTTATAATTTTGAAAGTTTTTTTCTTCTACCTTCATAGCTAAAGACGGAATGTGATAATACTATATATTCCTAATGTAAAGTCCCAAATCCCAGCCGACATCGATTACGTTCTAAATTTAATCCAATCACTAATTATTGACCAACAGTGGTTTCTCGAGACGAAGATTGCTCAAATGGGCTCTGGCTTGACCTGAAAATCCAAAAAAATGTTTCGTTTTTCTGCCCACGTTTTTGAGAAGACTAACACTTTTAGATATGGCTATACCAATCTCAGATTACCTCAGGCCGTCGAAATGTATCTGCTTGGCCAAAAAAACCTTAGACGATCTTAGATGTAAGAATATGCATATAACTTTTCTGCACAAAGGTTCCAGTTTATTCCTTCACCTACATATTTTCTACTGATATCCCCGACAGTCACCAAGACATTCCCATGCATATGAGTAAATGCTGCTAAAGCCCCCTCTTATGCAATTTACCTATAGTGTTCTATGGTGCCAGAATTTCCATAGCATCTTAAACCGCATTATGGAAATCCCAATGCAACTGCCCATTTCTGAAAATATCTTCCCCAGGCTTTGAGAGTTTACATTACGTACATTGTCCTGCATGAATTTGGCGTAGGTGTATCCAAGTGTGTTTGTCGGCATCCGTAGAAGTGCGGGATAATCAACAGTTTGGGTGTTTATCCGTGGCTGTTGGGCTAAAATCCGTCGACCTTCCTTCGAAGCTTTCATCTGACCCAACATATACTCGAAGCCGCAGTGACCCGTCACCTCACCGAAACATGCAATCATATCTAAGCGATAAAAAATCAAGTGGTTCAACTAAATCGGTAGCCGTTAGTCCGAATGTGGAGCCTTATGCGCATGAACTAATATATTAAATAATATATATCTAAAAAATACCTAAAAAGGACTTCATATTTGTATATAATATTTGCAAATCTATGCATAGTCCCTTGAAACGATTTACTTTTCTCTAATAGGATCTTGAAATTAATAGATAAGAACCGTAAAGCTAACAGCCTACACCCATTCACTCTGTTCTTTTGGAGATCGTTTTCTATTTGTCAATTAACTTTAATTAATTTATTGATTGATACCAACAAAAAGTTTATCAACAAAGTATATCGCTGACCCGCTCTATAGACGTCCGTGATGGACACCAAAGCCGACCCGATGGCAAGAAGACCTTTCTGGAAACTTGAAGTGGGGTAGTGGCCTGGATAACGTGGAGTTCGATATTCGCCTGATGTCGCAGGGTCTTCGTATTCACATTCAACCCAGCGGATATTGCTCGCCGCTTCTAAAACGGTCAAGTTATGTCGCTATTATCACGCATATATGTACGACGCAATACTGAAAACGGTTTCTTGTGAAATCTAATACAGTAGAGCCTATTTCATTGCTAGTGACTTTTATTCCACAAGTCTACATAGAGCTACAAGTCAACACCCCGTTTAGCCGAACAAGAATTGGCTGTCGGTATTTTTCGATCGCTTATTGGTTGGAGACAGTAACGAATGAGTGTGGGGCACTTACCGGCCATTTCGTTTATCGTGTCAATGTTTTCAAACCTCTGACCACCAGGAGGAACTTGTGCTTCTGTAGTGGAAGCTACAAACCGCCGGTTCAAATGAACCCAAACTAGTGTGCGCGACCATTTTAACAGTCCCGCCATAAAATATGATTACACAATCCACAGGACAATACAAAACGTATAACGGCAGTATAGCAAACAATATATATCAGTATCTCGGTTACTACTAACATATAATAATTGCCTATGTAATAAATCCACTTTTACTTAGAAAAAGTTTACTCAAGTTAAACAGACGTCGCGTATCAAAAATCAAATGTTGTCATTTTGTCCGCAAGAGTCAGCCAGCTGATAGGCAAAAGTTCGTTTAGACCGGAACCAGCGAAAATGAAAGGTGGAGAGGACGAACCCGCGGGCACAGTCACAAAGATTTGCGATAAGCGGCGCGCAAATTTAAATTCGATAAGTAAGCGTTGTTGCCAGTAAATCTAATATTTGTGACTCCTTACCATGTTGTATTTTCACATGAATTGTGTCGAACATCAGTTATTTAGCGGAGTTGTTTAAACTGTGGCAAAGTAAGTGATATTTATGGGTTAGACAAAATAGTTTTTTAATCGCTGCTATGATTATTGTGCACAATATCGCCACTTCTGTTATGATTCACAAAGATGTGGCAACGATTAAAGAACAACTCGGAATCAAATTTCTACCTAGGGTCTTCGTCAGGAGAAGCAATAAACATAGAATGCAGAAACGACTCGTCAAATTAAATAGCTCGTAGATTTTGTGTTCAGGACTCGGAAAGCGAGAAAAGTGGCATGCCGTTGCTTGTACGCCACAGGTAACCTACGATCAGTGACAAGCCACTACAGGCTGTATGTAAATACTCTTAGTATTTTAGCTTCCAAAATACGAACTACGCTAAATACTAATGTAAAGGGGTATGGTTCACTATCAACAGCGGACGGATTCCGAAATTTGCAAGTTGCGCTCAATCGGTGTTCCTCAATGGACATTTGAGCTAAATTCGAATCTTAAATATATCAACACGCAGTACTGCACAGTACCGCGCAGTTTTAATAGTACGAACTGGACAACCTTTTTGCCATTTGTTATTGTTAGATCTGAGTAGTATTTACAGTTTTTTCAATCGTTACGTAGCGCTGATTCTAACCTATGCATCCTCAGTGTGTAACATAGGACTACTCAGAGGCAGGACTCTGGTATACTATAAACATATAGTATATATGTAGAGTAAATGTGAAGTTGATTTTAATGGACCCGCATACAACGATACTTTAAAGACACTATTCGGCAATGATTTTAAATTGCTCAACAAATTAAGAAAATGATCTTCATCATATTCAAATATTCTAAAAATATTCTAAAGCTATTCATACAGTGTCAAGCGAACCTAATATATAAAATGAATGTTTCGAGTTTACGTCTGGTACTCAAGCCGTTGAGCGTCGCTTCACACGGCTAACTCCCAGCACGAAACGAAATGTGTTTACATTCGGATTGACACTTGGGCTACCACCTATCCTAATGTTTAGTAGGTAAGCACATTACCACGGGAACAAAACTCGATGTATAACTCAAAGAAGTTGCGTCTGAATATAATACGAGTAACGCTTTGTCGTGACGCTTCGTATATTTAATCCATAGACGAATACGATCGCTTCTGTGTTCATTTTTATGTTTTTACGACAAATAAAATCCATCATATTGTAAATGACTTCTTCGAGAAAAGCACAATTTCCCACCAGAGTCATATTGTTGCTTACCGCAAAAGACTGCGTGGACCAAATCAAATAGAAATCAACATGTTTGTTTAATCATTGTCGAATATATCTGGCCCATTCTTCTTTTAATGCTTCTATATCAATTCGAAAACTAGTACATAGAATTCGAATAGAGGCTCAAAAAATGATGGCCAGGATTTAGTTACTAAGGGTTACACAATACCAGATTAAAACCTTAGCGGTGAAGTCCTGTCAGCACAGTGAATTCCCCTTAGTCGCTCAACAGAAAAGGGAAACCAGCACATACATGCGGATTGTCAACGCACAGCTTCGACCTGATGAGTTTGCTTAGCCCTTTACCGCTAACACGCCGTAGAAAGACGTCATTATAAACTGGAAGTGCAAATGCCCATACGTTATTCACCACAGAGGTGTCAAGCCTTAAATTGGAGTAAAGGAAAGCATACACCACGTTCATATAATGTGGTATTTCAAATCGAGACAGAATGAGTTGCATTATGGAAAATGGATCCAACATTATTAGATAACTGGCTTAACTTGAAATTCTTTATTCCTACGTTTAAAAACCGAAATTGTTCACTTCTAGAGTTAAGATTCTTACAATAACGTTAACTTGAGATTCTTAAACGCTAAGTTTAACTCAATGTGCTTACATGTTAAGCTTAAATAAAGATTTTTAAACGCTAGGTATAGAGACGGCTCTTCAAATCTTAAGTTTAAGGGGATACTTTTATTTTATCGGTTTAAACCAAGATTCTTAAATGTCAAATACCTGCCCTAAAAGTCGTCAATTCTTCATTACGCTGAGGGCAAAAATATTCCTTTGGTATTAATCGAAGAATAACTCCCTACATTATACAGAAATCTTTGGAGGGCTCATTGCAAACCTAAGTCGATATACGCAACACTGCACTTGTAGCAGAACTGCTAGACAATAACTCTTGAATAAAAACATGGTCGTACTTGACTTCATCTTCCGCGGCCTTTTGTATCAGCGAAGGTTTGCATCAATGCACCATTACGTGGAAGGTCGATGATATTCACGAATACTTGTCGAATGCCTCATTTAGAACTATCAAGTGATACAACGGTCTGCTTCACAGCCAATGTTTTAAAACGATCAGTAACGCTCATCAGCTCAGCCTTGGTCTATTGATTTTATTAGCTTGCTCTTTTTTTTAACTCCGATATCCCGCATCCTCATTTAAAAGACTAGCTAGAAAATAATATAATTTTCTGCTATCAAATTTTCTGACTCCTTGCTAGAAGTTTTCATTCGCAGGATGTTGTTAGTCGAAAGGAACGCTTAGGAACATGTCTTGATACGACGTTTATTATACATAACCTTTAAGGGGTAATTGAAATATAAGTGAAGTACAATAAATAAGGTTGTTTGGTTGAAGAATATTGGATTTAATAACTTACATACATTTATCCTGCGTGCAAAAGAATATTTATCGATTTTCCAGTACACTATATAAAACTTACTTGGATATTTTTACATATGATTATCCTATTTTATTTTCCTATTATATATTCTAACTAACAATATAGTCCTTAGCAGAGGTTTCTTTAAGCTTAAATCGCTTGACAATGATTTTATCTTCTAAGATTGTGTTTTACACTGTTGAAGCGCATATTAGAATAGAAGAAACATATTCTATAGTTGTACCTCCTCTATTAGATATGAAGTGCAAGGTTTTCGCGGCTAAAATACATATTAAGCAGCATTCGCTAGGAAGTTTGCTTTCCACAATAATCTCTTTTTAAATAATATGAACTAATTGGGTAGGTTATCTGCACGTATAATTTCGCAGCATAAGTAACCATATTGCGGTGAAATTGAGCCACTATATGAATTCGTTTAAGATGTAAGAACTTATATGGTATTTATCTTTCAAGCACATAAATATAATGCAAATGATTGTTACGATCGTATTGTGATCGATTAAGTATAATCGATTTGCACTATTATATGAAAAGTAATATAATCTAGAAAAAATCCTTTCATGATTAAAATTTGATTATAGTTCTATCAGCAACATTTTTAGTAAAAATAAAATAATCGTTAGATAACATAGTAGTGTCATTTGGTGATACTTTATAACAAAATCGGGAACATGTCTGTGTAAAAACCTTGAAGCGAGAAATACGGAAGCCCGCGTTCCGTGGATTAATGAAATTTGCGGAGAACTTTACTACCGCAAGCTCCCTGCCTCGCAACTTAGCGGACGACTCCACCATGTATACCCATAGTAAATAACGAATATTATTACAAAAGCATCGATATAAATTTATAATTTTATTATCGAATCGCGGAAATCCGCGCGAATACGTGAACAGAACGTTTGAAGGCGAAATTAATGGAAGCTTGGCGTGTTCCTTTAACGGACATAATACGACAACAGTCCTAGCGATTAAAAAGTAAACAGCTTTGGTGGAGCTGTTCTCTGCGGCACTTTGCATAGCGGTCGATGACGTTAGAGTTATCAAAATATTTTCATTCACTAGCAGAAGGATTTGAGATTTTGGGGTACTAACTGCGTAAATACTTGATTGGAAAGCAGAAAGTAGTTGTGCCATTTTGCTTGCCTATTAATCTGGAACACTCGCTGATGACTCAGAATGTCGCCAAAAACTAGTCGACATCGTTTTCTACGGCAAAGAGACACTCAGAACGTTTTTCAGCCGCAAAGTTTAAAAACGGCTAGGCAGTGCCGACGGGTTTTCAAAAACCACGTAAAAAAAAAAGCAGTTTTGGAACGACGAGACCGGTGTGCCACAACCGAAACATCCAGTCAACTGCCTAGAATTAATCGTGTATGTGGTAAGAATCGGAAAATTTCATTGTCTTCTCACCGAATGCGGGCATCAGATAATGACTGTAAAATGTCTTCGACAATGATTGATAGATCGTTCACCACTTCACGTCATGAAGAAGCAGCCTCCCTTGACCCATCGAGTACCATATCTGAAGACAATCAGTCTCAGACTATAAGTGAAGAAAACTTTCACCGAACACTCCAGTCTGTAGTTGCTTGCTATGAAAATGACAGACTCCCTGTATCATGGGTAAGTGATGTTACGCTTGCAATGTGCTCCGTAAAAATATTTAGAGTAGAACAGTGTCGATCAAATCAAATCACTTAAGTTACTTATTTTGTTGGTTTTTTTTTAGCACTAACTTTGTTGTCGTACGCAGTTGGTTATCTATAAGATTTCTCTGTGTGCCGTCAATGGCATCTCTGCTCTAGTTCTTACTTGCCAATTCAACCCTGACCCGATACGCGCAAACCGTCAGCGCAAGGAAAGACGGCGTAGGCGTCCAATACATTTTAAGTTTTCTGCCAACCGAGAGAAGTTATGCATCCAATCTGGGTCTGTTTTTTCCCGCTGAAAAAAAAGAGAAATTTCATATCTGTTTCTGCGAATTACGGCAGTAGACAGTTCAAATAGTGACATGACAGACGACGAGCAGACGAAATCAAAACGAAGACGATGTAGTCCAATGTTTTTCCAAATCTCCACAAACACTATTTGAGCACGATTTTGATTTTTGCCTATGTCTGTTCAAAGTGGGTGTTTTTACATATAGCCAATGCACAGCCATCTAAGCGTGGATTCTCGAATTATAGCCGAAGTTTAGCAGGTAACGTAACTGCGCTATGCGCTACAGCTCCTATGGCATACATGGATTTCTGTGGAGTCTCCTGTTACCGCCACTGTGAGAAAATAAGCAGCGCCGCAACAGTGCTCTTAAACTCCAGCTTAGCGATCTTGGCGCCACCAGCTATCACTGATCTTTCCTACGAATAGCATACGGAGAAGAGAAGCAGTTTAGAATATATCATAACTTAGAATATATTATAGTTTAAAATATATTATAACTCAGGATATATTACAACTTAGTGTGTATTACAGGTATAATCCTAAGTTCCTAAATCGTAGCAACACTTTAGATTCTCAGGCTAACAAATTATGACGAAGATTTTTTTTTTTTCGGTGAGTCTAGCTGTAGTAGAAATTAACTGCATACATTGACAATGCTTTATGAGGCTACTCGAAATTGCCCCATATAGTGGTATTAGTTTTGGACAACTTAACCTTCGACAAATACTGTTGGCTTTGCGACACTGTCCCAGTTTTGTAATATTGTTTGGAATGGCAGGCTCAACGAATAGGTAGTGTGTACTAAACCGAGCCCTAAGAAACTCGGTTTTTCTCGAAATTGATAATTGCATATGACTCAGGTATTGAATTCAAACTAATTTCTGTGAAAGCGGAGTTACCCCGAATTGAAAGCAATGGTTTATACAATGTCACGATAAAAATTTTGCCAGCTCTTGTAGTGATAACATGTTTGCCTATTAAGTCTAGAGATGCGTGAGGTAGTCTAGGTCTGAAACCAAGCGTAGACAGACGCTCTTCGTTCTGTGCTGGAACACGCCAGCTGTCCGAAGGACTGCGTAACGTCAGTAGAACCGACAGTAAACCTCGAATCGAAAGATGAATAAGGTATGAAGACATCGTACTGGTAGCCAACCATTTGGAGCAGCTGGTCGCAGAATTCGAAACATACAAATATTAGCCCTTTACATCGAACTACGTTGGCATTTTGCGCTCATTCCGTGGACTAGCGCCCTGGATAAGTACTGAGAGAAAACAAAGCAAAGTAAAACATCAAAAATGGCAATATACAAGATACACTACAGGCTTCTATATGCGAAAATACCAGATACCAATAGTTGAAATTTTTTGTTTCATATATAAGATCTTTAAGTAAATTTTAAACTAATTAATGGATAACACTTTGAATATTTAGTAAACATAGATACAGCCTTTCTCATTATTTTGTTTTTTTTTAATTCATTTCCCATAAATCCGCTCCAAATCTTATACTAAAAAATAAAGTGCGACCCGCCAGTTTTTGAGGCAATACTAGAAGGTAATTCCTAACACCTGTTAAATAGGGCGATAGCTGAGCACGGAAGTGATGCTTGAATCATTCCAAGCATAAAAGGTCCGCAGTAAAGTTCCTGCAAGTACGATTAGTACTAGATGAATAGAATGTAATAACCCTTAAACGCCTAGAATAAAAAGGAAAAGATGAAAGTGACAATGCGTATAAGCATATAAGGATCTGGGTCGCAATTTCTATGGAAGGGCTTCTACAGATTATACTGAATGGTCGTGACATATAACATGGGCTGACTAAGACAGATTCTTCGGTCTAGACGACGCCACCACCCGGATATTGGTGTTGTTTGAAAGTATATATTGTAGTAACTCATTATTCGGTTCGCGTATTTCGGTTCTGGAGAAAGCAAGAGGGTATCGCCAAGGCAGTGGACGTTCGATTCGCGCCCTCCCAGTACTGCGACCTTTGTGGTTCGTCCTTCGTGTTGCGTTGCACCGAACTGGAGAAACACGTGAAGCAGTTTCACCCGCAGCTAGTGGAAAAAATCGACCGCCCACCGAAAGTAAGTAGATAAAACATGACTGTTCAAATAATGTTCTTGTGTCGAATGAAAATTTCTAAGATTATGCTTTTCCTCAAGCTTTTTTATACCTTTCTTTCGGCACCAAAGATTGATACTATGGAACGTCATCACTAAGTTATTTAAGCTTCGCTGTGTCCTAAATGTTGAACTTTAACACAGAGTCTAACGATAACTTTAAACGGTTTGGTTGACCTGGTAGGTGTTGGTACCGCGAGGGATCATGTATGCGATTCGAACCTTCGAGATGCCGGGCCATACATTCTCAATAGGTCCGTACGCTGCGCTAACGTTTATGTGTCTTCAAGAACCAGGCCAGCCGTTCTCAAAATGTTTGCGCGACCTTGTCTTACTTAATCGTGCCAATGGTCGACGCTACCGAGTATACCCGAAGATCGCACCGCTTCCCTCCTTTGAGGTGCCTTCTGGCGGCTTCCGTAAACACTTGTTACGTAATAGACGCTCAACAGGTTACTGGCCAAAGGGAAAAGACTCAGACCTTGAGACGTTATTGGACGTCCTACACCAGGTCGGTTACAAGGATGCATTCACTTCGGGGGCGGTAAGTGTAATATAAACCACATTTCATTGACATTGATTGACGAATTCGTCCTGACTGAAGGCGAGCCTACGGCTGTTTGCTTTGCATTGGTCTTAGCGTTGGGTTGGAACTTTATTAATGGACATTTTTTTGCTTAATAAAAATGCGACGTTTCACACGAGTTCTAACAATAATTTCATTGATTATGTATTCGCCGTCACTTTCCATGACCTTTTATTATTTTTCAATCGACTGAAATGTTATTGCTCATAAGTTTTCAGGTCTGATATTCCACGCAGTTTTTAAGACTCGCTCTACTGTCAGATGTACGGTTAATAAGTTCATTTGGCAATGGTCAAGAGATATGATAATCTGTAGACGCAAAGTCTGGGAAATATAGTGTGTGCAAAAAAGCGTCCCACTCAAATTCTTGTGGGCGGCTTCCATAGTGCTTGCTTTCTCCGGCCTGGCGTCATCGCAGGGTAGGACAACTTTGCCTTGTCTTGCAGATATTATTCGGTCAATGTAAGCGCTATATAGACTCTTGTTAGCCGTCTGACTCTTTTCAAGCGTTTCCTATTATATAAGGCGCTTTCAGTTCCATCAAATTCAAACCATGGTGTTTTTTGAGTAAAAATCTGGGTTTCCGCTTACTTTCCAAAACCTAATTTACTTTGTAAGGAAAATAGGCTTATATTTTCTGATAAAATTCTATATGCCTGATAATATGCTAATGTTTAAACTTAGCTCATCTACCAATAAGCTGGTTGCTTATAATCCTAGGTCCTTACTGATTCCGGAAGAATCTGGACCTGTAGAATGTACCTCACTCTGGTCGATAAAGGTACATTCTGCAGGTCCAAGATCTTATCTTTGAATTTAGAAGAGTCCTTTAAGCAATTCTTTAAGTTAGACAAAATTTGCTGTATTTTGCACAAGTAATATGATGTGCTTCAACAGCTTTTCAACAAATATTGAAAATTCGCTTCTCTCACTTAGAATCTGGACCTGACGTCGAATTCTGTTAATTATACAATGAAATTATGACGGACCGCTGGTAGAGGAAACAGAAATATGTGGAATTAAACCGACAGTAAAGAAATTAGCGAAAATGCCATTAAAAACGAACAGCCATAGCGTATGTTACTATCCTATATATATATATATATATATATATATATATATATATATATATATATATATATAAGGAAGAATTGCAATACTATCCTATTTTGGAGGCGGTGAACTTATACGAGAACAGCATTGTACATGAAGCGCTAATTATCTTTTGTTCGTCTGTTATGTCGAACTACTTGAATTTACAAATTCATATGTAATAAGCGTCCACAGTAGCGCAGAATATTTTGACGTATACTGAAAGGAATACCTTAAAAAGTACATAAAACGAAGGCACTCAGTATTTAGTTCAGATTTTTGAAGTTAGGTGGGATTTTGGAACCCATCAATCCATTTTTTTTATATCACAGCTCGAAAGCGCCATGACAAAATAGCTATATAAACGTGGAAGGCAGGAAAAGTACTTAGATGTATTTACAGGATCGCACGTTGAGAACAATTAGTCACTTCTAGTCCTCGAAAAGACATTTAATGATTATTTGGTAAATTGGTGATTGGCTTTGTTTTTTAATTGCTTTAATTTTTATTTATTTTGTTTAATCTTTATTGTACAATTTTAATTGTAGATAGTGCCATCATTGACCATTCCAGATGTCCATGTTGACTGAGTACAAGGCACATCGTGTGGAGGCATTCCCTTCAGAGGTAGTCGAGTGTCGTCTGTGCGGTGAGATTATTTTACTTCATCCCCTTGAGGTGGTTTTCCATCTTGCTGTCCACGGCCTACCATTGGAAAGGCTTTTCGGATTTAAAACCAACGTTGATTGGCGTAACGTTGAGTGTGCGGCATGCTTCGATAGCAGACGACTCAAGAAATGTGTAAGCCTGGATATGGTCGGTTTGCTACGGCATCTCAAACAGTGTCCAATGCGGAATAAGCTATTTTCGAGGGGTGCCTATCCACTGTGCTTATTTGAGCATGCGATAACACTTGGAGGTGGGCTGAGCAGCCAAACTAAAAACCCTGTACCCCGTATCGCAGAAAAAAACGAGTTAGCTAATATTTTCCATAGCATTCCACATGTTCCAGGCTGGTGTACAACCAGAGAGAATGATAAAAGAATGACTGAAAGCAACGATGTATGGTCGGAGCATTCATATGCCCGTTGTGAATGCGCTGCCGAACTCAAATTGTGTCTATGCGAGTTCCCCAGAGTTGTTTTTGAAGAGGACCCTTCGTTAAACGCTCTCAGTATTGAGCAGCACCGTAATGACGCGTCGAGGGCCTTAACAAAGGCAGAAGATATTTTCGTGAAGCTTGAGACCGTGTACGATGAATGTATACTAAAGGATGAAGCAATGTTCAGTGAGGAGATGGATCTTGCGGTCCATGCCTCTTCTGTAAGGTCTGAACCCGCAGACAAGCCTGCAGTGTTGTCCTACGACAGTACATCGAGTTCTCCCGAACAGCTGCCTGAACGATTCGTCCCGCTGAGGTTTATTGCTGAAATAATGGATTATCAAAATGAACATCTAGGAGTAGACGTCTAATCTTTTAATTTCGAAAATTTTACATTGATAGTTGTAATTTGACATTGATCGCCGTGTCAACAAATATAGAAAATTAACTAGATGGAAACATAATAGAGTTATAACTAGATTATTACTGTCAGATGTACTGTGTATAGCGTAACGAGGTACTACTCGAAATGATAATTGTGTTATGTGTACATATATAAATATGTAAAGTAACTGAACTCGGTCAGTGACGGTTCGTAGAATATTGCATGGATAAAGCGCACGAAATGTATAAAATACCAGAGTGTGCAATAAATATTCAAATCTTCAACACTAGGTTTTATTTTGTTGTTTAATAGATACTTAAATAAAATATCGTCATTCCTAAGCGTCTTAACTCGTCAGTTACATTATACTATTGCCTAACTCAAATATTATCTTAGTATTAGCTTTACGGGCAGCGATTGTCGCTTTTGTTTATTGAATAACTGAAATTTACCTTTAAATGTTACTGTTGGTTTGATACAGCTCCAAATACGCTGATTCTTTCTACTGATACACATATGTTTTGCACGATTGTAACTTTCGTTACGTTATCGCTTGAAATTTTGCTAAAGAAGCAGTTTTCTGCTGTTTTCGCATTGTCCGCTCGAGAACGATATATTCAAATTGATATTTTCGCAAAATGGAGGCCATTAAGTGTTTTTGAATTTACAATTTTTATATTATTTAGGTACACTGCCCCGTCGCATGTAGTTTTCTCGAGCCAAAATCCTCTACAATGGCAGGTTGAAGGTGTCATGGAACCGAATAAATGTCCCAGTTGCAATTGTTCACTGTTTATGCGTCACCAATGAGTACAAAACTCCTGTTAATAACTTTTCTTTATGTTCCGAATTTTTCTGGGTACAGGTCGTTTGCAGACTCTGGTTCCTAGCACAAACATATTTTTGGCAGTCGTTTTCATTGTCAGATTCTGCTGTTTTATATGCAGCTTTACCCTTTGGAGAAGTATTGACATACCGGTATCTAAGCGGAACACGCAATAATAGGGTTAATGAGGTTTTTTCAATGCTTTATTTCCTTCTACTGCATTTCCCTTCAGCGTTGATCATTCTTTCTGGAATTCAAAGACCTTCTTGATTTCAAGCATAAGTCTAAACTAGCATCATATTCATTAAGTAGAACTATACGCAACATGTAAGACGTCATCCCAGCTTAAACGTGTTTATTTGTGAGTGTGTACAAATTTCCCTGATTTGCCAGTGCTATTAATAATTTTGCTTGTAATTGGAGTCGCTTCAACGTCCAGTATGGCTGCTCCCTATGGGGACGACCCTTATGTCCCCGTACTCGAGTCGCTGGTCTCCAGCTCAGATTCACTCTACTGACCTTCAGTTTCATCCATGCGAATTAAATATCCTTTCGTCCCATCCAGCAGCACCAGGTCTCCGGTCTGAAATATCTGAGTAAGGTTTGTTATGTCAACTTTGTGTTATCATCTTTTTATTGTTTTCGCCTAAACGTTTTATGTCAAGTATTGCTGTTAAGTGTTATTTCTTAAGGCTCATTGTGTCCAGCACGAAACGGAGTGTAGATGCCTATGTACTATGTTAAATCAACAAGGTTTGGGTTTTAGGTATGGTTTTGTCGCCATTAAGCATTGCTTCAAATGCCTGTGTCTTAGCATGAAACGGGCACCGTTTCAAACCTGGGAAAGCTGTCCCTGAAATGGAAATTTACGTAGCAGTAAACGGCTTTTATTTCTATAGCACAGATAAAAATACCATAAATGAAGTGAAAGTCTAGTGTATTCGAAAACTTCTACAGAAGACGCGTTCCTTAAAGAGTTTATTTTTCATGTGTTACAAAGAGCTACAGGACTTAGCAAGCAGCAATGTCCTAATTTGTCAAGTACTTATATCTTTTCTTCATATCTTTTTATTGTACATCTTTATCATTCAGGATACCTTAATATCTTAGGACCTGACAAATAATTTGATAGCATACAGCCATGCCTTTCGAATCTTCCTGTAAGCATTTATTTATTAACTTTTATGCTCACAAAATACCATTGTAAGTTGTACTTGGCCGTCGAAAGGACATTAACAAGACGTCTGTTTCGAAAACTCTTTAGAGGTACTAGAAGAGAAACAAGATTCATTGATCCAAAAAGCTGAGCAAGCAACATTCCCTCGTCATGTGAATTCTCTCCGTCTCTCCGATATTTAAATTATCCTAAACCATAGAACAACAGTGTGTATATCGAAGACTAATTCAATTATGAGTGATTACCTACTGTAGTCGAAATACCTTACTGGCGCCGGTAAGTCCGACGACGCACGGTAGGCCGTATCTGCGAGCTAGTACAGCTCCGTGCGACATGAACCCACCAAGCTCAGTCACGATACCACCGAGGATCGGAAAATAGGGGCTCCAGCTAGTATCCGTCGCGTACGTGATTAACACCTCACCTTGCTGATGAAAAAAATATATACAGATTTATATATCATAAATTGGACGAAAGCTGTCTAGATGTAGAAAACCACTTTTATTTGAAGTACAAAGTCAAAGTTATAGTATTTCTGTTGATTGATTGAATCAGAAATCAGGCAACAAACCTGGACAGTATAAACGTTTTCCAATTTCGAGATGACTCTTGCTCTTGCTTTAATTCTTCCTGCGTTAATGGGAAGGCCTTTCATTTGTACCACGTGGCCTTCGAATGTTGGAGTCTCCGATAAAATCTGCACATCACAGGAATGAACGACAGTTTTAATGCAATTGATATTTATGCCTGCATAGGTACACTAGGTTTGGCATGGCTGGCCTACTTCAAATAGTGTATCCTCGCGCAATGCGCAACGGTAACGCGTTTGTCTGTTATGCTTAGAGGCATCTTGCGTCCTGCCGAAACTTGAAGTGGGGGTGAAAGTCACCCCCTAACAGAAAAAGTATCCCAAAAGGGGCGACTAAAAAAACGGACGCCATACCAGGCACACAATAATGTTGCGTAAATAATAATTTAATGGGTCAAATCTGGGTCGTTTGGCGGCCATGTGTGCTCATACCGGAAAATGCTTACATTCTCAGCCAGTCAGTCCGACGATAATTGGTTTATATGAGCCAGTAAACCACCTTGTTCAACTACGTAGGATCTTAATTATGTACGTCTTCAAATGAACACGAACATTCAGCTATCCACAATCGCGTAACCCTTTCTAGAAAATGTATATAAACTTTTCTTAGCGATGCGTTTGCCTTTTGGGATCAGGTATGGCGACTTGAGAACTTCTTCACTAAACATTATATCTAGAACATTAGCCGGGAATATGCTCACAATAACCACATTTTGTGGAACAGGAGTGAGCCCGCGATCATTTCTGTGGTTCATTTTGGTATCGAGGATAAAACATTTACCGTGTGGGAAAGAAGTTCGAAGTGACCTGTTTCCTTACTTTAACGAGAACTGAGTAGTAAACAACGCCGGTGAAATTCCTTGGTCTAATTGTCCTCAGAGGGCGTCTGTCTCTCCTTGATGAGACAATGCGTGTTTGAAGTTTTCATAAACAATATGTGCGCTCATTCACATCAAATTTGTTTACCACTAATGAAACGCTTTCGAAATGCATTATCGGTCTGAATTGTTCTTCCTCTGTCGTGGACTTTTCGTTTTCCCGTACTGGAACCTGCTTCTTTTACCGCCGCTTACAGTACAGTGTTAACTTAGAGAGACACAACGAAGCTCGTTCAGCATGCAAAGACCATTAATAGCGACACATTATGATGAGTTTTTGTTTTGTTTTGAAAAGAATTGGACTTTCCTTTAATACGTGGAGAAGTGGAAGAACGCACGTTCGTCGGAACAAACAGCTTATCAAAAGTTCTTACTATCGGTGCCTACCGTTATATATATATATATATATATACTGTCCTTCAGTGTTCAGCTAATTGATCAAAATTCCACGTGCACGTGTGAAAAATAACTTCCGACATTGGCATATCTATAGTGAGACACTGTTTCAGTTTTGAGATATAGGACTTCGTGTCTGTAGGCCTTTCAAATACGACTGATTATTTATGACCACTTGGTCACTTGACTTTATGTACCGTGCAGCATGGGCCCAAGACAGTCGATTCAATCGTTCTTTCTACTTAATTACAATTGTCTATTCTTGTTTGGAATATCTGTTCCGCTATCTCGAACCTATACTACACCAGCGAATTTGTTAATTTATCTGTTCAATGTAAGTCTAAAATACAGCGAAAAAGCTTAATACTTAAATCAATTTTTATTATATTACAAAAGTAAAGCACTGTTTTGTTAATGGAAGTGGTTTTCATCATCTCAGTCTCTAACTGTCTAATATATCTGCCGTGTTAAATAATGAGTATTTCATATCATCGCCGTCAAGGATCGGTAACTTACAGATTTGAACTTAAGACAACAAAGTGACAATTTTATTCAGACGGCCATAAAGTTTGGAGTGTGGTGCCTGTTCTGTCGTGCCATTTAAGCGGATGTGACTCTTATTGATGAGCCGAGCATGTCAAATGGTTGACACTTATCAAAACTTTAACTTACCGGTTTCGGTATGCCACGAAAGTACTCCGGGAACTGCAGTTCAACAAATGTGGGGAATAATCGTTTGCGATAATGGGCCCTATAACAAAGGTAGGTAGTTATAAGCCACTTTTTTCAAAGATTTTCACACGTATATATATATATATATATATTTCTTCAAGTTGACGAAAATAAAGTGATTTATTAATTACAATACCTAGCAATAATAGCGGGGTCACGCGTTTCCATAATTTCGCGTATTTCGTTGATTGTACAGAAGAAGAGAAGTTCCTCTTCAGGTAAACGTCCCTCAGCGTGGAGCTTCCGCGCCAGTGCCCAACTCCAAAGTCGAGTTCCGTGTATAGTCGAAAGCCAAAGCGATTTAGTGTTTTCACAAACGCCAACAGATTTTCGAGAAAAGTACACTACGTAGCTCAAGCGAAGCCTAAATGGAATGATTCAATTGCAATAGCTCGATAAAAATAAGGTAGTTTTTTTGGTTTTTGGAAAAAAGGTGGTAGACAAAGAGCGAAATTCAAATAATGCTAATCATACTTTTGTCGTGTGAAGTAACCGGTACGGGTAAAGCACGAAGGTATTAATGTTGACAGCTTTCAGCCCTTACAAAAACAAGGTATTTTTATATGCTTAAATCCTGCGTGGTAAAGCCGCAGAACACCAGGATACATTTTCTAACTTTCTACGAGAAATGCTTCTAGGAAAAAAAGCGAATGCGCTCACTTTTGCCAAAAGTTTAGTTGACAAGTTAAGCCTTGCATGGCCTGCCATATTCCCTTTACGGGTTTGGTTTCAGAATCCCCTGAGACGTTTTGGATTATTGCCTGCAACACGGAAAAGTTTGATGAGTTGCGTAATACTGCAAAGGGCGGTTTATATTACAATACTCATTCTTGGCATAATCCATTCAATCAACTGAAGGAACTTTTGCAGACTGGTATGCTAACAACGTTTACGTCTAACTGCCTCATTACAGAGACTGATAATGACGTCCAGAAAAGCAATACCTGAAGGGTTGTGACAACAGGCACTGCGTTAAAAGCCCGTGGCTGGCGGTAGACGTCAAATTGATTGTGTTCTCGATGTCCATGTTTGTCAATATATTGTTGAAAGGCAGTGCTTGACAGGGGATAACTCTTAGCGTCTGTTAGCAGCGCAATTGCGTCGTCTTCTGAAGCGTCTAAAAAACTATCTTTTCCGATTTCCGACTGGATCACTCGCGAGAGATTCTGTAGGATTAAGTGCAAGTAGAAATTAATATATTTTTAATATTCTTATACGGCTTCGGGCGGGCCATAGTGCAGAAGCAACATTGAGTGGCTCGTAATATAGATATATACCTACTACTTTATGTTTAACTATTTCATAATCTAGATGATACTAAAAAATAAAGAATACAGGCGTAAGAAGAATCACAATAACCAGACAGACGCTAGATCCGATGACACGGCCGAAATTATTGAGGAGCGGGCAGTTCAAATCTTTTTACGGTTTAATTTGAAACGACTTTTAAAGTTAAGATAGGTTTTATCGATATCAACCAAGAAAGATTTGCGTAACAAGCTCCTTAGATGAATGTCATGCGAGTTAATTTAGTTGAATAGATTAACTTAAAACGTGTACTTTTTGTTAATAAAATACGGTGGCAAGTCAACATGGATTAAAGGTTCCCTAATGTTCGACAAACGGTAGTTTTAGGGATGAATAGCTTAGGTGTTGCAGTTCCTATAGTTAAACCTCGAGTGCTTTGTAGGCGTTGCAGCCGCGAACATCTTGAGCTGAGCCGAGAAGCTCAGATATGTTTGAGCATATTGTTTCTGTTGACTCTGCAAAAAGCAGAAAGATAGTACGACAGTTTGTAGGTACACGGCGTTGGTCCAGTCATTCGACGAAAAGTGTTTCGTGGAATAAAGAGATGAACTGAGACACTCTAAATACGACTTGAAGGAGTTGAGTGAATTTATTATATTTAATACAATTAAAAATTAGAGTATTATAATCATAATAATTTTAATTATAACTAGCTAATTCGGATAGTCATACGTGCGACATTATACACACCATTGCTAATTGACAGTAGGTAATTCACGATGTCACTTATCCAAAGCGACGACCCATAGAAAGCGTCTAAATGCTGTCGAATTCCGTAGTCAATCGTCATGTTAAGAGCCGTTATGAACCCATTGAAAAGTTCCTCAGCTGACATATTTGGTGAGGGAAAGCGGGCTTTCTTACGGTAGACATATCGATTATATCGCCAGATAACTTTTGCAAGCCACTTCATCTATATAACAAAACAAGTTAATTATTTATTTAAGTTACTATTTTGTCAATTGCATAGTTAGTTTTAACAAGGCTTAATCGAATTACCATTCTATGACTTCGGGCTTCATCACGCAGGTGGTTTCGCAGGATCAGGCTTGATTTCGGCTAGAAGATGCCCTTATCGTTTCTACTATAGCCTATAGAAATAGTATGATCGTTTTTTTGGATATGCGATAAACGATATCGCCTATTATCGATCTGCGTTTGTTGATCAGGTTCATACATTTCCAACGTGGTGTATTATGTAATGCAAAACAAATGATAATTTTAAAGCAAAGTTTAGGTCAATACATGTGAACATACCCGAATGACTTCATTTTTCGCTTCAAAAAAAGGCACATGCGGCGGCAGATCAGTTTTATCATTCATAATTTCGTGAAATTCAGGATTATCTAAGGCTCTCCCACAGAGATTGAGCATGACTGACTCCATCTGACGATTATCCATGCTGTTTACCTGAAATATTCGGATCGTCTAAAATCCGATAAATTTAAAAATGCTATTAATAAACAGAGTCACGCCTACGTGTGCTTCAAACGAGGTCTACTTCTTGAATGGATATGACGTTCTTGATTCTGTAACCAAGTCAGACACATCGTGTGTTATAAAAGGGTTTCAGGCTTAGAAAGTTTTTTTACCATTAAAAAGTGACGCAAATGTATCCAGGAAAAAACCACGACCAATCGAATGAAGACAGAATGGAAGATCTGTATTGTGATGGCATGTTTTTGCTCTCTTGAACGGGCATCCAGATACTATTAGGCTGTCTAAAAATGGGTTTGTCCGATGCCAAAGGACAATGTTTGTCATTGATTATTCGTCTTGCACCGAAGTCAAAGAGCTGCCGAAAAAATTCTAAGCAGGTATGGCCAGAAAGTACTATCCAAGAAAAATGGCGTGCTACGTTCAGAGATGGCATTCTCTATTTAAGGAAGGTACTTCTTTGAGTCTGACAAGGGCTGCCTTGAGCCACGGGTCAACAAAAATAGTTGTTAGAAGAGCTCATATATCTAAAACAAATTTCCAGTGCCGCTTTTTTAATATCAGTAAACGTCGCTATTACTAAATTCGATTTATTTACAGCCGACATACAGGAATACAAATCCGACATAGTTCTGAGCATGAATTGAACAAAACCATGGCAATGTATAGCTTAGTAGAGATAGAAAACTCTCTCTTTCCAACGGTATCGCACGATACCAACGGTATAAATGAAAAGCAGTGGGTAAGAAACGAAAACCACTATCGCCTTACGAACAGTCTAACATAACGATCACTTGTACTCATAATGATTCTATCAGTTACATAGAGACTCTCCTGGGGGCATTGGGCAACAGTTAGTTGTTAGTTTTAACGGAGAGAATGTTAAGATATAGATAGATTATGACAGACGACACAGCAACTTGCGTATTACATAGTGAGTTGATTTACCTCGGATAGATCGAAAAAGACATGATGATGTGAGCCTTTCAATAGCGCACCAACGTAGGGGCTCACTGCCGATCGTCGTTCGCGAAGCGACTTTCCCTTGGCTTTCTGAAACATAAATTATTGTATTGTTATTATGATTGTTCTGATATAGTTGGCCAGATGCCGAATAAATGACTGTACTAATCTGAAGAAGATAAGAGACGATGCTTTGTCTCAGCTTTTGTCATAGACAGGATTAAAATAACCGTACGCATTAGAAAAAGTAGATTTATATCCTCAGATTCTGCTAATTACTGCTGTGAAGTGATTATAATTTGCCAACTCCATTTTGTCTAATTTGTTACTCACTTCTGGGACACCCTATGCATTTGTAACTGCTGGCTGATAACCCTTGATTGTGGCATAAAAGCCCAAATCGTTTTCTCTGGTTGAAGTTCTGACCAACGCCCGTAAGGCGGGATGCCGGCGCAACGTATATATGTTTGGCTTGCAGTTAAACCTCCCTGAGCTAATACACAAAGAACGTCAGAAAACCCGATGTTTCTTTAGCATATAGGCATTGTTCAGCGACGAGATCTGTCTCAAGGGCTGCAAACAGATGTAAACTATGTTGTCATCTCAATCCGGTTCACTGAGATGCGAACTGATCTACAGGATTCGTAGGTTCCAGCTTTAAGAGCAGAGCTGGAATTTTTTCCAGGTAGCTAAGCGCACAGCTGAGCTACAGAACAACGTTATACATCTGATTTACACAATCTCTCTTATTAAAGTAAAAAGCTTTGACACCAGATACTGTGTTGAAAAAGACCGCAGTGTTCATCAACGTAGTCTGATCCTAAAATAATGTCTACAAGCAAAAGGACTGGGATCATCTCAGTGATGACGATGTAAGGTTGTAGTCTGGTGAATATTCCCTAAATAGATCAATAGGTTTCTTGGCGGAAACGGCTCGGGTAGTTAGGGCAAGAGCTAAGTGCATTCGCACAAACCTCCTAAGAATCAAGGCTACAGAGTTAATTACTAGAGCAATCTGACATCTGGGTGTTCAAAGGGGCTAGCCCGACAGGTAGGCTTTTGAGAGGGGCTGTCTGACATTTGGGTCTTAGAAGGGACCAGAAGGTCTGGGTCTTCGGAGCAACCACCTTTGCAGGTTGGACTATGATTGTATTCGACGAACTACTCCCCCCCACGAATCCTTTGCTGCGTTCACAGGGTCATATATAAAACGGGACTTCTTACGTACTTTTACGTAAATTGTGCACTCCTTTTTTATCATATCTGTGCTGAGGGGGGTCATAGCGGCATCTAGGATTTTCCTGCAATGTGCCAAAGGTTCAAGTAAGTTTGAGCGAAGATATTCATTTTGACATGTAGTGTGTGATAATAGAAGCACCTTTTTGGCACACGGAACATTACAAATTAACATATGATATATTTAACATTCATGTCGAAATCTTGGGAGGCCTAATTTAATGAACAGGCTTTTTTGAACGAACATGCTATCCATGTTAAAATTCTGAAGGATCCTATTGGAACGTCAGAGCAACTCGGCCTTTGTATTTTTAAAATTAACGGAATTACTTTACCCAATGTTGACCTTTGAGTAACACGCGTTCTCGTTACAGGACGGAATCTCCATATCTAAGGCGATTTCTTGGTCCGATAGTTTGTCCATGAAAGAAACTGGACGTACTTGGAGAAGGAAAACTATGTCGCCTTGGAGCGCCCACTCAATATAAAGGCAGTCGCTGTAGCATCGTTCCACCTAAGATACATAATATATAACAGAGTAATCAATAACTTTAGCCAGTAAAGTTTTCCCAATTACGAAAGAATCTTTACATGAGGTATTCAGATATTAATCAAAGTGAACCTGTAAATTTCCCACTAATTCAATACGATTCGAACATATTGATATCGACATTTCGATTATCCAGACGCTCAAATATATATATATGACTTACTAACTTTATATACGTCCCTACGTGAAGCCTAAAAACGCAATGAATCGTTAGCCACGAAACTTGTGTGTCTACCTTACAACTTAGGTAAGGATTTTATTATTAAACCCACAATTGGCCAAGAAATTATTTGACAAAAATTGAAATAAAGACAAACGTGCATTATCCTCAAGGTCTTACCTCAGCGCCGATATGCGCAAGTTGTGCAGCACGAAATGGACTGATGGACGGAGGAGGGGCTCCAGGGGAGGTCGAAAATTTTTCTTCGCGCGTTCCACCTGCATCTGGATTCAGTTAGAGTACCAGAGAGGCCAACGTGCTTATCGGGTATAAGTTCCTTAAGCTTGAGCAGTAACAAGTCAATGCTAATATCAGATTAAGGATACTTATTATGCAAGATCTATTTAGTAAAAGCTACAATTAAAATCAGGTTTGAGACATTAGTACGCGATAGCGACAGAAAATTCTATGACCTCTTACCTAAGCCCATGACGACCATGATATCTTTTTTCCCGACGTCGACGGGGTCCACAGTCATATTTCCGTTAATGTCACGTGATACGCATACGGTGTCCAAGTCAACTAGTTCGGATACAACACTCTAGGATAGAGACAAGTTTAAAAATGGGGTGAAACACCTTCGCATTTATTTTGTAATACATAAAAGAACCATTGTTTCAAATTTACAAGCAGTCTCCCTGGTGAGAGACTATACTAATAAAGAAGATAAACGCTGAGACCAGACATTGCCTTAAACTATTCCAATGATCCTTGACAGAATTATTCGCAACTAATATAGTTAAAATTATTTCAAATATTTCCTAAAATTGATGTTTTTGGGCATTATCGAACGCATTTATTAACAAATAAAATCATCAAATATTCATTTGAGGTAGTGCAATAGATGCTTCCGTTTAATGCCAACTGACAGCGACCTAAAGAAATCAATTGAAAAAAAGGTGTGTCCTTATGTAAATGTTTTTTCCACCGAAAAGCCTGACTTTTTCTGTTACCCTCAATGTAAAAAGCGCAATGGCTTTAGATTTTGAATTAACCTCTCGTTTTGACGCGATGTAAATTGTAGACGGATCACCAGTTACTGGGTTACAGGTAAGAATCAGCCCGGCGCATTCCGCGGGCACCATCTCCATGACAAGGACAGCCATTTTGCTCAGGAGTTTTTGTCCGTAGCGTCGTTTGTACTCAACAGCTGCGAAACTGAGTTGGGATGCCCAACATTTCAGCACGGCAGCTATTATCTACGTCACGCAAGCGTTCATAAAGAGAAACAACGAGATAAACAAAAGAAAGATAAGCGCACAGAAATGGGGGTTTGCATTCACAAAACCATTATTAAAAGTATTCATTGTTTGTTGAATCGAGCATAAATGGATGCATATGGTTACTGAGATGCACTCAGTTTTTTGGAATTGATTCGCGTTTTGTAATGGGGTAAAAATGAATTTTGTAGCTAGAAATTTTAGCTAATCTAAGAAGTTCAATCGCCTTGGAAGCGGCAGAATATAAAGGAGATGCAAATTTCGCGATTGTTTACGAAACCAACCTCTTTTTCCCCTTTAACTCCAAGAAACGTTTCCATTTGACTTGTCGCACACATATCCTCTAAGCCTTCGTCAGCACACGAACTTCGCACAGTAAAACGTTTCGACAAAAAATTTGGAAAAGTCTCTTGAAGTTGTTCAAAAATCTGTTTTGAAATGCAGGACGGCATAGCCTCACCCTCTACACGCCGTTTGCAACTATCAATGATCCGCTTTACCTCTGACACTGCTGAAGTTGATAGCACCTAGAAATGTTTCAAAGGAATGGATAGGCCCATTGGCACAGTTCCAAACAATGTCGCAAGTAATGATAAGGAATAAACAGAGCAAATTCTTTACCAGGATGCAACTCCTTAATGAACTTCAATTTGAATTAACTTACCTAGACATTTAACGGAATGAAGCAATGAGAGTCATTTTCATAGAATAAACAAGAGCTATAATGCATCCGAAACAGAATTGGCAAAAAGACTTTTCTAAGTTAGGCTTTTTTATGTACGTTGCGAGGACAAATGCCCGCCTCGTGTGGCTTTTGTGGTAACATTCAAAAAGCATACGAATCAGAAATCCCAAAGCGGGAATTTGTGAGGCGCTGCACGCTTAGGTTCATTTAGACAAAGGCAAGAAGATAGAGTCCATCAACGGTGGCTAATAGGTTCATTAAGAGGTATTATTACGGAGTACCTTGTTCAGGCCCTTCTCAAGAGCCGACATTTTGGGTGAATGCAGAAACCTGCAGAAGGCCTCGGTGGTAACCACAACACCGCCGGGAACCATAAATCTAGTTCGGCCATTGGTCATACTCGAAAGTTCGGTCAACACAGCTAAAGAAGAACCTTTCCTTCCAGCCAGATCGCAGTTTTTGCATTGTGGATCCGTAAGCGGTATTACGTATTTGGCTGGAACTGACGGGATTTCTGCCGAAAGGAAGCAAGGCGAAATATGCATCAGTGGAGTTTGTCAACCCAATTAGGGGTCAGAATTGGTAATATAAAATCTGCTCTGTCTAGAAACTTTAGATTTCTTTCTTCAGTATCCTTTAATAAACTCCTGGATTTGATTTTCAAACCGTCTATTAAGTTTGTTTTCTTAATATTAATCTTTGTATGTGCTATTCTTTATGAGCTACAATAGCACCTTCGCAGAGGATATCTAGGGCGGCATACAAAAGATGGTCTAAATGGGAGGGAACACTTAGTGGTAAGACACAAAGGCAATTAGTCTAAACTGTGGTCATACTTACCGAAGTCGAGCAAATTCAATGGTGGTTCGACGAGCTCGTCGTTACCGACTTCAATTCTGAAAAGACATATATAAAGTTATATTTGTTCCCGTCAATTGTCGAGCATTCCTGTAACTGGCTAAGACAGCTTAGATAAACAGAACTATACAGATCGTCCCAGCGCTTTCTATAAATAAAATAGTGAGCGAATGAAGTTCCTATCCTTTGTGACGATCGAACATTTGCCTAGAATTGGAAGACTCGGGCTTGTTTTCACAATGATAAAAGTAGGTCTCACGCTTAACTATTTATGGTAATAAGTGGTTAATGAAAATTATTTATGTGACGCTTGATTTCTGCGTCGATAAACGGAATTGTTGCATTTGGCACTTGAAGACTCTAAACGGGACGAAAAGAACCATGTTCACAGCGAGTAAAATTTGTAGAAATTTCAGCTCTCGACTACTGTTATTATATATTGTGCTATTAGCGGTATTTGTAATGTGCTCCAAAATGGCTGACACGGTCAATTTGACCACTATTTTAAAGCTTACTATTTTGACTTATCTGTTGTAAAGGAATTTTCAACGATCAAATCTGTAATATATGCATAAAAGCACGTTTGCTTGTAGATAGTAATCAAACTGCGTGTTTGACACTCACTAATTACTTATGCGAAATATTTCAACATAAAGGGTTGATGTATAGCTTCTGCAATACCAGTTTTCTACAAAAAAAAAGATGCCATGATTTTAGTATCTACATGATACAGTACCACTTACACGACCCCTTCGATGGTCATACCAATAGCCTTAATATCGTCAATCGTGGCATCGAATGTTGAAACCTGAAGTTCGTTGTTCCATCCTAAAGCGGACTTGAAGGACTCCAGTGGTACAGCCTCCGAACGCAATAGGTCATGGGAGAGTTCAACTGCAAATGCAGGCACTGATGATCAGCAAGAGCTGATCTCGCGTCTTAATAATCATTGAAATTTTCTTAATTAAAGTCCTTAGACTTATAATAGACGTTTATGATATCCTGTTTTTATAATAGTGCAGTAATAACAAGTTTGATACATAGTGGTCTAGGCTCGAGCCGTAGCGTAGGCACATTTCGTTTCGTATTAGGAGCTAGTCATTGAAGGCAATGCCTAGCAGCTATATCGGACGTAAAGCTCGAAACGTTCAGCCACCTATGATAATCGAAGTAGGATACTCACACGTCCGACATTTCAGCACCGGTGAGAGAAGGACGTCCTGTACATCTGCTTCAAGCCCCTGATCATTAAGGACTTTTTCTATCGGGTCTTTAAATCCAGATGTTCCCACAAAGCTGCCATAGATTAGCCCGCGGCCACTTTGCGCAAACTGCTGGGTGCTGATTTGCATCATTTGCCCTTTGATGCTAAAAATGAAGTTGTGTGAAAATCCATTAAGGGCAGGAGAATTTATGCCAAGTCGCTGAGGATGTCGGATGCGCATGAAATTGCCCCGTAGGCAGATTTCTTGTTCCTCAGCAGATGCGCCCAGCGTAACTGGTTTATGTTGTTCCGATGCCCCTGTAGAAGTTCTTGGCTGTGTACATTCTCCACCTATTATAAAGGTTCCTACGTAGTAACCGGTTTGTTCATAACCGTTCAACTGATCTCTACACCTGTCAAGAGTGGGATAATTAAAAAGCACTATGATTAAGCACTATAGGAAGCGTTAAGCATTACCCAATGCGATTTAACTAACAAAATCAATCTCAATTTCCAATTACACTTTCAAGTCCTACTATTCAACCTTAGACACAGCCTTCGTGAAATAACATTTTTCACGACAAAGAAGTTCATTCGTATCTCGGGAGACTTCATTCGATGCCTTCGCGTTGTGTTGGTTTTAATTGTGGGGTGATGCTTTCGGTCAATTTTGATCGACCGTCTATTGAATCGGGTATGCCAATAACAAAAAACTTTCTCTATAACATAACATGAAAAAGAAATGGCTGTTGTTTGTACAGCACGGCGTTTCTATGAGGCTCTAGGTTAAATTGGTGGCTTTACAATTATTATCTAAATAGAAGCACGTAGTTAGGCGTCAATAAACACATATATTGTATGCCTATAAGAGAATATAAATCGATTATGTATAATGTACTATATCTGACTCGTACGTTTCACTAGAAGCGATTGTATGCGATATCCGGTCGATGGTACTTCCTTTCTCTAGGCAGAAGTCCATCAGGCGTTTGATGGGCACCATGCTTATCCATTCCATCACATGACTCATAGAAAACCAGCTGAATAGGAAAATCATAGTGGAAAAATGTTCTATTAGAATGGCCATCGTCGTTATCCTTGACACGATTCGAGCGTTCTAAATAGAACCTGGCGCTCCCTCTTTACATGTTTAGAGCTTTGAGAAATTGAACTCTTTTATAGGTACTAGGTTAAGCTTGATTGAAGTCTGACTTTTTGGTAATAAGGTTTCGACTTAGAATGATTAATGAGCGTTGCTATTTCGACCACGATGTGAATAGTAAATATTTATTTTAACATAAAAAGTCGAACTTACAGAAGACCGACTCTGACGTGGACGGCTTGTCCGGTTTCCTTATTACTGCAAAGCATAGCGGTCGATAACTTCGTAAGATTCCTATCACTAAGTAGCTCGTCTATCAAAGTACCATAATTTTACATACAAAGTACACAAATGCAAGCCCATTTTATACACAATTGGCCGGTTAATACCTACATCAACATGTCATTGAAAACGATCCTCCATTTTCGCATAGGTTCCATGCATTCCAGACGCAATCCGCCTGCCTATGAAATGTTGCGTCCCGTAGTTTATTTTAGGGAACAATTAGTCTACTTTGACACGATAAAAGTTACTTAATTGAAGAAGGTTAAATAAAATAACTTCAAGTATCATGTATACCATAATGAGATTATCCGTCTTTTGATACATAAAAAAATGAACAATCAGATAAACAAGGTAATGTTTAATAAAAGCTTAAGCAAGAGTAAAAAGGACACCTGAAATGTTTTGCCCTGGCTGATATCCAAGGTCAAAACTCGACAGGCCTCGCTGTTAGCGTTCCTGCCGCAGCTGGATGAAACGAATGTACGATTTTTGCTGTCTTTGAAAACGATATGAATTTGTGCTCGTCTCTGTTCTGCGCGAACCATGCGGATCATTAGCAACTCTCCCGAGGTTCGCATTCCAGTTAACAATAGTTCTTGAGGACCCTGCGGGGCAAACCAGGACCCAGTGAGACGCATGAAAGATATTTTAACGCCTGGACATCTAATGGTCTTGCGTAGACAGGCTGGCAAACGGATACGTTCAGCCATTTAGCCTCAGTTAAATATTTAGATAAGAATTAATAGAAACCTTAATCTAGTCGAATGTCAGAGTACGGTGTATCCGTGCAAATAAAAGACAGCGGTTTTGCTACGTTTAGAGCCTTGACGCAGTATTCGCGGAAGGTCAACGTTACACGGACGGGCCATAGCTATCTTATACGATTATGGGAGACGATAAAAATGCTAACGAAGCCCCTAGCAACAGCAGTTATAGAAATATATATGGTTGAAATAACCTCTTTTTAACGAAACCTGTAATTAGGGTGAATACCATCAGCTTTTCATGCTATAGCCCTGTTGACATAGAATATGTACTATGTATACGCAATTTACAGTGAACTTTTAGCTAGAAAAGGACTTCGCTACAACTATACGAACCCCAAATTCGAGTGCGGCCTGGGGAATAGGATACTCAAGTCGTTTTTCTTCTTCCGGAATAAGGATGCCTCTGCTAACCGGGTCGGTGGAGCAACAGTCATAGACAGGGAACATTGATTGTCGAGCATAGCGAAAATAGAGGTGGCAGGCCAAAATCCGTGTTAGCTCTTGTAAAGCTAGTCGTAAAAATTGGCGAACGTTAGAAGGAGCTCGTTACTGCGTCGACGATGTAGAGCAACGTATGAATGTATGTGTGTAAATGTACAGGTTCAATGATGAGATTGAATTCTGCGATTGTGATGTATATGTTACTTATTAATACTAGGTTAACAAATATGGGGTTCATTAGCAAAAGTTCATCAATTTTATTTCGAGATTTTGGGGAAAATTTACTTAATTTAAAAAAAAAAAACATTTTATTAAATTATGCAAAAATTATAATGTATGAAAGATCCTAAGACTTTTTCAATAAATAATGCTTCCTTTTCCCAAACAGCTGTGAATTTCATTATATTGGACAATACGTTTTTATGCGCAAACAGATCCCGAAACGTTGGCATAGTGACTGCTGATACATAATTTGTTAGTTAAATTTAAGATAAGGGTGAAAACATAGTGCTGTACCCTCTTATTGAACCAGCACTAAGACAACTGCTAGCTCAGGGGAGCAAATATAAAAGCACTCGAATATTTACACATGTATACAATATTGCTAATTGAAAACACATAGCTAGTTACCAAACCAGCCATCGATTGACTTCTTCTAACTAGAATATCGTCTCCGCCATAAATTAGAAAGACTACAGTAGCAACGAATCGTAACTTACATATATCATCCCTAACTGGATAGTCGTTCTGCAGTAACTTAAGCAGCCGGACGAGAATGTAGCGTGTCGTCCTGACCATGAAGTTTTTCCGTGCATTTCCGCCCATGCTGTTAGCTCAATCAGCGTACAGGCGGGAGCAATAGACACACACAATACAATTCCAACTAAAAGACGATTTTACCTTTTTCAACTTACTTATTCTTGAGGCTTTTGTTAGTTGATACGTAACTGTTCCTATAATAATGTGTTCCTTCAAATGATAACTTTGAAACTACGAAACTTATCACAGATGATTGTAAAGTTTGACTTTGCAGCGAAAATGCCCGTTTTAACACAGCAGTCTCGACAGGCCAAATAGATACTATTGTGGCCTGACAGGTTGACAGGAAACCTTGTGACAACCGCTGGTTCTCCACTGAAATCCTATAACGAATATCCGTTTGCTAGCGTTCTCGCCGCAACAATGTTGTCGAGTAGGAGTCGTTCGCTCGTAGACATAGTAGACTGGCGATCACTACTTGCTTAGAATGTTGCTAGCAGTAAAGGCTCGATTCGACATTTTAATGTTTGCCGTCTTGTGGTAAACCACCATCGGTCAGAGAGTATGGCCTTGTATATAATCGTTTTATGGCGCTAGATTTACTTCTTCCGGCTTAGACAGCCTACTTGTACGAGGGAAAAAGGCGACGGATATTGACTTCAAGACGCGGACTGCCATCTACGTTACTTGTTTCTGGGCTGAACTGAAGATAGGTACAGGTGGATGCTGCGCGCGACCATCGTGATAGACAGATGTTAAGCTCGATGGTCTTATTTCGTGGATCCAATATGATGTGGTATTATTACTTGGAGATATCTGCTTTGACTTAAGCGTTGCCAACAAGGACGTCGTCTATCAAAATCATCACATAGCTAATAATTATGTACACCTTTGAATATCTTTTAGATTCGCTATGAGAAAAAATCATTTTCAATTTCGAGAGCATGATTTTAAGTTTATTCTCAAGAACAAATGTTGAAAAAGAGTTGATCCTAGATCGTAGATTAGAGTTTTGCAAAAAAACACACTCGCTAGGTTTTTCGAGTTGTCTACCTCATCGTATATTACCGTTTGTCGACATTTCAGTACTATTTTTGATTTCAACACGTAAAGCTAATGTGAAATGTGCAAGCTAATATTTATGGAAAATTCAAGAAGTGCTTACACTTTTCTAACTTTTTATGTATCTTGATAATATGTGTATCGGGTTCTGAACAAGCCCTCGGAGTTCTATCCTGATGAACTCAAGATAGCACTAACAGATCCACTTCATTGATTGTGTCGTGACTTCGACGTGGGTACGACAGGAAAATTGTATTACGCTAGTTCCGCTGATGACACTAATGCGGTAAATGCTGTCTAAAAACCGGTCAGTATAAATGAAACGGTAGGCAAAAGGCTGCAGACGGTAAAGTAAGCTAGGTTCCCCTCATGGGAATTTTTGAACGTTCCCTGTTATCGAAACAGCATCAAAAGGGTCGAAAGTACAACAACAAATCCCTTCTAAAACGTTCGTTGGAGGAAACAGGAAACACAGTACGACGGAACGCCCAATTTATTTTTTTATCTTATTTATTATTTTATATGTACTATTTATACGTTATATTTATATAAGCTGACAGAACAATTTAATACAGTTTTGATTCAGGTGACAAGTAATGGCTAAGAATATTACACGAGTTACAAAGATCAATGGTATTTCATTTTTTGCAAATGTACCCACTTGTAAACATTAAGTGAAAAAAAAAAAAAAATGTTACTCGTGTGTTTGTCTGTTATCTATAGGTTACATTTCAGAGCGTCCATCTTGTTTGTATTTTGTGAGGGCTTTGAAATGAGTGTGCGTCCGCATCTTTATCATTAAGACGAATAAGGATCCCTGATAATAATACGAGTAATTATGTCCAGTGAGTTACAGATCGATGTTAATTTTCTTCTTTTAGACCTCCCTCTGAGGGTTCGCCCTCGTAGCTGGCACGTTTCGGTCTACCAGTTAGGGAAAATACATATCCAGTGCCACCATCGTAATAGAAAATGTTTTTCAAGCTAGCCATTTCTTGAAAGTATCTTTCCCTATATGAGGCATTGTTTCGTCTAAGTTTAATTGTGAACTGTACTTTTGAGCTGCGATAGTAGCTTGAAGATCATACAAGTTTCCCTTCTGGCTCGTTTTGGTTTGAGGATTATGTGCTCACAACAGAACGCTATAATTTAGCTGTGGGCTTGCAGAGAAAAGCCCCGATCGACAGCGTTACGTACAGAGAATAAATGCTGGCCCATTTCTGGTATGAAGACATTTTTGATACCTCTCTGTCGTTGGCTGAGATGAGTAACGTGACAAAGTTTATGTCTGGGATCCGTAGTTGTTTACACGCGCTGCCTCACGCTTCGGTGTCCAGTCGCTAACTGGACGGTAGACTGAAGCTTTGAATTCACAATATTGTGGGCACAGCCAGCGTAGACAACTTGTCGCATATGACCATTTCGAACTCTGTGCTTTTTTGGGAAGATAGCAGGTTGTCATTCGTTTGTGTTCGTTATTGTGGCTTTGGCCAGGTCCTTGACTTTATTGTTGCTGCTGCTGCTGCTGCTGCTGCTGGCGTTGTTATTATCCAAGTCTTCGCTGCGATAAAACGCATTAATATTTCCTGTACCCGCCTTCTCCATAATCGTGCTACACTATCCCCAGCTGTAGCGATGAGAACAGAGCTTCCTGCTTGTATTGTTGTATATTACTTTGTGTTGACGTGCAACGCTACTTAATCATAGATCATTCTGCTCTTCTGAGGTTAGTTCTGTTGTTGCCTGGTAACTGCATTCTGGTAAGTAGCGTCTCGTTAAGTTTTAACTTCTCCTTCCTTAGCTAACTCCTTCAGATATAATCTGGGTTTGTAGTGTACCTATAATTTTGCTTGTCTATGTACTTCAAGACTGCTTGAATGCGTCCCAGCTCAAGGGTAATACCTTCAGCAATTGGCAGAAAATCAAATCGCAATTCTGTTTGACCTGCATCCCATCTTGTTGATAGAGTAAACTGGTTTATATTCTGGGTGGACTGAGCAAATTTCAATGATACAGACGACTTACCTGACAAATCATTGTGGGAGTGGATATCTAGTTAAGTCTTTTCGGTATGAGGTCCCAAATTTAAGGTGTGTCTATTAAGCTGAGGTGAAAGTAGGGTGATAAATAGACCTGGGTGTATTGAGTTCACAAGCATAAGTAATGCTGCTTTTCCGTCTGCGTCGTATTGTTCTGGCTATTTTTGTTGAGCTACAGTGAGAGTTTCAGGTTCTTCAAAAGTTATCAGTGTCACGGTCCACGCGTACGGTCCTCCGCGGAGGATTTCTGACAGCATAATACCTGATATACAAATATGTCCGTTTTGTTATAATTGCGCCAATTGACTAGAATAACTCAGTCAGTGATTTCGGCTTCGAAGTCATTCTTTCACAGTGCAGATTAGGGGATTCTTACCTAAATGACAATTGTTACCTGTAATGGCCTAGCATTCAGCTAGAGGTTCTTTGCCAGCCATGCTAAATAACGAATACTGAATATTCTAATCCTGTTTAGCTCGTAATGACTCGTAGAAAGGTTGGAGACGATAGAGCTAAACATCTGCTAAAAAGAGTGCCTTGAGACCCTCTCTGCACGCCACCTAAAAAGATCGTAAGTGCCAGTAAAGATGCTTTAAGTATACAGCGATCAGGCCAAGCAAAAGTAAAACATCCATTTATTACTTTTTCTTCTTATTATTATGAAAAGTAATATCAAATAATATGAATATATTGAAAGCTCTTCGTACCTGTTGCAATAAATCCATTAAAATATTTAACCTAAGATAGAATCAGTTATCACATCTTCAGTTTAGTAGTTACCATAAGATAAATGCTTAAACCTTATTCCTGATTAAAAAGTGTTACTTGGTCTTTTATTAGCTAACAGATAAATAGCATACTTTTAGCCGATTCATCAGAGTCACCAGTCTTCGCTAAAATGGGACAGCTCACTTTATTACATACTGCCCTTTTAATCTACGTATCACAAACTAGTTAAGGCAAACAAACATTAGATCTGTAAAATATTGTTTTTCATGAATAACCAATCGTTTCCTTTTTCCCAAGTTGGAACTTCAGCACAAGTCTTCTGGATTAGTGTTTATGACATGTGCAGAAAATCGCGTAGGTTATGCTCACGGGCCGTGGTTATAACAGTTTCTTCACACACGAAAAAACAGGTTTTTTTTTTTTTTATACTCCTGGAAACATTTGATATGTAACAGCATAATACTTTTTCGCAAAACTACATTCTCAGTAGAACTCATCCAATATTATAACGCAGTGCATCAACAACATTACTCAATCTACGTAGTTATTTGTCGAACTTTCCTCCGGGTAAAGTTATCTTCTTACTGGCAAAAACACTTGTGACGCGTCAGTTGATTGAGTCGTTAACCAGCTGTAAATTAGAACTTCAGTAAAAGTCTTCTAGCATAGATCTTCAACTTGCGTCAGTAATTCTCATTAACTCTCCACGAGTGATTCGCATGGTCTTGCATGCCGTCGAAAGGTGAGTGTATTTTTCTGAACTAACTGTGCTTCAGGCCTGACCTTTGCTTACTTCATCATGCCGAGGGGCGAGGGGTCCTCGTTTTTGTTTCAATTGGCCTATAAGGTGTAAGTGCTTTAAATGAATATGCCTAAAGTACAATGTATTAACGAACTAGGCTAAAATATTATTACCTAATAAAATTGTAATAATAACAATTAAGCTTAGTCGATTGTAGCAAAAACTTATTACAAATATACTACACGATCATGCCTGTAGTAACAAAGTGAATAGAGTCGCAATCACTGAAAGGTAGCTTCATAGTAATAACTACGATCGAGTTTTTTTTTCGTTACCATTACGAATGTCAGTAAGCGATTCTATTGAAGCAAAGGATTTAAACGCATGAAGCCCGCTTAATCCGTTTAATACCCCCCGCATAACGTTGGACGTGATTTTGGTCATGCGATTTATGTTGTTAGATTCTGCATATGTTCGGCCGTTGTAAATGGACTGGTGGGCTTCCATCTAACGAAAACACTCTTCTGCAAATACTACGACGTCGTTGTGTGTCCCGTCCTTTTGTTTGCGGCCTGTATAAAAAATTGCACGACCTGCTCTGATATTTATTTCTGATGTAAAATCTATGCATAGGTAATCTAATTAAGCGTGTCTTATTTGGCACAACAAATTGTGCGCAGTCACAACACCTATACAACGTGACTTTGGCCTATGAGGCTAGAAAGGCCGAGAAAGGAGGTTCATTGCATCGTGTAGTCGAGTGCGATCAGGCAACTTTCACTAATCTAAGACTAATCGAGTCTTAGCATCTCAGTCTAATCTTATCAGACTCGTTAAAGCCGAGTGAAGTAAAGACTTTGATTTGAAACTTAGGGGCATCTGAGGCGTTCAAGGGTCGAGAACGGCCGTCGACTGACATTATTTCGTTTTCGAAGAGAACATCTGAAGTAACGCTTGGCGGCGCTATTGAAGTAATTATTTCAGTTCAAGTACGGTTGTATTATACCCTACTACGACTCTACCTTGCGGTCAGTAACGTAGAAGGCGAATGCTACAATGACAGAAAAAGCGATCAACATATAACCCAAAGTAAATAATACGTATTCAAAGATCAGCGTCGGGTAGACGGCTTCGTTGTAGACGATGTCACATAGCGTCTTCCGGTCTTCATCTAGAATGGCCTAAGAAAGCGATAGGACATAGGAAACGGGCATATTACTTTACAGAAAGTATCGGCGACAGTTAACTAAGACCGTAACCTCTATTGCGATTCGTGGAAGATGACAGCGCTACATGCTTAAATCTTTTTCTAAACGAATTATCTAGATGGAAAAAATAGAATAGAAAAGCCTAAATAAATCTAATTCAATATACTATAAGTCGCAAAAGGTATTTCCACAAATAGGGAACAATTTTCAGACGAAGTCCAAGTGACACATATACGAAATAATTGCGTGGTTACGAGACTGGGTGCGTACACCTAACGGCCTACGTAACAATGTCTAGGGCGATTCCGAGGCCGCATATTGTGTGAAGCACTCCGAACGGAAGGTCGGCGAAGAACAGAAAATAATCAAATTCCCATTTAATAATTCCCGACCCGTATGTCGAAAATTGTGGTGCACAGTGAAAAAATGACTAGTTTGGATAGTTCAACTTACTGTCTCCTGCCAGAAGACAGGGTAAGTTACTGTAAGGCCATCTGATGGCTTTAAAGGATTTGCTGTAACGTTCGTTTGCACACAAACTTTGATATCTGTCGTGGCTATCACAGCCACCCAATGGCTGCGACAAAAACAAAAAAGCAGACAGACAAAAATCGATAAAGAAAATAATCAATCTAGAGCCCGTTTATCATCTGGGTTCGATTAGATAATTGGCGCGAATTCATAAGAAATCGTTTATGAAATTTCCGATTAAATCAACTAGTCATTGGTAATTTTGGAAAGGGCTGAAACATTTTTGAGCAAATATTGCGATACCTTTATGCCGATCGCTTTGCGTGACAAACAATGGTGCCTGTGGGAGAGCAGAACTACCTGGTGCTCAAAACAATTCGACCTGTAGCCCTTTGTTGGATTATCAGGCAACATCTATTTCAACCCCATATTTCTTACGGAGTTGTTGTTCCTATGTGATAATACGCTAAACTCTACTGAGTTGTAGGTCTTTCAGCTTCAGTAACTGAACATGGCGTAAGCCGCAGAATTGAAACTGGGCTTGTCGTCCGTTAGCATGTTACGAAGTTATCAACAACTCGACTAATTGCTATGGTACATCTCTGAGCCCGAGACACTTCAGCTCATGGAGCTCGGGCAGCATAAGCTTAGATGCTTTGTCATTCTTCTTCATTTTCGAGAGGTCTAGTGTTGCCGTTCTACTGTTTGTATACCACTGAGTTGTAGCGAGTTAACGGTGCGTTCTACAAAATGATCTGTTAGCTCAAAAATATTGGTTTGCGAACAAGTCTCACGAAAGCGTGTAGCGAGAAATCGTGTTTCTTTGGATCCTTTGATCTCCTTTGCAGAAGTGGGGCAGACTGAGCTGGGTCGGTAGGCCAAAGTGACATGCAGATGCATCAAAGGTTCCCTTCATGCCAGGTCTTTTTTCGTAACAACTACATTCAAAAAGCGGAAAACCAGGCCAGAAAAGATACCACATAATTCATTTAATAATGCGTACTGAATACATCCTACCTAGACGCTATTGTGGTTTAGGCCAAACATGAGCACAAAATCAATGTTCATTGTCAGCAATGTGGCGTACCGTTTGCTTCAGCGCATTAAAAGCCAATGACGTACTCATCTATCCAAAGTCGTATTTCCTGTTGCGCTAAAAATAACATCGCCTGATGAAAACACAGAAGAAGTTACGCCTCGAACTGTTTCACTTCCGTTCAAATAAAGCGTCACGGACGGCAAAACATTGGATTGAAGATATCAACAGAGCTTAGCGAGTCATCAAAAGGCGGATACACTTCACCATCTGAAGCAGAAAGTTAAAAGCCAGAACACAGACATGCCGGGGGGTGAAATCTCGAATTTTTTATTTTCCAACTAGGAAGTTTCCTTTATCTTCCCATGAGCCGCAACATATGGGCGTCAAATATATCCCAAACCGCATGATTTTCGTAGTGATCCCTACTTATCCCTACTTATTATACGATCAAGAACTGCCCCTTCGAACCATGGGGCCGACATAGACTAGGCAACGCATCTACACGGCGACCGACAACTAATTAAACAATTTAAACACTTGGACTAGAGCAAGTAAGGGCCGATCCGTAGCTCAAAAGCCAAGCGAACAATATTGAAAATACAATAGATAGTAACTAATCCAATAGACATATCATTCGATACAGGTATCGCTTGCCGCGTAGGAAATCGTTGAAACACCACAGATCAGAAGATCTTTCCTACCTAAAGCTATGGCCACGTTGGACACGGTTAATATTAATCGAGGCAGTAACTTAATAGTCTATAATAAATAAGGAGTAAAAGGCGAGCCTCAGATATATTCAATATGCCGTTTAGCAGTCGCTGCTATTCACAGAGTAAACTTTACCCCAAGCAAGCGCGCGATGAGGCTCAAAAGCCAATCAGGAAGTCCATATATTTCTTCAGCTCAGTCGCAGTTGAAACGGGCCAACATTGTTACAAGACCCGCAGTCTTAACGCCTCTTTCACATTCAATGCCAGACGCCGCTACACTATCGTACGTAATACTTGGCATGGCGTTATCTGTTTGAGCTATATCTGGTTTATAGGGATCAATTCTGGTTGTTTTTCTACCTATAGAATTGGGTAGAAGTTCCGCATGTTACAGGTGAACACTAGGTATGTATTCAACTTACTTGTGCCACTATACTGGTTACATGGCCGGTCATAATAAGAAATAGTACTGTAAAAGAAGATACATCTTATCAATATAAAGCTTTCTCGAACTTAAAAATAACCTATATGATTGGATAAATGTAATGTTTTCGAATCAGGAATGAGTTATTCGATCTTCAGCAATATTAGGTAAAATTTTGCCTGTTACGGACGTGCGGTTCGCGAGTGATGTGATCATACTGATCTTGCTGGCATGTCCGAAAGCCCTCGAGAATGCAGTATATGAGCCGTTGTTTGAGGCGTTTCCCCCCAGCAAAAATCCAACCTTTCCATTGATCATGGGCAGTTCTGGTTGAATGATTTTTCCTATCTTTGCCCAGAAATGGCAATAACTGAAAATCGAACAAGAATTAGGATTGTTTATTATGTGACCTTTATACTCTATTTGAAAAAGAGAATGTTTTCTGATTTGAATCTCAATGAGTTATACTTCGAATCTGTTCATCGATCTATCTTCATATGCAAAAAGACGTTCGAGGGGAAAACTTTTGATTATCGCTTGCTCTGATTGGAGCCTGCAGCTATCTGATAAGGCCGAGCTACTAAAAATCTAAGGTTTTTCGTACAGTGCCGAAACACCTCCCTGATTAGCTTGCAGAATTTCTTATTTCTACTTTATTAAGCAGTTATTATCAAAATATCTGGTAATACAACAGTGTCAAAATAGGTGTGTTCAAAGGACGTATCATTAAGCAACGCTGCGGTATATCAGAAAAACATGTTTTTGGAGATACTAGATGGAGGCGTATATGTTATTTGCTGTTTTGCAAATTAGTTTAATTCCAATTCTATAAAATACGCACGTAACTTTCTCACCTCGGCCTGCAGCGGATTCACTCGGAAACTAACGATAAATGTATGGGAGACATATTTCTTCTTGTAAACGTCACTTCAACTTACCCATCATAGAGGAGCTCTCGGACTTTATATTTGCACAAAATTGAGCGCCACTGTATGATTAGTTTCGCTAACAGCTGCAATTTTTTTGGCAACTCATCGATCATTTGAATGACACTCGCTACCACGATATCGACTGTGACAATCTCACTGTCGAGAGTGCCGTTTGACAATTCCGGTGCAAAGTAAAGCGTGTGACTCTCATCAAACAATAGTTGGTCTCCTCCCCAGCTCATGTCCTTTGCCCATATAGTGCCGCGGCGGCACAACCAAATGTAGAGGAAATACCGGCCGCGCAGCGACACGCACAGATAAAAGATTCGAAGAGTGTCTCGCATGGAGATCACAAAAACGCAGAAGTTGATTTTTATAAAAAAAAAAAAAAAAAAAAATTTAATATAATCTTGTTAGGCACATACAATAATCGAAGCAAAATGGAAGAAAAAAAACACTTAATTTAGAGATGTCTTCCATGTTATCTAGAATGAGCGATCAAGATATTTTAAGGGGCTACATACCGGAACACGTACGGCCCACGTTCTTCGACAATAGGGCGGTCGCCTTTCAGGAACTGCTCGGCATTGGTAGTATTGAACATACAAACCTTCTGCATAAGAGGCATGGGCAGTTTTCTGAAAAGCTCGAGAGTATTTCCGCCAGGCACGAGAAGTAGTGGCTATAATTCGGACCAACTGTGGCACAAAACGTTCGAGTACGAGGCATCCACAGGCCATAAGTAACAGCAGGGTGAAGACGACCTGAAGGTCAAACAAAAGAACCAGACAATTAAACTGTCGTGAAATAAAGAAGGCGCAATTATCTGATGACGCGTAATTATAGACCGCCAATGGATTATGAATTTTTTAAAAAAGCAAGCGACCGTATAGACGAAAATTATTAAGTCCTGCGATGTAATACTTCTGCCGCAATGACACAAGCAGTAAATACGTTAAAAAAAATCTTGTACCTTATTAAAAACAATTGTCATATTTGAAATCTGTTACACACACATATATATATATATATATATATATATATATATATATTTATTTATTTATATATATATATATATATGTATATATAATTATGTTTTCTAAAATAGCACATCGGGTTTGCAATAGAAACACGAAAAGGGCATGTTTTGGAGAAATTGGTGCGGTGGCCTACGTATCATCCTAAGTGACTAGATTCCATAAGCTAGTATTGGATGAGCCTATTAAATACCTATTAAAATTCATAATAATAACTCAGGCCGGTAAGTGGATATTTGTAGTGTCTCTATATGTGAATAGAGTTTCAACTGAAACTATTCAACAGATGTTAAAGCATCAATCTGATTGTAATACACGAAAACTCATTGCTGTTAACGTTACATTGATGTAAACGTCTGTTCTCCGGGATAAACTTGATTGAAAGTTAATATGTGTATGTAATAAGTGACAGTTTATACTTTGAGTTGATTAAACTCTGTCTCGCAAAACTTATACCGCCTGGTAATTACAAACAGACAGTTGGAATCCAACCAACGACTTCGTAGTAAATGTCAATGCTTCAATGTTTTTGTGTGTTATTATCATCGTGATTACAAACGACACAAATATATCGATGTACACGCATACGGGCTCGTGTTAATCGAAACCAAAGAGAGATTAGCTGGCTTTTGCATTCGCTAACTTCATACCTGAACCTCTTTTTTGGATATTCCTAGATATTGATTCAACTATTGCCTTGAGGTAGTTCGACAAGTATAGAGGGTTAAATCACTTGATTTGCTAAAATAACTTTCACATATGGCACCAGCACGGCGGGGTCTGTATTATGTGGGCCGACTGCAAGGTTCAGCCCCGACGTCTGGGCTTCATTCTGCAAAGAAACCTAACCAACATTAAATTTTATTTAAATCGCAAGCATTGTAAAAACTGTCAGGTTCAACTGGACGCGGGTAACGGGTTTCTAATCTAAAACGTTGTTCTTCGAGCTGCATTGGTTATGGCAAAAATGACGACGTACCGTCATTGAAACATGCAGAAGTGGGCTAAAAAGAACACAGAATCTATGCGACTTTATGATAAAGTTTACGTTACATTGATAGTTGTCCGTAGATCCATAAACAAGACGATACGCGTTTTTCTACTATCTTTCTTAGCTGTCTTTGTGTTCATTGACGTTAGTGTACCACGACTAAAACGATATTTTGTATAGGAAACAACTAAAAACAAGTGCATACGACACATTACCCTTTTGCGTAATAGCAATCACTGATGGAATCAGAATATAATAGATGATGTAGAACGCAGCTACAGGCAGGTAATTAAACTTACCCTAGTAGAACTTCGTTAATTGGATCGAACTGCTAACCTCAATTTCTTTTCTTTTCAATAAATAGAAAAGTGTATGACTAAATTAAGTAGGTCAGATTCGAACAGCTGATTTGTGAGAGTCAGCTGTTTCTCTTCGTTACTTCGATTGGCGTAAGCAGACTTCCTATTCCGGCTTTCAGTTTATCGAAGAACCATTTGCTCGCAATATGAGGACGTGATGTTGGCATGAGAACGTACACGCTACCTTCTTAAGAGGAACACAGTCGATCACGATAATAATTCGATTCGTTTTAGTCATATTGTAGATCCTTGGAGTTTCGACTCTGACATTTGACTTTACGTACTAATTTTCCGTATCGTAAAATACATGTTTGCCGTCCAATGTAAAACGTTCTGTTCTTTTGTTCACTGAAGTTGCTCGTCTCTCCCGAGCCACCATTCGAGGTCTATCCTCATCAAAACCTGTGAGAAATCTATAAAACATCTCAAGTTTACTTTATTGCAGTCTTACCATATGTTCGTCATACTTTTATTGAGCGCACCACATATTTGAATTTCGCTGACGCCATTCACAGTTTCGTATATACAGTTCTAACGGTTGGAGGTTTTTCGCTCGTTAACCATTATTATGCACAAGGTAATATCGAAGCCGCTGGCGATTAGCGAGCTGGATCTCGTTCCAACATAGTGTTGTGCAAAAGTTACGTTTTACGGTAGCTGTACTGTACCCCTCTCTGCTAATTCTACGACCCACTCACCAATTCCATCCATTGTGTCCAATAATGTACTATACCCGTATAGGAAAAGATTTATAAAAGGTCATGGAGCTATCGTCGTGACAGCTCCCCCAAAGCGTTTATCCTTCACGGAAGCCCATCGAACAGCGGCTATAATAAAAGGATTGAGTTCACATTGTTTTATGATCTTTGCTGCAACAACGATAATTATATTACTTGGAAGTATAGTAATTAGAGAACACTCAAATAGTCCGCTGTCGTTGTATTAATTCGTTTTACAAAAAAACGTTCGCCTTTTACGTTCCGTTAGGCTTAACATCTCGAACTGCCGTTAAGCATTGCCATTCATCAGAGCTTGTTTTCGACGTAGCACGTTCCATTACCAAACTAAGTGTTTGTATCTTTTTACTAAGTTTCAGTTAGATTGCTATGATAATAATCGGCTGGCTCCTTTTAACACGAAACACGGAGTGGCTATCTATGCCCTGTTTCCAAGCCCCCGTTTTCTTAGCTCATATCGTATCGTTAAATTCGCTGGACACACACGTTACCATTATACCATCCCGAGATCTACTCCTCGTTACTGCTTATACTGTCATTGGTATGACCTCGACTATTGGCGTTTGTACCGCACAAGTCGAGAAAATCGGATCTGTTCTAGCTTGGACACTGATCTTGTCGGTGACAAAATATCTCAACAACGATCTCTTTTTCTTTCAACGAATCTTTTTCTATATGCATCGTCGTCATGACGATAACTGCTACAAGATCTAGTGTTATGGGAATGGTAAACCGAGGTTTGTACCCCACACCCTGTTCGTGTTGCAGTTTTGTGCAGACGACGACCGAGTATTTCGATCAGACATAGAGATAGGGTTCAGATTTATGCCGCTCGCGCGCACGACGCATACAGCCACAAGGAAATTTATAACATACACTCCTTCAAAACGGCTCACACAACGGTTGCTCGGAAGGCAGCGATTCCGTGCTACCGCTAGCCGCTTCGGCTGGTCAGGCAGCCCAAAAAGAAATCAAATCTACGTAAGATAACTAAAAGAGTTGCTGGGCGTCTAAGGTTCGACTCGCAGCGATAGCGAAGTAACGAACTGCTAATTCAAATGGTAAACAACAAAATAGCTGATTCAATCCCGGCAAATGCCTATTCAAAGATCTGCCCGACAGGTGGTTTCTTTTTTACCTAGCGCAGTGCATTACGTGCTACGGCTTATTTCGATTTTGTCCAAAAATGACTGGCAAGAAAACCAATTCAATACACTCGATCTATAACAAAGACACCGAAGACGCTCTTCAACACGCTTTTTAGGTACGTGTAGCCGTCAAAGAGTACACAGATAGTTCATGCGGTTCCTTTTGCAACAGACAGATAGACACAATGCTTCAATCGAGTGAAAACAGGAAGCTCACGAGCCAGTAACTGAGCCAATCTCTTAGCATGAAGTTGTTATTAAAAACGTCCACTTCTGACCTTCAATAAATAATTCCGCAATTTTTATTACTTATTTGTTCCGAAGGGACGAGGAATGCTGATATATATACCGTCGGGTGTTCGAGTTTTATTCGTCATAGAACTTCCCTGTACACTTGCATTGCCGCCTCAAGAAAAAGTCCCATACGCCCCAATCCTTATATATTATACCGAAATTGACCACGATTAGAGACTCTCAGCAAAAAAGGAAAAAATTCACATTAATCAATTTATTAACATTGGATGGATTTTAGACGGACATGCTATTGCATAGGAGAATGTTTACGTCTACTGTATTTGGCGTATGATTGAAGCAATTCCATAGACACATTTGCCTCCGGGCTTTTGCACCACTACATATAAATAAATCTGAATGAATTTTTTAGGACGAACACCAGCGATATATAAATATGTAGCTTTTGTTAAATAAACAGCCTAATTTTTTTTTTTTTTTATTTTATCCCACGAAATTTAGGTCCCGGACTGTAATATATATGTATGTATATGTATATATATATAGAGGGTGCAACGTTTAAATCCAGACCTACTTTGTCCGTTGTAGTAAGTATGTGTACTAGTTAGTCCTCTAACAAACCATGCCCGTTACAACGAAAAACGTTTCCAGGCTAAAGTTTCCTATTGTCCGAAGTGGCACACTTTATACGACTTTTGAGAAATTTGAAGAAGATATACATGAGGCACACCGTAATATTCTCAATAGGGTTTAGATTTGCAGGGCTCAAAAGTTTTCCAACAGCACTTTAAAAAACATTTTTGATATAAACACATTTCTATACAGGAATTAAGGGCCATTTTGGAGCCACGAATATCAATCAGCAACACGGGTCGTTGACATAAGAGTTTATTTATGCCTCCAGCTTTGTAGAAGTTTTAACCCTTGTGTTTTTGAAAGCTTTAAAGAGAATAGACGTTTTAAAAAATTAAAGCATATTCGAGTGAAACTCGAAACAATTTACGCCTACCAATTCCGCTTGACATAGGGCTGCTGTTAGGAAAGAAAGAATTAAAAAAGAAATTTTGTTGTATACGGCTCGTGGAGAGTTTAGGGGTTGAAGTTAGCGTAAATTCTAGCCATTGACATTTTGATATTGTAATTATATAACTATGATAATGACCTATTGATGACACGAAATGTGATTTATAATAAATCTAATGCAATTCCGACAGCTTCACACTCAAAATACTCAACAAATAACAGTACCTGGGCGTACCTTTTCTCTGAAAGGTGGCCTGAAGGTGGTGGCATTCGTTTGCCAAATCGTAAGACAATTTACTCAAATACCCTATAGGAGACCCTTCACTAAGGAACAGGGGCACCGTGCTTCTTCTATTCAAGCGAGACCTCAGGTTCCTTTCTACGAATCTTTTTCACATTGGTTATCTTTTATCTGAAGTTAACTTGAAGTTTGAGCATGTAAGTACCGCTACGTATCATCGAAAAACGACGGACTAAAGTTGGATAACTGATGTCTTTTACATGTGCTTTGTTTATTTCCGGCTTTTGGAATATTTTAGAGGGGTTCAAATGTTAAAAAAAATAGTTGAGGGTCGTTGCTGGTCACCTGATGCGGGGTAGCAAAAATAGAATGACACAAATTACTAGAAGATCATGTAACGCAACACATGTTAACAGATTTTAAACATAGATTTCGTAATACTAATATAGGTTAATCTTTTAGCCTGGTCGTTTTTTCATTTCAGTAATGTCAAGTCATGTGCTCCACGAACTAAATTAATATAACTTTACAGTATGTGGCAGACACGGACTTCGGGACCTATTCCAAACAGGTGACAGATGCCCCGCCATTAACGGACTAACAGACCTGTACTAGAGCTTTGATGCGACCCATTTCTAGCATACCTATAGCTCATAAATAAATGCAAGGTCGTACCAATTATTGCGCCACCTTTCGGAGCCTTTTGGTTCTTCTTTGCGACATTTCTCGTTATAGAAATTTTGTCAAGAACCTGATATTTTATATGACAGAAAAGCGCGGAAGCTTTTAAATTACCACCTGCATTTATAATAGATTAGCTGAAATTATATGAAATTAGCTGATAATCGATGGAAACGCGTATAGAACTGCACACAGTATTTCATATCGGGACTGAATTCCGGAATATAAGATTTTTTCTGAGTTTCAAGTCTGAAGTGAGCCCACTTATGCCTCTTTTCCCTCTCCTGAAGTAGTACTATCTTCGTACGGTTCAGATTTAGGATGATTTAAGGGAGCAGAAGTTAATGGTTAGTCACGGGTTGAAAATTTTTATGCATCTACCAACCGATAGAGCCTATTCTTGGACATCGGACAACACTCGCCCCAACTTGAAAGAATTAGCTGGTCCTAATGCTAATAAAAAGCACAGGTTCGTATCACTTTTATATTCGCCATTCTTTAAGATATTTCATAGGTTTTCAGTATCTGTTTTTGTCATTAAAGATACATTGTATTTGGCGCATAATCTAAATCGATTGGGTTAGCATAGATTTAACGAGCGGGTCATTTAGGAACTATAGATAAAAGTCAATATAAAAAATGAGGGAAAACCAGGTTATCGAGTGAAGATATACTATAAAATTCACACTTTTAGATAAACATTTCATTATGTCTGCCTTACACTGGCCTGATCTAATGCGCAGGTTTCGTTTCGAAATTCTTGGTGATCATATCTTGTATCAGTAACAGCTAACTCACTTCTTCGTTGGGAGCAGACGAATTTAACGTAGGACCACTAAACAGGTGCAGAGTGATGAACCATAACGATCGGTCACGTGTAATAATGCCAAGTCCGAGAAGATTTCCAGTCGGTCATAGCATATTTTACGTTGGGTCATAGCATATTCTACGTTGGGAATGTGATTTTCAGATATGTGATAGATCATAAAGGAAATTAAAATGAACGCCTCAATAAGAGAGAATTGAATATATTTAACCTTTCACAGTTTTTTATTTCCAGTTAAGTAAACCGTCATCCAACTGACCCAGGTCATCCCAGATGACCGTAGCCATTTCAATTAGTTGTTAGAAACTACTGGATTCGAAGCGATGAGGAGCTGACAAGGTAGAACTGTTTAGCCATAATGACAACGATTTTGAAGCTTTCATTTTCAAGTTTAGATTTGGATCGTTCAAAGTTTACCAGGTGAGGCAGTCGATGGATTAGAAGGAAAAGTTACTCAGCTATCAAGAACGGACTAGATTTTTCTTTGATCAAAAGAAGTCCTTAGGATCCCCACAGGACGCGATCACAACTCTCGATTATGTTGCCCAAGCTGCATCCGCCTCATTTTCACTAGGACTGCTAAAGAGTTGCTTTATGAAAGGTGAGCAAAGTGAAATGATCGAGTGTATCTATAAAAGAATCCTAAGGTGTGCCTGGTATAGGGCATACATAATTTTCAGGGTCTATTACACGCCACAAGCTTGATTGCTAAATAACTGATTGATAAGCGCTAAATTATTTTCTATAACCATTCCAGGTATACTTCAAACAATGGAATGACAGCTATAACCGATCTGAAGTGCTAATGGGGCTCAGTGAAGACGACGTGGAGACAGTATTAGATTATTCAGTGGAAAAAGGTACGTGTCCATGCGTTGAATAACATAATTAGATAGTCGCACGTATTGTGTGTTTAAATGCGTCAAATGGTTAGATCACAAGGCTGCACAAGGCATTTTGCACACACGCTTAACGCCATAGGATGGCGCGGGCGTAATAAAAATATGCGTTGCCGATGAACTTCAGTGAGCTTCACGTTCAAGCAAACGTATTTTCACCGTGTGAGCGCTCGAAATTCTATGATTCTGACGAAATACAGAGGAAATTTGTCGACACCTCATTAAACCAGAGATCGAAGGGCAGATATCAAGGTACAGGGTTTGCCATAAAAAAAAAGCGCACCATTTTTCAGCGATAGGCAGCGTTCGTGAGTGAGAGGCAAAAATAACCCATTGCTACTTGGCCAAGAGCGGTCATTGCTGGCGCGCTGTAGTAGTGGATTGAGAATCTTGCGCGCGTTTAAGCCATAATCATCTTCAATGGACACGTAAGGGACAAACAAAGCGTGGCAAAAGGCGCCATCTATCTATCTATCACAGAGTTTTCAAAGCAATTTGACGAATTGCATGATGTTTAGAGTAGTTCTCTAGCGAGCAAGGTGTGGCGGGAAATTGCGAATCAGCAAAGCGACTTCAGAAGTCAACCAGTCAGATCGTTTAAGGTTTACCGTACAAAAAGAAGAGCTATGTTGCTACGGAATTTAATCTAATATATACATATAACAATGATTCGTAAAAGCAAAGAGACGTAATATTGCAGTTCTAGATGAATGTCGGCTTCTCATAGAAGAATCAGAGGCGGCTTTCCGAAGAACATATCCTAAGGCAAATGTTTAAACAGCTTACTCAGTCTTCATTTACGTAACAAACTGCGTGAAAATAAAATATCGCTAGCGGCACGGAACTCTGCTACATATGGATTTTTTTCAGATTAAACTTCGAATAAATAAACAGCATTTGTTTCCTTTGTATGGCACACCGTAAATTTTCGTAAACGGCACAATAGTTGCGGTTCTGTATTCGTTTAGGACACATTATTGTGTCACGTCATATCTTATAACGTGTCCTGGCTTTAACATAGCTTCATTTACTGCACAATTAGCTAACTTTTTTTTAGAAAACAGGTCTTGTCTGCGCATGCGGAATAAACGTTTTGTTCACGATGCCGTATTCAACGCATTTTATATACGATTTGTTCTTCTTTGTTATCAGATACTTGGATGCATCAATTATCCTTTGCTAATGAGCCCGTTGACTTTCCCGCCTACCCATCACCTGTTCAATGGAAATTACAACACTTTGTGAAGCCGTTGTGATTACAGTAGGTAAAGTGTGCTTGCCTAGAAACACATTGTGGCCTGGGTCCGAACTCGGGCGTAGATACACTGCGTTTCATCTGGAAGTCGAGTGTCTCAAGTAACAGGCGTCTTTAGTAGCAGACGTAAAATACGAAAAATGTGAGCTGACCATGCGAAATTTGAAATCTGCTACTTAGCCTATTAGCAGTCTAGAAATGGCCAAATAGCGACCAAGGAATGGACGCTAATGCCGCTACCGGTCCAACTACGTCTAACGATAAACTCAGGTCTGCGTAAGTTAGCCTATACCTTATAATCAACAGCGAGCTGAAACTCGGTGATTCGACTCCAGGTATCTCAACGGGTTTCCCGAACAGTGCAACAGGCTCGCGGCCACAGGTAAGAGTACAAACCCTGCTTTAGTTACACACAGCGTCAATAGAGGGCTCGTCGGCAGCCATCAGACGCACTATAATTCCAGATGGTAGCCATATTTATCTATGATTAATATGGTATCAGAGATATAACCTCTAACCGAATTTGTTGATGACAAAGTTATGCCATAGCGTTCCCTTCCGCTATTTGCGACGGTTGCAACCGAGCTTATAAGGCGTATGCAAACTTCCCCATAAAGGCATTATCAATTTCTAATTAATCTAAAATTATTTAGCCCGATCAATGAAAGTTGTTTTATATACATATAGCGGCCCCCAAAAGTGGCCAGGCCCATTGAACCGAGCAACTGAGAGGCCACTCAAGTAACGTCTTGCGGATGGAGAATACTCTCCTTCATTCGATATCAATCAGCTTCCGAATAACGTGATCATGTTTATTCCCTACGTGTGCATGCCGTGGATATTGCACTTTCGTAAAAGCCGTCAACTTCGTAGGCTGCAGGTCGTCCGTTATGGAGCGGAGAGAGACCTTCTCAGCACGTCAGGAAACGTGAGTCCGGATAGATAGGCGTGCGGTAGGTACCATCACATAGTCTTTTTTTTGCCTAGAAACCCTCATACTAAAAAAGTCTAGTGAAGAGGCAAATTTTTTACTCTTGCCTACTCCATTATATGCTGTAGTATACACATTCGTGGGAAAACTACGTAGCATGAAATGACTCTATCTGTAGCCAAGATATTTGTCCTAATTTGTTTTAATCAGGTCGGTTAAGCCTATGATTAACTTTTTCATGTGACTAACCAATGTATCCGTCTGTGTAGGTGACGAATGTTGACCAACGAAGTTGACCGGAACGTTCCAGCCATATTACTGCAGAAGCTTTGGAAATGGCCTTTTCCCGCTGAAAATCTTATGCTTTCCATACATTCTGCACGGCGATACCTCACTTGTTAAGCACGTGAAGGGCTTGTCGCCAAATAGGCTTAGGCATGATTTCAATCTCGACATCTACCCGGTTCGCGTTTCACTTAATCTAAAAATATTTTTTAGTTTTTATTGTTCTCTATTTCTCATCCAATATTATTACACTATTTTATCTAACCATATAACTAAGAAACGTCCGAATTACCTAATGAATTTCATATTAGTGGATATGCCTATCGTAAGTTTGATTGTGAAAGCCTGGCGGCCTACAATATGGCGCCCTATCCAGAACAATGTAACTCACTTACCTAGCTTTATCGTAGCGCTCAACGAAATATAATACATCATCGTAGATTTTATGCCCCGAATGGAGCGTTTACCTTCCAAAAAAAAAACTAGTGTCTTTGTGTCTGTATTTTAGTACACTCACGTTTCCTTTTTTTAAGATTAAAATGCGTTCAAAATATTTTGTTTCGGCGAAGCCAGTTAAGTAGAAGGTAGTAGACGTAAGTGTGTGTACCGTCGCTAAAGCAGATTATAAAATGTTCCGGTATTTACTGTTTCGATGCGGCCCTACTGTGAAGCGTTCCATCAAATGGTTTGCATACAGTTCCGAACTAAGGCCAGCTTACGTGTCCGTAAGTCTAGTAAGCTATCATTTTAAGACTGCTTTATCATGGGGATTGTTGTGGACGCGCCCAGGTAACCCAAATGTATTGGACATATTACAAGTTAGGTACGCTTAAGTGGAATAGCTTTGTAGGAGGAGTAGCTTTATACAATTGAGTATTCAATTTCTAATATCCACCATCGCTTGTCCCTGGTTCGTTGATTTGGCACCTGGTGGCGCACGTGGCTTTAATCGAATAGGACGCCGCGATATTCAGTTTTCGTAATAAGCCTTAAGACGCACATCAATATATTCTATAATATATCTTTAAATAGTTTAGCTTTAAAACTTTCCAATTTATGGCTACTGTAGGCTATAATTCGTTTTAGTGGCTTTTCGAAGCGTGATTTGTTAATGTTCAGCTTTGCACGCAACGTATTTACAGTGTCTCAATAAGTCAAACCGTGATCGATTGGCTGCACGGTCCTTCAGCAAAGTCGAAGTCCCACTGATGTATATGCATAGGCTTGCATCAGCGATGTTCTTTCTCACAGTTATCTTATTTGCTGTGTGTTTATATTTACGGTTCACGCAAAAAGAAGTCGCCATAAGTGTAGTAGTTAGGAGGCAGGCTTCTGCACACTGGGAGCCTTGGAAGTGTTCGGAGTAAACAATGTACAGGCCTGGCAAAATTCGGCTACCTATTCGTTTGTCTCACTATTTTGTTATTGAATACTGCAAACGTGTTTATAAAACGTTTGTTCTGAGCTCGTTGTTTTTGAATTGTTCGAACCAATTGATGTAGTCGAAATATATATATGCTGCAAAAGAAGGCTGCCTTCTCTTGCAGCATATATATATCATACAAAACGCAGTGTCCTGTTACAATGGCTAACATGGCATTATCTACTGATATTAAATCGTTCCTCTACACTATCAACTGTACTAATGTCGTATTGCTCTGGAAGTTATTGTAATAAGGCAATATTATTAAATAAATTCTAAAATTATTGTCTGATCAAGGCTTTTATAGACTGGCTAACCATTGAAAACACCGAAGTTATTGAAAAAGACCTGTATCTTGAACGCAGATGTATCGACATCTAACGTGGTGTACGACGTTTCGTACTCGACTAATATGTAGAAGACTTTAGACCAGGACGAAACAAATGAATCGGAATAGAACACAGCGTACTATGATAGGGAACCCCGGAAGAAAACCGCAATCCCCGTGATTCCATTTCCTTCGCCTAGTAGCAGCCTAGAGACAAGCTGTCACAAAACAATGCCAAAGAAAGTTCACACAGATCTTGCTATAGCAGATTCGCTGCCCGTCTCGGTTCTGTCGTCTGCGCCTGCACGCAGACAGATGGAGACAGTAGCAAACAAAGAGTTATCTATAGCTGATCATAAGATTTCTCGAGAGATAATCTCATAGGCTCGCTGTGCCTGTTTTGCAAATACGTGAGCCGAATCCTGATCGAAAACAGAAAACGAAGCCGATCGCATCGCCCTTCAATTACTTGTCAAATAATACTCAGTAATAATTTACCATGCCTAAACAACACTTTTTTCATGTTAACTGATGAAACGAAGAAGCCCCTTTTTTTTTTTAGCGGTAGTCTCTAAGAGTTCAAGCTTACTAAGCCAGCGACTCGGTGCGATGACATCATGGTTTTACCAAGTTTTCTCTGGCATTTCGCCACATGGTTGATTCGAATATACATTTGTTCTTCGCGCTTAACTTTACTTCGTGGCTTGAAAAAACGTCAGTAAGTGTATCTCTATTATTTACTCATCATTAACTCACAGCGAGCGTAAAAACTCGAGCACTTTTCAGCTAAACGACGCTTCGAACGAGCATAAAATACCTGTACGACAAAAACATCAGCATGATAGCATATATTATATGTCGCTTATTATCGCTACGTAGTATATGGGAACGAATTGCACGACTCATATATTAGCCATAATTTGATAGAAAGAAAAAATCTACATTTTCTTGTGCTAAAGTAAGTAACTTTTCAATAATTCTGTACAGCTTACTACGCTCATTATAAAAAAAAAAAGCAAACGATCATCCGAATAGTAATTAAAGTGTAGAACTATAGTGATATGTCCGAGATATAGTTTTAACATAGTGTTATTCCAAACAAAAAACAGCTAAAACTCTTTGTGGAAAAATGCTTTTTTTTTTTTTTATTAATAATCCGTTTAACTATTTTTTAGTGCAACCTCTCATAGGCATAGTGATCAATCCCGACATTCGCGCATTTACGCTAAACCGTTAGTCAAAACAGTGTAGACGCAGAAAATATCCAATATTTTCTGCGTTTTCCAATATGGGGTCTTGGCCACATATAGCGCCAGACCACTATCGCGCGGTTTAAAACCTATCATGGGTAGAAAAACGTTAAAGAACTCAACGATTACTCCTTAAATGAAAATTTCCTCCAATTTCTTATAAATCGATCACAGTTTTAGTCTACGTGTGAGCTGTAATAATAATCATTTCCTCTCTCCCATTGTATCACACCGAGGAACCTTGTATTCAATTAAGTTCAATTGATTTTGGGCGGTGTCCATCCACACTAGTCTGAGCGACCGGCAGTAACTTACGCACCTTTATACAGAACAGTAACACTATCAACGGACTCGAATTTTGTAATCATTGACTCCATCTCATAGGATAAAGCATCTCATTAGTTAAATCGACGGTAGGGTTACAAATTTCATCGTCTAAATCGTTGACCATTGGTTATTTATGACGTCCTCTAATTCGTATAGCATTATATGTTCGTCATATATCACCAGGTAGATTGTATCATTGACAGTCAGCGAAAACTACTTTCTCCCAAAAGGTGAACTGTTTCATGATAGTCATTCAAATAAAATATGCACTATAATAATTGTAATAGAGAAAAACTAGTCCTGTTCCTTGTCCGCTCGTAAAACACAACCGTTAACACGAAAGCTACTTGCCTTCGTATTTGAGGTCATAGAGATTATGCATAGGCACTAATTAGCGGCGCTATGTGGTACTAATGGAGAGACATCGTTGGTATCATGACCGAATCACCGTATTCCGTTATTTTACGCGGCACAGTAAGTAATTCGTCGTAAGTTTCATCTAAGCAAAAAAGTTCGATTCTAAGACCTAACGTTGACCTCTTAAAGACGTCCCTTTCATTGAGTTGCCGGCAAAACGATGCAAGGCCTCGTATTGCAGGCTGCAAGCACTTTAAGAAAACTGCTATCGCACTACTTGTATTACCACGTTCAAATCCGCCCATAGAAAAGGTATCACTGCATACTCGTCATAGTTATTAAATAGACTACACAGCGATTTCCAAAGTTCTGTTTCACTCGACCTGGCGTAATCAGCTACTAGAGCTTACTTAATTTTATCGCAGGCAGCTCACAGCCCCTGCTAAACTCCCATACTGCATTGGGCATGCGTTCTCTCTGTTTAATGTAATAACAAAAGATGTGCCGTACCCAAACTTTGCTAGTATATATATTTACTGGATGTTTCCGCTTTTATTCCTAGTTGTATAGAAAGTCGTTTTATGGTACGCCTCTGTAGTTTTATTAATGGCTACAAAGAGCAAACATAATGTTTGCCAATCATTTATCTTTATGACGATTTTTCATTATTTGCACGTTTACTATTTCCATTTGAACAGTAGAGAAAATGGGCATCTTCATCCACACGAAAGCATCTACGCGTCTCATACGGTAAAGAATAGCATATTTCATCTACAGAAAAAAATCAATATATAGCTTCTCTAAGCAATAAAAATTTTCGCTTCGGGAATATATGCCCACATTATCCGCACAAAGAGCTGATGAAGAGGTACAAATTTGACTAGATTGAGACAGGCACCCCGCCTAAGTAGGCTCTACGTCGGTCGTTTTGTCTATTGTAACGGTCGTGTCCCGTTAGTAACCTGTTCCGCAGTCGGTGAAGCCGTGACAGCTTCCGCTGCTAAAGGAGAGGATGGCTGAGCCGCAGTGGATAATATTCGTTGTACTTGTTGCGGATACCCAACCAAAGGCTGATTTGCAACCTGGCGGTCCGTATGGGCGTGCGTTTGCTGTAGATAACTATGAACTGGACTCGTGGTCTGTGAATACCTCTCAGCTGGGTTTAAGGATTGTTGCTGCCCCTGAAATTGGTCTGAGGACTGGGTATCCATTTGAGCTGGCTTTGAGGATTGTTGCTGCCCCTGAGGTTGGTTTGAGGACTGGGTATCCATTTGAGCTGGGTTTGAGGATTGTTGCTGCCCCTGAGATTGGTTTGAGGACTGGGTATCTATCTGAGCTGGGTTTGAGGATTGTTGCTGCCCCTGAGATTGGTTTGAGGACTGGGTATCTATCTGAGCTGGGTTTGAGGATTGTTGCTGCCCCTGAGATTGGTTTGAGGACTGGGTATCTATCTGAGCTGGGTTTGAGGATTGTTGCTGCCCCTGAGATTGGTTTGAGGACTGGGTATCTATCTGAGCTGGGTTTGAGGATTGTTGCTGCCCCTGAGATTGGTTTGAGGACTGGGTATCTATCTGAGCTGGGTTTGAGGATTGTTGCTGCCCCTGAGATTGGTTTGAGGACTGGGTGTCTAGCTGAGCTGGGTTTGAGGTTTGTTGCTGTGTCTGAGACTGGTTCTGGGATTGGGCATACCTCTGAGCTGGGTTTGAAGACTGTTGATATCCCTGTGGATACAGGGACGGGGGATATGTCTGCGTAGGATACGGGGGTGGACCATACGGATTCTTGGAAGTATTCGGTGGTATGACAAACTTGGGTTTCGGATTGGCGGCTGCAGGTCTCGATCGCAAAATCGGCTTAGGTTGTATTTCCACGAAGGGACGTAATCCAGCCGAGCTGTCCGTTTGAGTTTCCGGATCATCATCTTCGCCATGTTTCCCACTTTTAGTTTGCGAGTTGGAAAACCCATCAGAGTCTATTGCTTCGAGGACGGAGCCCTCATCAAACAGTGTCGACTTCAAGCCTTTTTTAAGGCTTTCAATTTCTTTGGGAGAGGTTTCTTGAGTTGACTTTGACAAAAATCTGCTTGTCATTGAGGACACAGGTTCCGTCAAAAGCACTTGTTCACTCACGCCTTTCCCAAGCAACTGCTTAGTGGATGGGCTTACCTAGTAATTTAGATATGGTTATAAGAACAAAAAAAAAAGCACATGTTAACAACTATTAGGACTCACCAACACCCACATTTGCAAAAATATTACATAGCCCGGTTTGTTATATGACGCTAAACTGACTTTCGCCCGTATCAAAATCAGCCAGCATTAACCGTCTCTAAATACGCTTACGGCTTGTCGCGATGGGAATCACTATTAGGAATTGCCACGAAATGCCTCACATTCGTTGTGCTTACCGTTTCTTGAACTGGATCATGAGGAGCTCTTGCAAAGCATGCCACAGCGATTACGAGATTAATTAGGGCAAAAGCAAAAAACAGAAACGCCGTAACAGCGATCCATCCTATTGGAAACCAGGCTCGTTTCAGGTAGTCGATTATATGGTCACGGTCTTTAGGCAGGCGCCACTAAAATACGAAAGACCTGGTAGAACATCTATAAACTTGAGTAAGTGCTATTAAGTATGCAAAAATGTAACTTAATTGTAAACCATCGTGAACTCTGAGATTAACTTTGACTAGCAAGATGTCAGATGCTATCAAAAGATGGGGAACGTTGGAGGTTTCGCTAATCCTTCTCGGAAATTTCACCCTAAGTAACCTCCAACAGCAAGCTTTTAAATCAAACTGCCAATTTATGGCTTTCGTCTATAGTTGTATACAGCTGATATAGAAGCTCCTTTTGCTGGGTCTACGCTTTTGGATGAAGTGTTATCAAAATTAGGAGGTTAAGGGTCATACAGAATTTCTAAACTGTATTATTAAAACGATATCATAGTTTTAAAAATCCAATCTGACCCCCTATTATTATAGGTTTTATGACTATTGCTAGCATTATGTGTACTACTTAAATTAAAAAAGGGGGTTAGTCCATCTCTAAGGCTTCCGTCGAAAGAGTTCAATAGTGAAAATGGTCACTGTTGCTTCTTTCAATGAACCTTCAACATTCTCCTGGGCTTTAATTTGCCTCGTGTGAGAAAGTGAGCGACATACAAGGCGACAAAAAAGACGTAGAAAATAGGCTTACTCCATCCATAATGTCATATAATGATTAGTGGCTAGATACATACTATTTGCTCCCAGTAAACGGGATATATAACCGGTGGCAGATGGGGCTCCTGCAGCGTCGGCAAAAGCCTAAAATTGTACTGTACTCGACGTCGCATGTCAACTACGAATCCGCTCTTCTAAAACAGATTTTACATTAGAAGCAACATCGTATTTTAACGATGCACAATATACACCGATACGTTACCAAGAAGCCTTGACCTAATCGGCTTAGCTGGCTGTTGATCATATAAGCCATTTAGACACAATAGGTAAGCCTAGATTTCAAAAAAACCTAAACGTATACGATAAATGCAATGCCGCCGTATGGCATTCGTTTAAATTCAAGTAGTAAAGGAACGTTCGATGAGTTGTAAATTCAGCATTTGTAGTCAAGATCTCTTAGCATTAATTGTCCAGATGAGGACCTATTGTCGTATCCTGCAAGTTGACTTCAATATCGACAGGCACAGTGTAATGGTATTTTGACATACTAAATTAGACCTACTAAGATCTCGATCCACGACAAAACATTCCACTAAGAATAAATTTATAAAAGCAGCCATATTTGTTGTTGAATACACAACTGGACAATTGAACACATAATTTTTGGCATTTTAGCCACTCCCTGTTCTCATAGCGACAAAAATAGACCCCCAAATCCGGGTTAAAATTGCTGCGCTTATGCGAAACGATACAGGTTATTCGCTTTTTATTAAATGTAAATTAATGCTGGACGATCGTTCACTGAGCCTATCTGTTTTTTTGGCAGATTTTAAAGTCTGCAACCCGAACGCGTAGAAATGACCCACACTAGAGAAATTCGGGATTTGTTTGAGTACAGCTCTTCTTAAACTTATCGAAACTATCGACTTCTTGGAAAAAGTTACCGCTTGGTCGCGAAAAAGGCAGAACAGTGGATTTCCAATAAACAGAATAAGTATAAGACAAAAACGTGATCCTTTGGCGTACTTGTTTGACTACTCGAAACAATAAGAACTCTTCGTATCGTTCTTTTTTTAGAAGACAAAGTCGAGAGTTTGTTTCTGCATTAATCAAAATAATCAGACGAGTGCAAATCTCCTATAAAATTACCTGTAATCGGCCGGATAAGGAAACACTGTTGCACTTGAGACAGTGACAGACTATGCTGACTTACCGCATGAACATCGATATAAAAGCCATGCTCGTACTCATTTGGGGCCAGCCCGCTGATCTGCTGAGTGAGTGTTGGATCTCCATTTAAAAAGTGCGGGGAGCTCAGTATCACCTGGCTTGCGTACCTTGTGAGGTTATGGTCCTGCATATAACACAAGGTTGCATCGAAAGTTCCTTGTCTATGCGTCGGATTGGGACTATAACAGCTGAAAAGGAAGACACGAGGCAAATAAAACTTACATATTAATAACATTGGTGTACTCTATGCGTATTTATACAATTAACAGATGAAGATGTGAATGTGGTAAATTAGCCTTAGAGAAGTCAGCTGCCATCTCATGCTGGCCAGCAGGAGGATCTCAAAATGATTCACATCCCTCTGCAAGACCAAGTAAAGTGCTTGCGAAAATGTCTATATTTTCCACGACGTTGTCAGCGGAGGCACAGATTTTCCAAAAAGATAGCAAAAAAACAGACTTCTAATAATCCGATATTCTTGTAGATAGAACATCAATGACCGTGTGCAGCCCCATTAATGAAGAGCCGCGTTTTAGTTAGGGATCACACCGAGCTATCAAGGAGCTAGATGATACTTCTAAAAAAATAACGTGCCATTCAATAGGTATCGCAGTGGTTGAAGTTGGAAGTCCCCTTAAAAGCCGAAGAGCCATTAGAACTGACGTAGATCCTGCTACCGTTATTAACAACTGCAACAGAAGCATCCGATGGCATCGTACGAGGTATTTCTGTTAACCTTCAAACTTAAGAGGTTACGCGCAGTATCAGCCTGACCGGGAATTTTATTTTTAACAATCTATGCCGATCCCGTCATCACCTATAGTTTTCCAAAGCGGCGTACCTATCCAAAGCCGGATCGCCTGTTTCACTGAACAGATCTGCAAGTGCCTTATAACGGACGATAGGCTCCCCTAAACGTAAAAAGCGATCCTTTAGATATAATCTCCACGGTTTGCACAATGATCGGCGGAAGATCTTGACGATTAATGGTGGATACAGTGTGGGTTGATAGAATTCGCCATCTGCAATAAATTACATGTTAATATTTAGAATAGGACTTTTCTGTTGTTCGAGTTGTCGAGGAATACTTGATTGGATATCAGGACTAGTAAACTTGGTAAAATGTTTGAAACTTCATTAATTGCATGTAATCATACTGGCATAGAGTACGTATTGCTTACTTGTGCCGTCTAAGTTACTGCAAGCAGGCTTAAAGTAGTTGAGGGTTCTGAAAATGAAATTGGCCTTACGGTTTAGTAACATCGCTCTTGAAATGAACAACTAAATTACGGTAACATTACGATAGCAGTATGAAACTAGGACTTACTGCTTTTCCAGCCACCTAGTAAATAGTTGGACCGAAACACTAACAACTCGACGTTTATTTAGCGATTCAATAATATTGGCTATTTGTTCTTTTCTCTTATATCCCTGATTTTTTCGGACATTTCGGAACAAATTTTCAAGTCTAACTTTACACAATACGAAACTAAAAACAACTAACTTGCTATTTTGCCATGAATAATAGGCGTTGGTGTCTTTGGAACGTCCACTTCGACCTGTATATACTTGATATTTTGTGATGCTTCCATTATTAGGTCGGAGATAAGAGACGAGGCTGCCGGGAAATCGCAAGATGTCCGCCCACTCGTTGTTCTCCTCATAGCTATATTAAACACGAACGGGAAGCAGTAAAAACCGACGGCAAAATTGGCCATCACCTTACCGTAAATGTCGTTAAGCTCGATACGATTGGATTAATCGTATGTGATTTTGCCGTATAGATTATGTTCTTTTTTTTTACGAGATCTTCGAACTTAAGCAATTTAAATCATGTCCACGCAAAAGTAGTTGATATACCGATTTAACAGTGCTACAGTTTATTTGCCCCATATGTGTACCTGACATTTGCCGCCTGCGAGACCTGCTTGCCAACTACGATTCTTTATCACTGTCGCCGACGGCTATCAGACATTGAATTGTTTCGACAATTCCTTCACAATGTTTACAGATCATTAAATATGGTCAGCATCGGAGATAAGTTACGATGGAATACGTGAGGATATGGTCTGTCGGAAATCTTAAGGCTCATTTAACGAAGTCGGGCCCCTTCAGAATGCTACGCTTATCGAAATCTCGATACATAGTTTTCGCTTTTCACTTCAAAGAGGCTTGGAGCTGCGCCCGTTTGATAAAACTCTGATTTCAAGAGAAAAATTACCTCATAACTTATTTAAAATTTGCGTCCTTCGGCTAGGACGAGTTCAGTCGGCATTTTTTTAAGGCGCTGTTGATTTGCTTAATCATAAACAAAGAGCAAGGGTTCAAAAGGATTCAGTATTTTGGTAGAATACAAAATCTGTTGATAATGGAAAGCCACGGCAAACATAGTAGACATGGTTAGAGTACCATCAATATGAAGTTATGCAGGAAAAATAAACAGATTTCCTGAGTAATTAGAAATGAGTATAACAGGTAAAGAATTCGACAATTATGACCCAACAAGAACTAAAAAACTCAGCTTAAGAAAAGCATAAAAAAGCTAACTAATTTCTGCATAACTTTAAATATCGATCGGACGGGATGGGCTTTACTTGTCCCCTGCACAGAAAAAAAAAAAGTTTGTACTTAGGTTGTGTAGTTAGATTGGCGACAAATGACCACGCCTTTTACGTGAAGCTCGCCATTATCGAGACGACTGTAAAGAACGTTAACTATCACCTAATGTGTATATATATATACACCTCTAATTATCATTTATCTATCACAAATTGGTCGTTGTCGTTCGTTTTTTGTAATCTACTCAAATGCTTCAAAATTAACGATAGCGGTTGGCGATGCGGAACGTAAAATTTTTAATAGCGTCAGCTTTGAGCAAGTAGAGCTTTCGCCATCCTAAAATTACCTATATCACTACTGCGAAGTTCTTAATAATTCGTTTTGCTTCTGATTACCCTTCGTAGAGCAGCTTCCGAACTGTCATATTGAAAAACACCGTCATATTGCCTGAAATGTTTTTTAAGTGCGGCTTCTCTTGCAGCATATCCAACAGCGTAATGGCATAAAGGTCGATGGTAAAAATTGTATCGTCCAGAGTTCCCTTAGACATATTCGGTTCGAAATAATAAGCGTTTACTTCAGTTGTTTCAACCAGGTCATGGTACCAGGAGCTATTTCGCTGTGTCACTGTTCTGGAACGGAAGCGTTAACAATGTTAAGATGAGTTAAAAAAAAAAAACGATGAGATTTTTTTAATAGGAACATTTGAAGTGAACTTTTAATCGTCACGGCTTTAAAAGCGTAAGTTTGTTCGAAATAACTTTTGCTCCATAGTGTGTGCTTCATATAATTTCGTATAGTAGCGTAATTTGATTGAAATTTGTGTTACTCACTTGAATACGTAGGGGCCGAGCTCGGTTACGATGGGCCGTTTGCCTCTTAGTATATCCTCGTAATTCGTCAGGTTGAACATATAAATCGATTGATAAGTAGGCACTGGAGAATTTACGTATGCATCGTACGCTTTGGAATCTTCATCCATAGATTCAGCTACGTCGGTCATTTCCTGGTAGATGGCATAGGTCAAACTAACTATTCCGATCGGGACGAGAAAACCCACGACAGCTACTCATACGAACGGAATGTGCAGGAAGTTCATTAAGTCTTGAACGATTAAAAAAAGAGTCTAACAGACTCTCGGTGTATAATAGCATCGTAAATTATTGTCGACTAATTCTAGCTGACGCAATCGGATCAATCCATTATCGATCTTATTGTGTCAGTTAAAGCGTACGACGTTGCTTTAGTTGCGACGGTTATTGCTATGTTCGTTTTTGAAAGACAGGAGTGATTCAAGTAATGGCGCCAGCTGTTGTGATACAGATGAAGGGCACGTTTTTAATAAGCTTACACACCTAAAACTATACATTGAGCTTCAGGCGTACATTTCTGTCAGAATATCGAATTCAATGCAGCAAACACCTGATCGAAGCTTTAGATACTGCTTCAAGAAATCTGCACTGTTACACAATGCATTTATATTCAGTCGGTTGGTTCAATGCACCTAGGTCACTTTTCCATTTAAGCCATATTGTCCAGGATGTCTCCATATACCAGAATGAAATGGCTAAAATACAACGCACCTAACGGTATCTGCATAGACATTATGTTGCTCCCCTAGACGTACGTCGGTCTCGCTAGCCCGGCGATACTTCGAAACATCACACTTATGCTCTACGTGATAATAGCTGTCCATCACAAACACAACGTTATCTAAACGAATTCAAACGCCGCCAAAGCTACCGGAATCGCTGAGTTCAAACAAACAAACAAATGGGCTTATGAACTAAATTATTAACGTAGAGTAGCTCATGCCAAACGAACACTGTTGTCAAGTGTTGAGTTGTGTCGATAGACATTATCCACCTATGTGAGGTCCCTGCACGACGACCAGCGATGGTTTGAAGTGCCTAAAAAATCGTTGATGACAGGACGTCATCTCGTACCGAATATCGAAAAGTGTAGCTGAGTAGCCCGACAAGAGTACATCCTAGCTGAATGCAAAACGGTTTGTCAAGTTACCTTGCATACTATTAGAATATTAAATTGCCCGACAAGTGATCCGGATTCCTCAATTTTTTTTTTAAATTTTTAGAGCCATATTTTTAGAGCGTACCACAAATTTTAGAACGTTTTCTCTGCATCGCTTATAAGACTGGCTAAAATTAATATTGTAATATATATAATTAATAAAAATCATAGCGAATTTGTCTACATATGCTACCAGTGTCGTTACTGACTGCTTATAACCATCATTTACCGTGAATTTAAGACCTGAATCACTCATTAATCATTTTCAAAAGACTAACTCACTTTTCAACAGTAACAATGCGTCGATTGATTTGGTTCTTACGAAGTGTCCATACGAAGCATTCTAGTGAAGTTACATTTTGGCAGCTGAAGATTTTTCTGTAAAGTTCAGATTTGCGCTGGCACTTTTGGTCCGCTATCAAAATCTGGTTCTGCCGTTTTTTTTCCTTGTATGGGATGTACTTTACCACGCTAATACCTACCAATATCGTTTGACGTACGTTCACGATCAAAACGTTATTTTCGAATTAAATTTAAAAAAAAATTATTTGTGAATAGTTAAAATTTAAGGTTTTTAAGCTATAATCACAGTTGACAATCACTATAATAAACAATCACTACTACAAAAAATGACCCTTCTATATTCGTTATTATTATATAAAATATTTCGTTAAAGTGTCTGCTTTGTTATTGTTCTAGAAATAAGGCCGTTTTACCATAATAATAATAATAATAATAATAAGTTTTAGAAAAAAAAATCCGAACTAATTTATTAGCCCAATTTAATCATATATATGAAGGAAATCCATTTGCATCATTGCGTATCTTTAAATAGCCCTGATATAGATTTCGACAACAGCTCTGCGTCCTAACTTGCATAGGAAACGAGAGTTCGATATCAACGCTACAGAGAGTAATGCTGTTCCGTGCCTCTAGTTCATATTGCATTGACGTTACGTTAATGGAACTAATTACGGTAGCTTAACTGAGTTGTAATGGTGCGAAGTAAGAAGTTGGAGTTAACTTAGAGTGACTAGATATTAGAGCAAAGTTCCATTATTATACATTGCTTAGCAGCATATCGTTACGAGTATTACAGTGTTGAGCTGTAGGTGGTACCTGCACAACAATGGAATGGCGCGTTTATCTCTGCTATGGACACAACTGGTTACGAACGGAATGACTGCTGAATGCCTTTGTCAATGCTTCAATTTCTATATTGTGATTATTAGTAAACAATTAAAAAAAAATACAGACAGCCGTTAGCTTTGTATCATTTTTCAAAATAAATATAATTTCGTCTGCTTATTGTGATTTACAATTTTACGTTGTGAAAACGAAAACATGTGAGCCCTATAAGTCTGTTACGGAAAGATATATCTGTAGCACCTTGTCATCGATAAACGTTGAAATACAATTTTAAGAAAAGACCAAATAACCGGTTTGAGTTCTATATCGGGTTAGTATTATCCATTTTATATAGAAAAAGTTTAGTAACTATAGCAATTAGAGGGGAGTAACATGTCCTTAGTGAATAAGGTCAAACGCACAAAATGTCAAATGCATTTAATAGGCGCCGTTTTAATGCGCCATTAATAAGTAGATTAGTTGGAATCGACTGTCTGTACCTCGAAGGGTTACGACATACGCTTACTGGGTTGCAGCGTCACGCACCAGAAAATTATGGGAGCTGTCAGGCGCGACGTCCTGATTCCCTCGCCCTCCCGAGGGCACCTCGTCCTAAGGCCACCTCAGCCAGACAGAGCCGAGTATCGAAGGTGACACGTTGTATCTAAACGTTCGCTTCCCTGTGAACTTCTGTCTTACACATCCGTACTTACCTACACATTAATTTACCTTTGTGGATTACTGCTTTTCGGTTCTATGTTAACAGTACGTGTCTGCCAAATGTGTATATGTTAACCGTTAAGTGATAACCGTAAAAATTAATAAGTAGGTATTATAGTTATTTCACATTATTTTTGATAAGAACATCGTGGACGAGTGTGATTTATTGGGGTTCAAGCCCTGCTTGAAGCCGCGGCTAAAGTCCAACGGCTTTCTTGTCCGTGTACTAACCGGTTTAGAACACCCTGTGGTGTAGAAAACATATTAAATAACGCTGCTATACGAGGACACCATATTGTACAGTTCTATAAAAAAAGTGCTGATACATTCTTTTCATGTTACAGTTTACACACATGACGAACTTTCGACGTTTTCAGTTGCATTAAATATTTTTTTCTACTCTGTTGTAATTTAGAAAAGAAAATCACCTAGATTATGTTTGACTTGGTAAATATGTATATAAACGAATAGAGCACAAACGTTCAATTTTCGTAAAGGTCGAGAGCTTACGAAAACGAACCGAACCGTACGTTTTTGGCCAGCGATCTACTTTTATTTGCTTTATATGCACCAAGTTTAGATGGTAAGGATTGAGCGCACTTAAAGCTACAATAGAATGTAATGGAATAGTTCATATGTACGAACAAAAAACGTTTTCATTCAAGGTCATATAAACTTGTACGTGCTTATTACAATGACGCTATTTGAGGCATTTGTCTCGTAAAGTTCTCAAAAGACTCGCTGACTACGTGCACAGTATTTTATCATTTCGCCAGTAACTAAATCTACTTACTGTTGTAGGTATTCTAGGAATAACAATTGAAGGACATATTTGCAGGTTGTGTGACTGCGACATTGAGCGCGCGCGTATTGCGCGCCTGCCTTAGTGTCAGTAAAAGCGAAGACACGTTAGAGCTGAGAGTCATGAGGTACCCGAAGCCAAGGGTCGACCAAAAACCAATAACCTATTAGTAAATGAAGTAAGGGCGTTTACTAACTGCATTAACGTCCTTAATCTGTAAATCATCGAACGGTCCCCACATTGGGTGATCCGGACCACGATGGAGTATATTAATGAAGATATGGAAGCCCCTTCGCAAGAATTCCCCTTTCACTAAATGTGAGCGTAGGCGCTTCTCTTACGAATTGGCAAATATAGATTGATCTTGGTGAGTCAACAATGAATCATGGCTGTATAGTTTAATGTTGTTTTCTATCAAAGCAGTTGTTACCGGCCTCCTTTGTCCGAAATATATTCAATTGCCGGCTTGTATGACCATACACTTCCGTGAATTCGACAACAGGACCTGCCTTATGGCCATATCGTGTACTTCCTACTTTTCTTTAAATAAACCATTTGGTTAATTTAAATATCCGCCAATTCAAATACCAAACAATTGTCGGTTTTAAGGAGACTGATTAGGCATAGACCAGCAATGAAACCTACAACACTATATTGTTGGTTAATAATGGTCCTCAGTATAATTACCCCATTATAGTTCGGTGGAAGCAGGTTGCCTATTAAACTAAAAACACACGATGTCACTCAGAAACCACCGTAAACATACATTCGTTTTATGCTGCAAGGAGCCGCCCGTTTAAAGCAATGCTTGACCACTGCCATGGAAACAGGTATAAAACTCAAAAAATGTATTTATTATTATCAAATAAAGCACTTCGTTTAACGTTTGTTTAATATTTCGCGCGTTATCGTGCGGCTGTCATACCTTTACAGGAACAAAACGTAACTATCATCGATCTAAAATTATAAAAGATGCCTCACATACGCAGACGATCGAAGCGACCTTCGATAGCGCAAGTTACTTCCGTTCCTGAAGCGGAAGAACTACTCGTTCAGGATGAGGATAAAATTCACGTTCCTCGAGCCACCAAAGACCCCTGGTGGATCAGCGCACTCGAGGTACCGCACGAGGGTTTGGCTATTTTCAATTTACCCCCTAGAGTGAGGCACTCAAACCTGCTGCTGATATATACGTTCTTGCTGTGTAACCGAATAGTTGAATCATCACGTAGCTTCTACATGAGGAGTGAATATATTCGGGTTAATAACCAGCTTTTGACGTTAGCACATTTTCAGTTTCGTATATCCATACGGTTTTCTGGCAATGGCGCCGCGTTGAAACCTGTGCCAACTGATAGAGACGATTCTTGGAATAGGCAGAATTTTCCATACTGCGAGTCTGATGAAAACCATTGCACGATTGCAACAATAAAGGTGTTTCATAAAGATCTATATCTCAACCCTTACAAGGAGCTATACGCTTATTGCACACAGTCCTGTACAGCATAGAATTTCACTCACGTGCTAAACATTCTAACTAAGCAGGATTTGGCCGATGACCGTTCCGTGTTGTTGTTAAATACTATTTCAAGCCAAAGTTTCATTTGTTTTTTTTTTTTTGTTAATCATAAATATTCCAGGTATCACGGATAATTATCGCTATTTTCATGCTCCTTTTTTTGTGCCTGCTAAAAACACGAAGCTTAATGTGAATGAATAGAGTTGGGGTTTTGTTGCTAACCTTTCAGGTGGCGTGTGTCATTCTTCTGATGTTCATGCTCTGGTTTTGTTGGCGGCACGAGGACCTCGTCCATTTGCATACTGCAAAAGTGTACGCCCATTTGGGTCACGCCTCGGCCCAGCACGTTCTAGCTCATCGATATCTCAATGGATCAGGCGAGTTAACTAGAGCAGGTAAAACTTAGGAAAAATGAACTAGCGTAAATGAGCTAGTGGGTAGTAGTTTCGGCGAAATAAAATCCACTCGTTTGGGCCAAGTCCTACGCTCATCGGCCCATGCCGGGTATATGTTATTCTGGAGGATCCGATTATGCGTCCACTATATTACTCAATCTTTCTTTGCAAAAACGGTGTAAACGAGCTTTGTCCTTTATCACTGATAGATACATTCGCTGCTTAATATCTGGCTATTGCTTTATACAGTCAGTTTTCAATAGGACACATCTGTATTACATCACTGTTTATTTTACTTCAATAGATAATGTTTTCTTTCTATTAGTTATAGATTAACACGCATAGTTATATGGGAGCAGTAACCTTAATGTTGGTTTAAGGTTATATAAACTAGTAAAAATACCCATTTGTCGTTCACCCATTGTCGGTCTAAATTCTGTGCCTGGAGTTGCATTTCTTAGCTTTTCATTTTAGCAAGGGCATGCGCTTAAACCTGCCTTTAACCCCGTTTTATTACTTAGGCGTAGAGAAGGACCACGCGGAGGCCATGAGATGGTTCCGGAAGTCTGCTGATCAAGGCCACGCCCATTCCGCGTACAACCTAGCTGTTGGTCATATGCAGGGCCTGGAAACGGATGTTCAGAAAGGGTCAGTAGATGTGGACAATTTGAAGTTTTTGTCGAATACTATAATACTTTTTTATTTATTCACGCTGAATAATAATATGAAATATATTACCTTGTTGTGACACTATTGAAAAAATAGAGACTACTGAATGGGGTATTCGGTATGCATCGTATGCAATATGACTTGTCGAATACAACGACCAATACAATTAGCAGCGCACAAATTGGTACTTTTGAGGCTGGATTTGGCGGGCAGTTAGAGCTTAAAGCGGTAAGAAAAAAAAAAGGAAGGTTCACAATTATTAAGTAAATAGGGTCATACTTAAACAAAACCGGTAGGCATAGAGTTGACGCAGAATCTTCCGATTCTTGACAGGCCTTCGGCCTAGATTTCCGTGTATTTTTTGAGTTTCTTGAATATTACTACGGCTACTGTGAGGTGCGCGAGCTCCACTTGCTTGCCTCCTCTGACATTATAATGTATATATATGATTTGCGTTTTATATGTGGTACCACCGAAAGGCATTGTTTCAGGTGTTCTAACACGAAACAAAATGTTTTCACGCCCAAATTCGAGCCCGGTCGGCCACTTGCCCCTTAGTATATAATCATAGGCAGATTCATCATACGAACAGTGTTGGAAAATGGTGGCATCTTTTTCCTCTCGTAGAACACATCGTTCGCTTTCAAATGAAGCCACAAACGATCTTATGTCCCAGATTACGGTCATACGATTAGATAGATAGCTTGGCGGAGCAATTTTAAAAAACGATGTACCAGGCTCGATCACGCGAATTATGCCAAGCTGGCATTATCTGAACGCGTGATAAATACGTATTCAGTTTTAAGTTCGTCAAACTCATGGAACTTTTTCACAGTAAGCAAGCGCACTATTGACGTTTTATGTTTTGATATATATTTCTACTAATAGATTGTTCGAATTTGATTTGTTTACGACAGTAAGTTAAAGAAAGCTTGGTGATAATATCGAACAAGCATTGCCTGAACTTTGGTGACATTAACCACACAACGATTACTGAAGGAGATAACTAGGACACTTATCTTACAATTTCAGTAATGTATATTTATATGTATTTTGTATATTTCACCGGTATATTTAGGTAGAGTTAGATTTTTTTTTGTGAAAATAGCGCTGATCCATGACATCGGGCAATCTTACAGGGAGGCTAAAAAATTGATCAAGCATGCAATGAATCATGGCGTCCATGAGGCGCATCACATCTACCATACCGTTTGTATAACAGGACAGAAATGCGATCATTGAACCGTGTCCCCTGTATTGTGTGTGGAGCACTACGACGAAGGCGGCTTATTCTTCCTAATATCATTCTACTCATGAAGTAAAGATTGCATCAATAAAGTCGATCGAAGCCTTTCTCTACGAAGCTAATATTGAAGATCATAAGCGAAACTTAATTTTTTTTTATATTGCAAACATCATTACTATGTACAAATAGAACTTTTGACATGTTAAATTAGTCGATTTAGGCTGGCAAGCATTTCGTTACTAATCAGCGCAAGGCTTTAATAATGATCTTCATTAACAAAGTTACACGCAGGCCAACCGTTTCCAGTAGCTCATATATGGATCTCGATCCGATGTGAAGGATTCATCGGACGGGTTCAGTTTGGGAGTACATACATGCTATTAGTATAATGGTTCTATTTGTAGCGAAATACATAGGCGGAATGTGGTTTTCGCAAGCCTGCCTTAGGTGCTGGCCTCTTACTCTGTGTCCAGAAATGCAGTGTCCTAGTTATTAAGAGTATGCAACTGCATAATGATACCAGGGTCTGAGTTTTGCTTTTTCCTGGAAACGCTTCTTAGATGATTAAGACTGAACCATAACGAGGTAAAACTCATATTCAGCCATCATAACCGTAGTAGAAGTAGCGTAACAGTAGATTCAACACCTATACATAACAGGTATAATTTACGAATAAAATAATGCCACGAAAACCTGATCTGTTTTGTGTCGTCTTTAAGAGGTGATCAGTCTTCTCAAAGCGTGCCTAAACTGACGGACCCTGATACGAATTTTCACAACTATCGACACTTTCAGTCCTTCGAATAGTCTAATCAGAATCTTCAATACGAAGACAATCAATATCCTTCGCTACTTCCATCAATATGCTTCCATCGTTTCAGCGTAGCAGTTTGCGACGTTTTTCCCGTTCACTTTCATTGTCATTGAATCGGTATCCAAGCAAACACTAGTTTCTGTGCGTTCTGCTGGGTCGGCTGATAATGCACCGAAGATATGTTTTTAAACGAATCGTTACATGTGCCAGCTCGTCATTTACGTATACGCCCTAAATAAAGGTCCCTCGCTGACAGGTGGTAACTTATGCATAGTTTAAAAGTCTAGCCAATGTTACTTGCAAAAATAACTGTAGGGGACACGCGTAACAGATTTTGATCACTCGAAACGGAATTTCAGTTGTCGCTAGTCCGCCTCTCACCATAACTTTGCTACGCATGTAATTTTCATATCGGATGTTTCATCTCGGAAGGACGTAAAGCGAGATTGGCGCGAGTACAGCATGGACGTTGCATTGCACGTCTTTCTATTGCATTGCATTCGTTCAATACACAAATTTCGCGTAGGACATGCCAATCCTGAAGGTAGGCTTTCATTAAGACCTGCATAATCTTCTTTAGTATTATGCTATTCTTAATGTTTGAACGTTTGATTAAGATTTAAACTTTCGACCATAGATAACTTAACAGATACTCTATAAGCTATTATATTCGCTAGATTTATAAGTTTAATTCGTCTTGTAACTTCAGCAGTTGTATTTTGCGTCACCGTTTTATATGCAACTTCAGCTGCTCATCTTGGTAAGTTGAACTTCCGAATAGACACGTCGTCACCTTATCGTTTAAGTATCTCGATAGTGTACAAATAGCTTTTGGTAACGACTGACATCTTTTAAGATCGAATCACTGCAATGACTCGTAGTGCATGCCGTTAGTATAATATAATACATACAAAAACTTTACTTCGTAAACGAATTAATCATATTATTTTATTTGCTGTGTCACTTTATTTGTCACGTTGGTTTAGACCCAGTTTGCCTGAACTACAAGTCCCTGTGTTTATTAGACGTTCATTTCTAAATTATGCTTCTTGCTAACGATCTACCGTGAAGCAAAGGTACTCGGCTATCGGCACTTTTTCCTCTCAGATATCCTTGAAACTTTGCTGATAACAACTGCTAAGAAGCATGTGAAGATTCTCTCAAAATCAATCTAGAAATCTATAAAACTAATCATTATTAAAAACCTTTTATTTGGTACTCTAACATTTTACTTTTGGTAGATAAACAGCCATTCCTCGATACTAATCCTCCTTGTTTTCTCATTGGAGCTAGACCTTTGGGAAAATCGTGCTAACTATAATTTAGGATATATTCAGACTTTTTAAATACACTTAACGTTTATAATAATCGAAGAGGACCTTCTTAAATATTTCTTCAAGTATGTCCATAGCGTGTGACCATGACAAGGGAGAATTAGTGGCATTGTTTAAATTGTGATTGATTCTTTGCGTTACAAAAACTAGTTATGTGCGCTGCCTGCACATCGTAAACTTGCGAAGCACAAAGTCCCCAAGTCCAAGATCGGTGACGAGTAAGAAAAGTAAATTTAATTTCAAAGAATTTCAAAAGAACGAGGGACAAAACGATGTAACGAAGTTGCGTCATTTCCTGACGATTTCGCAAATATATATATATATATATATATCGCGAAGGCAGCTTTTTTTCTAATCCCTTCTACCAACTACTAAGTTAAACGGAGTGGAACTTTAAACGATATTGGGAAAATTGAAGTTTGAACGTTGACATTCTTCTGGAAGGTGTTTGGCCTCCAGCTACATCATATATACAATCTATTGTAACGCTCTATGAAGGGACGAACAACGTTTTCAGAAAAAAACTTACAGTTTCGAGGTAGCGATCTGAGGGGGTGGCCACCTGAAGAAGTTGATTATTGCTAGTAACCTAGGTAGGCAGTAGATATGTCGTGGAGCGTCACCGACGAGATGCACAATGCTACGCAATATTTTGTACAATGAAGAAAATGTGTGCACAAAACGATCGACTTCAAGATGTCTGCGAGGCACAACCATACAGAAAATATAAATTCAAGTATGCGAGCGTCAAAAAAATTTAGTAACTCATACTATCATGACTAAATAGAATCATAAGGTTATGAGACAGGATGCTAACTTTCGAATTGGCCTCATTGATAAATATTCGTAAAGTTAACGAATCGTTACGACTGTTTTTGTCACAGAGAACATTACGCTTTGCTTCAATTGATTTACGATAAGATAAACTTACCTTTACGCACTTTGCCATAGGCCTCCTTCAGGCAACTGGGATAAGTAAATAACTTTCTTTATCGACACAAATATTATAGTTATGTGTTGTTCTGTCCCGAACTGCAAATCGGTTTAGATCATGCCTTGTTTATGTGCGGAAAATCTATTAAAGATCAGAAAAAGTTTAACGTTAACTTGATGCTTTCAGTAGCATAATAACTCGAACATCCGAATGCTTCTAATGAAACACCGTTTCTATATGAGCGGCTTGTCGAGGCCCACGAAGATTTACGACGGTTACAGCCCAAAATTCAGCAATGTATGAGCTTTACTACGATAGTGATGCTATTGTGTCGATACAAATGGAAAGGGGTAAATTTGTGGATCCCCAATACGGTGCCGCTAGACAAATTGAGTAAGGAAGCATATTCTTAGCAGACGTAAAGGTGAGCTGCATCTATATCAGCAATAGAATCATCAGCGTCCCTGGACTGACACGGATGCTGTTTCAACTGAGAATTCGGTTTCGCCTCATCTTCCAAACGAGCTAAGCTACCTATTGATAAGTTTATAATTAATAAAGTGTATATATTTTGTTTAATTATTGATTTAAATATCTGTTGCTCTAAAAAGAGCTAGAAAATCCATGCTTGCGCAAACCTATCCGATTAACCGTAGGATTATTAGACGTTGGACGTTGGAAGGGTAGGACGAACGTACCTCACCGGACTTGACACACTTTCACCTTACCCTTCGTTCAACCACCAATAGTCGTTGAACCAGCTCAATAAAAGAGCCATTGAAGGTTTGCAACCTTCAGTTGTTCTTTTATTGAAGAAAACACATATTCCTTAAGGAGAGCACTGGATTCATCGAGATGCTGCGGTTACAGATATGAATATAGGATGTTCCAGGGATAGTTTGGTGATAATGCCTTCCGTTATTAGACGCTAGGCAGATTGGCGAACAGATATTTCAGCAGACATTGAATGGTAATCTTTTTTCTAACTCTCCACGTAGTGCTCAACTTTGTTAGCTTTACAAAGACGTTTCGTGTTTATTATTTCACATGTGTCTTTCTAGACTTCTATGCATTTCGCGATACGTAAAAGACGACCATAGTTTATTGCGACAGTTTTTGCTAGTGAAGTTATCGAAAGCTATACACTGAATATATAAAAAAAAAAAAAAAGGGCGTAACAAGAGTTGTTTTAATGAACGATTCAATGAGCAATACAGTGAAGCATAGCTCGCAGACTTGCAGACCTCGGTCGAATACACATTTAACCATTTATGCCAATCTCTTAGACGTAAACCTACAACAAGCATGCCTTGAGCTAGAATTAAAATGTTGGCTTCGTTGTCGCCTGCTATACTGTAATAACGCGGGATATCCTTTTCCCAAAATGTCACCTAAAGTTTGTGGGTTTAGATCGATATCAATACACAGGCCTACCGTGTGGATAATATTGGTTTCCTTAGGCCTCAGCTACAGTTGGTGAAATAGGCACAATGGTTCGCAAAGGTGGCCATTCTGTTATACAGAGCGAGACGATGGAACTCGTTTACAAAAAACAGCAAGAGATAGCTCAACAATTTACACAGAAATGTATTCCAAAGCTAGTCCACTTTACCTCGTTGTCCTCCATGAGTGTAGCAATATAGCGGGTTAGATTTCGAAGAACGTGTATTATTCTCAGCGATAAAGTACTTCGGGAGTTGAGACGATAACGCAAACAGGCTAACACGCAAAGATTGAAAATTTTTGTCTTCATAGAAAACCTTTTAGCAATGTATACTGTCAGAATAAAACTAACCAAAAAAAAAGGCCAGATAATAGAAGTACGCTTCTCGAGACGATGAGATGAAATCTAGAATGGTCATATAGGAGACTGGAACAGCAATAACTTCGAAAAAGGCGTGCAAACGCGTGATCATCGCGAGTCTAACGCTGAGTTTGCTACTCATCACCACCAGCTGCCCATTCTACCAATAACCATTACAAGATAAGTTCCGTTTATAAATATACGAACAAGAAATAGCGTTAGACACATCAGCTACCTAATGGTTTGAGCGTTTCTAGGTCTTTTGACCGTCCCTGTAGTGGGACTACAGACTGATTTGGTCTTCCGTTCTTCGATTTACTCGAAATAATGAGAAAAGCAAAGGATAATCATCTATATAATTATCGAAAGAATCGATAAAAAGAAAACTTTGCTCACCTCGTAGAGTCCAGGTCGGTGTCTTTGCAAGGATTCTGATAGGAAAGTCTGATCTAAGTCGCATGCAGTTTTACAGTTACCGCGTAACACGACGAATCCTGATTCAGTACATCCTTTCAGGACAAGCTAGAATGAGGTGTCTGTCCATCTAGAATCTGTCCAGTTTGCTCATTGTATGCTGTCGAAACGGGGCCATCTTTGTTCTCGATACATTCAACTTCACGAGCTAATGACGACCACGGCCACGCAGTTGGACACAGAGAATCGCAGTCTTAGAGTGTGAAATAAAATTACAATTCATTTTAATAGTAATTGTGAATTAATGCATTTTATAGGGGTTGTAAATAAGGATCGTAAAATAAATGGATGGAAAAAGTTTTAAG